AAGCTAACAATTAGACAAGTAGAGATTAAGTAACTAGAGAAAAAGAAAGACAATACCTTAGTACTCTTCCTACCCTAACTATTCCCGGTAAAGCCTTATCGGCAGTACCGCCTTATTATAATGCTAGGTACTACGATAGATACGATAGATACAATAGATACAATAGATAATAGATGTGATAGATACAATAGATAATAGATACGATAGATATAATAGATGATGGTTGCGATAGATACAAAGGATGTAATAGATAACGGATTAATAGATTAATGGCTTAATAGACTAATAGATAATAGATAACGGATTAATAGATAACGGATTAATAGATAACGGACTAATAGATGACGGATTACTAGGTACATAGCATACCTAGGTACTTAAATTTAACTACGTATAGCGATAATACTAGCTACAAATAGGTATATCTTAGAACTATAAACCTAAGTACAGAATCCTAAGTAGTAAACCTAAACTTAAACTTTAAATAATCTTAAACTAGGCTTAAGCCTAACTTAAACCCTTAAATGTTTTACGTGTTATAACAGGCCTTAAAATCAAGCTAGACTTAAGCCTAGTTTAAGATTAACTTAAGATTAAGTTAAGTTAACTTAAGATTAACTTAAGACTAACTTAAGATTAACTTAAGATTATCTTAAGCTATCTTAAGCCTAACTTAAGATTGACTTAAACTAGGCTTAAGATACTAGTTGTAGCTACTATAGTACTTATCTTTCTTTAACTTTTACTAGAGTAGGCCTTAGGTTAGACTAGGGCCTACCTTTACTAGGGTCTATATTCCTTTATATCTAGTCTCTAGTGTTCTAAATAACGGCTTTATAACTTATAAGCTATACTCTTACTTATATAGTCCTCTAGAAGAATTTAAAGTAAAGGTAGATTAAGGGTACGTTTGTTTTAGTATATAAGATCTTAATTAGAGTAGCCTTAAACGCTCTAGAGACTACCTTAAGACTACTGTTTTAGATCTTCTAGAGTAACTTTACTATCCTTAAGAGACCTTTAGTAAGGTCTATAGTTAGAAGCTAAACTATTAAGGCGTATATAAGTACTAAGAAGATAACTATGTAGTATATTAGATAGGCTTTCTTTATTGTTATACCTTACGTTAAGGCTATAGTATAGGTTAGGGCTAGTATCTACCTCTTTATCTTACTTTCTAGGTGTTTTAAGTAGGCTCTTTATATTAGCTTTAGGTCTAGGATAAGGCTAAAGATCTTAATTAACGGTTCTAGAGTAATCTTTATATTACTTAAGAAAAGGCTTATGTTTAGGTTATGTTTTTGTCTTTTACTTAAGTAAAGTAAATAGTATTTTATTAGTTTAAAGATAGCCTTATGTCTATAAGCCTAGTTAGAATATACTTAGTAAATCTTTACTAACCCTTAGTAATTCCTTTTTATTATCTTACTCTAAACAATAATGTTTATATTATTAACAAATCTAATAGTACTTCTCTCTTATAAGGTACCTATAGTATTATACTATTCTACTAGTTCTAAGTTATAAAATAAAAAGAGGATAAGGGATAAGAGAGAGCCTTATAGAATTCTAAAAAAGACTTTAAAGAAGAGGCTAATATAGTTATTAATCCTAATTAAACTACTTCTCTTTAAGAGAAAGCCTTTAACTAGTTAGACTATCTACTCTAAGATCTTCTTTATACGTAAGATATAGAAGAGCCTTAAGTAAGATATATTATTAAAGGCCCTAGCTATATCTAGGCTAAGAATTAACGCCGCTATTTTTAGGCTACTTTACTAAGCCTTATAGACCTGTTCTATAATTAGTTTTAGTACTATAGTTATGTCTCTCTCTTTTTATACCCTTATTTAGTATACTAGAAAGAGTTAGTAATCCTTTACTAGGTTAGTTAGTCTTATAGCGACTAGCTTCTCTAGAGTCTTTCTAAAGGTATTAAGAAAGGTAATTAGTTAATATAATTTTACTTAGTAATAGTCTTTTCTTAGCTTTAAGATTATAATAGTTTAGGCTACTCTAAACCTCTCTAAGAAGTACTTAACCTAAGTATAGTAGTTAAAGAGGTAAGTATAGTGTTAGAGTAAGACCTTTATTAATATTTTAATAATCTTATTTAGGATCTTATCTAGGCCTAAGGCCTTTTTGTTCTTAAGCTTCTTAATTATAGTATAGACTTTATCTACTAAGAACTCTTATAAGTAGAATAGACTGTCTTTATATCGTCTCTTTCTTAGGTTAACTAGCCTGTCTTAAAGGTATTAGTATTCTAAGATATCTAAAAGATTAGTATTAAGAGCTAGAGTAAAGAAAACGTCTTAGAAAGCTTTAGTCTTTATCTTATAAGTATTAACTAAGGCCCTTCTACCCTAAGGGTAGAGGGTTAGGAACTATAGTAAAGGTTTAGGTAAGTAGCTTTTGTTCTTTACTTATTATTTAAGTTACTACATTCCCTTTTTACGCTAGCTAGCCTTATAGACTAAGGCCTTAAAGTAAAGAGTCTAGGCTTTTAGGATTACCTTCTTCTTTTTTTTTACTATTCTATACTACTTTCTTATTGTCTCTTCTAGGATTCTCTTACCTCTTTTCTAGTACCTTCTTAGGTCTACTTGTCTTACCTTCTTTACTTATTTACTATACTTCTTATTCTAAAAGCTTTTAGACTTGTCGCTTACCTTTTACTATAAGACTATTACCTTAATAGCCTAATTTAAGGAGTCTATAAGTAGTTAGAGCTAGTTATTAATATTTTCTAGAGTACATAGCTTAGAGATTACTAGTACTAAGCCTTATAGGATTTTAAGGAGCTTTAGTTTATTAGTCGCTTTTTATTATCTTTATAAGAGTAAGACATAGCTTTTAGCCTTAAATCTAAGCTTTATAGTAATAAGAAAGTAATTAGACTAGAGGTTATGTCCTAGCTTTACTCTATAAGAGCTAAAGAGATCTTTAAATTTGATTAAGATTAAGGCTAAGTTAATATAAGATTTATAGTTTCTTCTTTTTTACGTTTGTTTTTTAATAAGCGTTACGATCTTAAGTAAAAAGTCTTATAAAATACTTATTACTTTATCTAATATTCTCTCTAGGTCTTAAGAGGCTCTACTCTCTTATATAAGGTAATAAAGGTTAAAGTCCTTTACTACTATATACTTATAGCTTTAGTTGTCTAGCTTCTCTTAGAGGGCTAAGAGAGTAAAGAGTCTTCTTAAGGTATACTTGTTAAGAAGGAAAAGGTTATAGATGTTTGTAACTTTAACTAGCGTTAGAGTACTTATAACGTTAACTTTAAGGCTAACTTAGTACAGGTCTAGGTAAGGGGTATTAAAGGTCTAAGTAGTCTAATTAATCTTTTTATTTATATATATTACTACTCTTATACCTTTTACTTATCTATAGATTAGTCTCTACTAGAGACCTAGTAAAGTAGTTATAAAGTCGTGTTTATTATACTAAGGTTCTTAAATAGCTAGGATGTCGTACTAGGCTAGAGAAGGGTCTTAGAGAAGCGCGATTATAACGTCCTTTTGTTTGTTAACGTTATATTATAGTATGTTAAATAAGTCTTAGTCTAATTCTATAAAGAGTCCTAGCTTATAAGTATTCTATCTATTTAGGATCTTATCTAGCTTAGGATAAAGACGACTAGAGTTACACTACTAGGTACTATAGAGGTTCTAAAGCTTAGTGTTAAGAGAGAAAGAGGGCAGGAGTTAGAGCTGTTAGTTTCTCTGTTCTTTCTCTTCTTATTTAAGGAACTAATCCTTATATAATCTACTTAATAAGGCTTTTAACAGATAGACTATACCTTTTAGTATCTCTTTACGCCTCTTCTTAGTAAGTTACCTTAAGAGTACTAGGTAGTACACTATTATAGTATAATAAAGAGGTTCTTAGAGATTAATAAAAGACTTATAAAAGGTTTCTAAGGCTGTTTAACAGCTTGATTTTAAAAATGCTGTCTTTATGTTTTATTATGTTTTTTTTTATCTTATATATAAGAGATAGTGTTTTTCTTTCTTAGAATAGTAAAGATACTATAACATAGTTATTAAGTTATTCTACTTAATAAGGCTTCTAATAATAAGTTAGTTTAACTCTTTTCTTATTATACTATTAAGTAGCTTTAATATTTAAGTTAGTAGTATTTATAAAGTCTAGTTTTTTTCTTTAAACACTTTATTAAAAGCATTTTAAGTATTAAATAACAAAAGTTATACTAGGTTGTACTAGTTAGTATTTAAGTAATAATAACTAAGCTAGTACTAGTTTTTATTAAGTGCCTAGGTTTGTTATTAGATTAAACTCTTGTATTTATTACATCTCTTATAACTCTAACTAGAGAGAGGCATTACAACCTTTAAGCAGAATCTTATAATCTATATTATACAGCTTTTAAATACTAACTTAGTCTTAATATCTTGCTTAAGACCTAGGGTTACTAGCTGAATAGGATACAATAAGAAGCCGCTACATTCTAAATGTAAAGGTAAGTGCATTAGCTTTATAGTTAGGGCATACAACTTTACATCATAAGACGATAGTAAGGGATGGAAAAGTCAGATAAATCCATGACACATTTTGGCCGTCTTCTTGATATTGATCACCCTGGCTAATTCTTCAATTGCTCCCGTTCTCTCGAAGGAAAGATGGAAACCCAAAGACAGTTACTACTCTCTCCCCCCCTCCTTCTTCGCCAACAACTCACACCCTTGAAAATATCTGGCAATGCTGAGAGAATCATCACAAAATATCCCACATTGTCTATAGGCAAAGCTTCTTTAGCGACTCGGTCCTGTTCAGCATTCGATCTGCCCCCCAATTACTCAAATTCCCTTCACCACACCAAGAATTTTGACTCACCCCAGTCCCGGTAGACTGTGAGTTCATAAGTCCAAAGATCGATTCAACATAGTCTCGAAGAGTCCCAACGATCTTCACCTCCCTATATGTTTTAGAACTCGGACGAATCACCAGCCCCAACGATACCTGATAAGATCTGCTCTTTGAGATGTATGATTCTATAACCATCAATAACCCACTTCTCAGTTTATAATTCACCTCGTTGGCCTTTTCAGAGGACGCCCAATCCTCTAACATCACACCTTTCAACACCTCCCTAGGTATCCGCTCTAAACAAAGCATTAAACCAGAACATAACCCACAAGCCCGACCTGCCAAGCAAAAGCTACTATATCCCACAATATGGCAATCTGCTCAGCATCCCTGGAAGCAGCGTCACCATACTGTCCAACACCACACTCTCCCCCCGAATACAGCGACGAGAGCGACTCGTCCGACATCCCGCCGCATCTACGACACAAGATCGCTACTCAGTATGTCGAATCTCAGATCAGCGCGCCTCTCGCCTTCCTCCTTTCAGTGGGCATGCCTTACAAGCATGACTGCCCGGTACTCGGTTTTTACGTCGTATTGAACGGAGTGGGCGATGGTCCTGGCCAGCTGTGCCACATAGTGGCGATGAGGAGCTTGGGTGATTGGTGGGTAAATGTGGTGTGGGTTTGGGAGGTAGTGGAGAGGGATGGGCGGACGCACATGAGAAGGTTTAGATTCATGGAGTTGAAGATCAGTAAGTTCCAACCCCCTTTTCCTCCCTTATTCCTGCTCAGCGAGCAAATAACTAGGTTCCGATCCGATTTTGGCTCGGAAGCGGTCAGATCCTACACCACCAAGGAGAGAAGGATCTGGGGATGAGCGGTGCTGATGGGCTGCGATAGATGGCAAGCATATTGGGGTCTACACGGCGAAGGAGAGAGAAAGCATGAAGAATATTGGGACGGTCGAAGTGCGGGTATACCGTGAGCGCAGGACAAAGATCATCATGCCGAAGAAAGCAAAGCTTAAGCATGTGATCAAGGAGGTGCCAGAGACCTTAATTAAGGAGCAAGCTATCAGCTTGAGCGTTGAGTAAGTCCCTGCCCCACTCCTATTCCTGGATGCGTAGTTTGATGGTGGAGGCGGGAAAGCAGTGTGGAGGAAGCAGGAGGGGACGGGAATGCTAATGTGGAATGCTGGTCTTAGGCTTAGAGATGCGGAAGAGATAATCGAAGAGTCGCTCTTCCAAAGCACGTCGTTGATCGATGGGAAGGTCATCCCGTCACTGTCTTCCGCTTCAAGTACCGTTCCAAAGGTAACTGTTGATTCTCCCTATCCCCATCGCTGAAGACCCAACCAACTTCGTCTCCCTCCGGAACAGCAGACCTCCAAAGCCTGTTCATCCTCCCACGCTCGCGCTCCGGCACCCCCTCACCGCCCGCAGAATCAATATTCAGCGATCTCGACGCCAGCGAGATGGCGGAGCTCGCCCGCGTCGCGCACCAGAAACGGGAGCTGGCAACATGCATGGCGGCGCGGCTGCAGCGTAAGGCGTTCATCGCGCAGCGATTCGAGGATCTAGGCGAAGAGGAGAGCGTGGGGTTGGCGCGTGCGGAGTTCGAGGTCATGGATAAAGGATGGAGTTGTAAGACTAAGGAGGGAGTTGACCAGAAGAGGAAGAGGGCGGAGGAGATATCTGGAGGGGAGGGGGAGCTCGAAAAGCAGAAAAGGAAATGGTGGCTAGGGATATGAGAAGGTTCTGCTCGTGCAATAGGCTAAGGACGATGAGGTGCTCTTCGTTAGCGAGAGGTCGTTAAAAAGGTCGAAGGCTGAGGGGGAGATGGCTGGATTCGTCGACTGTTGAGGAAGAGACTGTAATGAATTTGAGTTTGTGAGTTTGAGTTTGTGAGTTTGTGAGTTTGTGAGTTTGTGAGTTTGTGAATTTGTGAGTTTGTGAGTTTGTGAGTTTGTGAGTGGTACGGGGAGGAAAAGGGTCGGGGAGTTTCGATATATGGACCGACGAATATTGGGCAAGGCAGGAGGAGATGTCAAGTACCTTGCCTACCTAGGTAGGTAGATACGGTAGTAACGGAAAGCTCGTCTCTCTCAGAGAGGTTAATCATGCCGACAGGAAGGCCTGGGAAGAAACGTTCCATTTTGACAGGCTAAACTACAACATAATCAGAAAGTTGCAGGGGCCAAAAACACTGCTTTTCTCTTTCCACCAGACTCACCATATCCACTGCAGATCCCTGTAGTCATGCATCTCATCATCTTATCAAAACCACGCTCGTCAACAGCCCGTACAGACATCCTGCAACGCCCTCCCTCACTTCTCTCCACCGACTCCTGGATGTTGGACTTTCAGGCCAAAAAATTCGCCAATTATTTGTCCTTCTTAGGCGTCCCATCCTTCTGCGTCGCCTCGTATGTATCGCTCAAGTTTCCATATTCTCTGCTTAATCCCTCCGACTGCTTCTTCAACGTTTCAAGATCCCTCTCCTTCGCTGCCAACTCCTTCCTCAGCTTTGCGATCTCTCCCATGTTTCCAGCATTCTCCAGCTTCTCTCCCTGCTTTCCCCCTGCACTTGGGTCCCCTTCATATTTCTTGACCTTCTCTTCCAAGCGGAGAACATCGAGGATCAGGGTGTAGGTGCGGTTCAGGATCAGGGAAAGAAAGAGTGTGAATCCACAGAGGTACATGTTTCGCTGCGAGTAGAATTTTCGAGCCTGCACCTCCATGCGCTCGTGACCTAGAACTGCCGATCTGCTGCTTCTATCAGTATTGGCCCTTTGAGGGAGAGAGTGAAGAGGGTATGGTACGTACGCGCCCATGTCCTTGCTCTCTGCAAGCTCGACCTGCACGCGATAAACGCGGTTCACACTATCAATGAAGAGGATCAAGATAAAAATGAAGGTTATCTTCATTCCATATTGTAGCTTCGCAACCAACGGACTTTCGCTTCTATGAGGTGTAAGTATATGGTGAGCATAGGGGCAAGAAGGAGTGGTACATGAAAGTGAACATCTTTCGACGGATGGTAAAGGGGATGGGAACAATGAGTAGCATAAAGAGAGCCATTTCAGCTACAAGGAGCATGAAGACCTATGGTCAAATTGATTAGCTTTTTTCTTCATTGCTCGGGCTGGGGCCTCCGTGGTTGCCCGCAAGGAAAAGATATGGTCGACAGTGTGATAGAGTGCTTACGAGACTGTAGTAAAGAGTCATATTGTAAGACTGATCTGTTTCCTACGGAATATGATTGAGGAGTATGTGCTGTCGAGTCGTGTCTATATCAGAGTCAGCTAGGTTTTTCCAAGATACCGTGTCGTCCAAATCTACTGGATTGGCTCAACTCTTTCTCTCAGTCCAGGCAGCCAAAAGTCCAACTCACCGTCGAGTAAAGCTGCCACCAAGTAGTCTTCACAGTACCGAGAAGATATGATGGTGTTGTGGATGAGGGGCAGGAAGGTGGTTTGACATGTGTTGTTTGTGTCGTCGTATTGTATAGGGAGGTAGGTACCTTAGCTCAGAGCTCCAATCGCAACGTCATCCTTTCGCTTCCCGGATTTTCAACGCTAGTACTGAGAAGGAAACGCGCCGCTTTGATTACGCCGGGGGTCTTTGCACGTGATACTGGGGCCGGGACACTTCACGTGCGTGCAAGCAGGAGGGCGAGGGAGAGGGCGAAGAAGTGGTGAAGGGGTTAAAGGAAAATCTTTGCTTAAGATATGTCTCATTCAGCGGCTACCTAACCACTCCATATTTACTTGCTTTTTGGGCTTTTTCTCTTTACCCAAGTCGGTTGTCTTTGGTCTTTAGTCGTCAGAGGCGATTTTGTAAGTAATGTAGATATACCCTTTGCAAATGCCTTCTATGCATGATAGTCAATCACAGTAGACACTCAACTCCCCTCTCCCCCCTAACCGACCCTTATCCTTCGGCTTCGATCTCGTAACTGTTCGACTTGTGTTTTGGCTGGAATTTGAAGTCCTTGTGCGCGGGACCAAGGAACATCTCACTAAACCCCGTCAGCATCTCCGCATCCAGGTAGAACAACAACGGCATACCTAATCTTTATCCAATCTAAATAATTATCGCTTGCCAATAACGTCTCCAGATCATTTCTTCCCCTGTAAGCCGGGGGACGGTCCTGTAGGCTGGGCGGCAGATGATCCAGGATGCCCACAGGAACATATCGGTAAGCAAAGCTCAACCATTCAAGCAAGAACCGTCGTGTCTGCCCAACGCCCACTTCATCTGAACCCCAAGCTTCAAGCCCATAGCGTACAAACTTCTCAATATAACTAAGACGCTCGGTGGCCGACTTGTCGATGTACTGCCCCTTTTCAATTTCTTCGAAGATCCACGGCTTGATCAAAGCACCCCGTGCGACCATGACGGAGTCTACGCCGGCATTTTGGATGTGATCAAGGTAGTCAACGTGTGAATAGCAATCACCGTTGCCAATGAAGTACATTTTTCCATCTGGAATATTGGCTTGGGTCCTTGCATCTGGTTCTCTGATGGTATCCGTTATCTCATCCTTCTTCTTGTTGTATGATTGAACCAATGCTGCACATTCCGCGATATACGACCAGTCTGCGCTCCTGGTATATCGTTGCTGTCTACTTCTGCCATGAAGAGTAATTGCAGCACATCCAGGGGCTCCCAATCGTTCTCGAGCTTCATAACCGCCGAACGCTAGACGTTCTATCGTCTTCTGTGCGGTGGGCTTTCCGTCTCTTGTGCCCATTCTAATTTTAGCTGTGATTGGTATGTCTCCGGATACCACGTTCATTCCTCTAATCATCTTCTCGAGCTTTGATGGCGCATCAAGTAACGCCGATCCAGCGCCTTGTCGATATACAAGCTCGATTGGGCATCCGCAGTTCAAATCAATAACTCGTAGATGGGGTACAAGTCGACTGAGGATTTCTGCCCCCTTCAATGCCTGCCAAGGCTTACTCGCCGACACTTGAGCGCCAAATTTCAAATCCTTCGAGTTATCATACCCTTGAACGATTGATTTGGGCGTATACCGAGGAGGCAAGATTTCACTCTCATGTGCCTTCATCAATGCCCATTCAGACTTTTGACCCTGAATTAAAGGCAGTGTCATGGCCATCTCCGAGTAAGTAAGCTGTGCTCCAAATTCCACGCACATCCTTCGAAATGGTAAATTTCCTTGTGTTGTTAGAGGGGCGAGGACAGGTGTCTCTGGGCCGAAATATAGCCTTTTCTTCTCGGAAGGAAGATACGGAGGATCCGTAAATTGGGCTCGATTCTCTTGCTTATCCTCTTCCGCAGCGTCTTTCCTCTGGTGATAGATCTTCTCCATTTCCTTCGTGTCTCTTTCCAACCATTCGGTGTACTTTTCTGATTTCTCGGTCGTCAGCCTTCTTCTAGCCAGATCTAGCTTGTCCTTAGTTCCAACGACATTCACGACTCCTTTTCTGTTCTCCTCCTCCTCCTCCTCAGTCGAGCTCGTCACCTGTTGTAGGTCATCCGTAAGGACCAATTCCATCCGGCCATCCTCACGCTCAATTTCCTTTGAATGGCTTCCTACAAATCGACACTTCCATCCAGCATGGCAGGTGCCATTGGCCTCCAGAACTGGACATTTCCCATTGAAAGTGGTTAAATCTTCCCTCTTCCCCTCTTTCAGATATTTTCTTAGATCATGGGTACATTTGCAAGAGTCTCCGAATTTGCAATGCTTTGGAGAAAATTCGGGCGAATTTGCTCGACTGTTGCATAATCTGATTGCGTCGTACCACGAACCAAATTGGCGATTCGTGTTTTGGCCTCTCTCTTTCTTTTTCTTCTTTCCCCCGTTATCTCGATCATCCGTTCTCTCCTCAGCTGCATCATCGTCTGGAGTAGGAGGAGATGGTGCTGCCCTTCTATACGTATTGATGAGATATCTATAAGATGATAAAAAGCACGTCAATCACCGCTACAGATGAAGAGCGGATATTTACTCACTCAGGCTTGATTAGAGCAATTCCTTTAACCTTGTCTCGTGCATCGACTTTGAGAGCCTTTTCGGGCTCCTCAAGCTTTAGCCGCTTCGATGCCGGTCCCTCGGGCTCCGGTGCTACTGATTCGCATTGTATACTACTGCTTTCTGTTTTCTCGATTTTGATTTCCGCTGAACCGCGCTCCGATTTGGCTTGTTCCAATTGCTCTCCTTCCAAGGGCCTTTTCAAAGAATGGTCTGCATCCTGGGGGTTTCGGGTCTGGTCCTCCATTGTGCTGAACGTTCTCTCACTCAGTGCTGCCGGATCTCTTGCGGATATAATTCTTCTAAGCCTTGTCTCTCCGGGGTATGGAATGTTTTGTTTGGTAGGGAAGTAGCAGTTCTGGTAGAGCCTTTGTGTCACCACCTCATTCACCGTAAGGCTCGTTTCCTCGGCGTTTGGGGTCTGGTGATTGAATTGGGGTGAAGTGGGTTAAAGTACTCCCCTCGATTATTTTTTTTATCGATCTTATCTTAGCGCCATTCTCCAGCCACACTTTAGACACGACACTGTGGCTGGGGTCATGTGATCAGTGGGAGGCTCGGTACCAAAATGCATGTCTCGCCTTAATTTCCAGGCCTCGACAACCTCGAACCTCCAAACCTCCAAACCTCTCAAATAACCCGTAGACAGCAGACTGCACACCTCCCCCACAACCCCTTCATCTTTGGCCGGATCTGGGAATATGCGTTCTCAATTCTCCTCGTCCTAGGTGCCTATCTATCTGTCACCTGTCTCCCTATCTACCCGTCTCCGGTGATGTGTGTTGCGCAGGCCCCGTGAAACTCTATTCACCAGGGTGCAAGATCCATCTTCATGCAACACCAACGTTCCGCCTTCAGCCTCAATTGCCTTCCCTACACCCCCCGGGACTCTCGCCAGACAATGCTCACAGGCCTCAGCCCACGGACTCTGCAGCGCATACACAATGGGTGATTCCTCAAAGTCGTCGGACAGAGACAAGACCTCTCGCTCAGCCGCCAAAGCAAAGAATGTCCGCTCGCAGCAGATAATGCGCGTATCCCCCTCCGACACGCGACCCCAAGATATCCCCGAGGATTCGGAGCCCCCCAAGGACGTCCCACGAAGCCATACGCCTGGGCATCTGTCAACAAAGAGTCATGATAGAAGGAAGAAGACCTCGGAATTGACACTGCGGCAACGGTCGCAGTCAATGTCGCATAAAGATTCCAGTACTTCGTCTCCTAAATCGTCCAAGCCGCCCTCTACACACAGCAATGGCAATGCTACCCCAAGGCCAGACAGTGCTTCTTCAGCAAGCCGCGCACCAGCTCCTGCTGCCTCAGCGTCAAGTCTCAATATCAATAACCCAACGGCAGCACGACCTCTCAATCTGCGGTCCACATCAGCAATCGCACCAAAACCCTCCCAGGGTAGCCCCTCACCCGCGATTTCACGAAACACAACGCCCTCCCAACGAGGCCCCGCTCAACACCGCTCATACATCGCATTCCCTCCTCTGCCTTGTCCGAAGACTGCTCCTGACGTACCGCTTGCCCCGGCGTCGGGAATGTACTGGTCCCTTGCCCCTGTTTCTGGGACAGCTCCAGTATCACTGCGTGCACATACGACGACGTTGATCGGTTCATCGATTTATATCTTTGGTGGATGCAGCTCCCTGTCGTGCTTCAATGAGTTATATGTTCTGGATGCAGACTCATTTTACTTCTCAGTTCCCCACGTATGCGGAGATATTCCAGTTCCGTTGCGGGCCATGACATGCACAGCTGTAGGAAAGAAGCTAATCGTATTCGGTGGGGGGGACGGGCCTGCATACTACAACGATGTATATGTCCTCGACACAGTAAACTTCCGCTGGTCGAAACCGCACGTTCAGGGCGATGGCAGAAACGGAGACCGCTACCCCTCAAAGCGACGAGCGCACACGGCCTGTCTATACCGGAACGGGATTTATATATTTGGTGGGGGAGATGGCGTCCGCGCTCTCAACGATGTGTGGCGCCTTGACGTCGCGGACACGAATAAGATGTCTTGGAAATTGATCTCGCCGCCCTCGACCCCCTCCTCTGAAGACAGGACAGTCCCCAAAGCCCGTGGCTACCACACGGCGAATATGGTGGGCTCGAAACTCATTATCTATGGGGGCTCTGACGGCGGCGAGTGCTTCCGCGATGTGTGGATCTTTGACGTGGCTACCTCGCTCTTCACTCCTGTTTCCATCCCGCCCTCCGCATCTTTCCCCCGCCTCTCCCATACGGCGACAATCGTCGGCAGCTACCTGTTTGTAATCGGCGGCCATGACGGTGTGGAGTACTGTAACGAGGTCCTGCTCCTGAACCTGGTGACGATGGTCTGGGACCGGCGGCTGGTCTACGGGGCGAAGATGAAAGCCCGCGGGTACCACGGGGCAGTGCTGCACGATAGCCGCCTCGTGGTCGTCGGGGGTTTCGACGGCGCGACGGTGTTCGGCGATGTCTGGATCCTCGAGTTGGCGGTCCATGCTTATTATAGCCAAATCAGCCATTTCAGCATCGATGTTTAAGCGTTTATGTATCCCTCTTGATCTCTCTATTTTGCGTATGAACCTTGGCTTGAGAGCAAACGCCCCTGATCCCAAGGGCGGAGAACTATAGGACAGGGATACGGCAGAGGAATAAAAAAAGGGGACCAGCTTCCCTCCTTCCTGGCTTAGCTGTTTATCCTTTCATCATCTAAGCTTTGTCCCTTGTCTTAAGATATGGGCATCTGTTTGATGTTTGCGTATGTATGGGCAGTAGGAAATCCGAGGGAATTTTTTGGGACCTTTTTTGACCAAGGACGATTTATGAGACATACTAGAGGGCTCCTCCCATCTAGACCTTGGATGGAAAGAGGGAAACGGATAGAGTAGAATAAAAAGAAACAGATCTATTATATTGACTTTTGTCTAGCCTTCGTCTACATCTGGGGCTTGGAGGGGGAGGTAGGTACACTAGGGTTCTTCTTCTTTTCCTTTTTCTTGGGGCGGTAAGAGGGGGGAGCGTTCATGTACAATGCGAAAAGTGGATGAATGAGACGCTCATTGGATTTAAATAGAATACCCGTCTGAAAGATAGAGAGAAGATTGCCATGCCATGCTATGCTCCGCTACTACATACATGCGAACTTTCTTATTTACCTCTACTCCTCATCCCCAATTCATCCCTCCATACACAATCATACATTCCTAGGACGTCACATCTTCAATTCTCGCTTCCCATACATACGTAACGTCTTCCCCCGCACCCATTTTCATTCCGCTTCATTCCAGGAAAGCCGATCGACTGGACACTTTTCATGTATACTCCCCTTTATATATACACAACACACTGAGAAACAAATCTCCACCTCCTGTCTGGTTCATTAGATCCCCTAGATTTTGATACTTGAGCTTTGGGTGCGAAGAAGTTTAGTTCTTCTTGGGCTCTGAAGATTTGCCAGACTCGCCGGCCTTGGCTTCTTCGGCCTTGGCGGCCAAGCGGCGCTCTTCTGCTGCGACCATGTCTGTTTTTTGAATGAATGAATTAGCTGGTGCTCTGGCAAGGTCAAGGGGATGGGGAATGGGGATACGCACCACGCCACAAATCCTCACCCTGGTACGCCTCGTGATGGATGCGCTTCTCAATCAAGTGCTTGTGCTCTGGGTCATTCGGGTCGATGATCTTGACTGTCTCCCAGCGGCCCTTGCCCTTACTCGCATCGCCCATCTCGAAGGCGGCCGATGCAATCAGCACCGCGACTGTCAGGCCCTGCGCGTACACACGCGCCTGCACCAGCTTCTGCGCACGCGTCAGGTACGGGTTGCGTCCCACCATGCCCAGCGCGATACCCATGGACGCCACCCACGACGCCGCCACGATGGGGTAGCGGTTCTCGCGGCCCCAGTCCTTGAGGCGCTGCATAGTTGACTCGGATTTCCGGGCCTGCTCGAGCTCTCTGGTAGCGCTGTCAAGGTAGCCCCGGGAGGGCTCTCGCGAGGCCTCGAAGCCACGCGACGCGCGGTCCGCAGAAATAATGGCCGCGAAGGTTGCGGACGAAGAGACGAGGAAGGACTTCATGGGCACGGTGAGGTTGCGGATCGTGTGGAAGCGTTGGTTGGCAGCGTAGACGGCGGCTCCGCCCTAGGGAAGGGTGTTAGCTGGAGATGTTCCATAGTCATGCTGAGAAGATGCTGAGAGGACGGGGGCGAAGGGAGAAATGTCAAGAGGATGAAGATGAAGGGTACGTACGACAATGAGACCGACGAGACCGCCGATTGAGCCTCCCTTAACGGTAGCATCGTAGTGGGCTTGTTCTTCTTCCTTTGTAAGAATCTTCATCTTCTCGACTGTGCTTTTGCACGAGACCTCTCAGGTAGGTGCGTATGGTAAGTCGGTCAATGAGACGTAGTTGTTCGTAGCTTGGATGAACCAGGAATTGGCAGCTGAGCGGCTTCCTTTGGCTCTGTCTGAAGAAAGGATCTGGATCGAGTATGTTCGAGGAGCGTGAAATCGGGCGCTCGTTGTTGTCTCAGCAGTTCGTTGTAGTGAAGTTTAGTGGAATTGTCTAAGGTTACGTCGTAGCCCGTAACGCCGTGCTCTTCTAGTGGGCGGGCAGAAAGGCAACGAGGCAATGCAGGCGTCAATGACGGTACGATGAAGAGATGTCCTTCAAATAAATAAAAAGGTCTTCGTCATTCGAAGAGGGCTGAAGAGAGGCAAAGGAGAGGCTCTTGAAAGGCTTAAGGCTCAAATCCCGGAGACGGGATGATGCAATGGCAAAGGAAATAAATCGGGCACTCCCTGGTATTCGACGACTAATAATTACGTACCTGGGGGCTTTTGGGGGGGTTTTGGGGGCGCTGGGGGAACAGACGGCGAGGGACGGCGAGGGACGGAGAGGGACGGCGAGACCCTGCGATTCGCGAATGCCATTCTCCGAGGAATCTCCTGGTGAGGCCCGTTGCTTTTGGCCCTGAGCCTTACTCACGAGTCACTACGACGACGCTCGTGCAGCCCTGCTTACTCTTCCGGCCTCGTATGGGACGAGGGCTATTGGGGACGATCATGGGGTGAGGGTGGCAGATTATTAATACAGCAACAAGCAACAACGTACGGCACAGGCTGCTGGGAAATCTGGGGACTCGGGGGCCAGAGATCTTGCGTCGACGTCGAGTTCTACGGGGCAAGACGGGCCACGGCTAACTCGAGCTTCTAACAAAGTCGGCTCGTCCATAGAAGTACGGAAGGCTCCCTAGGCAGGTAAGTATGGCGAATGGCGAAGGGAGTTGTGAAGACCGCAAGGCAGAAGAAGAACGGCAAGGCAAGGGAAGGTCAGGCAAATGTGGAGCCGGAATGGCTCTTGGACTCTTAAGAGATGGGATAGTAGTTGATGACTTGATACCTACTCTGCAGTGCTACAAGTCAGCACTTCTTAGGTCCAGGTGGATTGTTGGTTCCTCCACGACTTCCAAATACTTGAGGCTCTCTGTTGTCCAGAACCTCTCCCTCCGTGCCTCGACAGCTGAACCGACCAAGAGCCTGTCGGGCCTTGTACCTAGATTATTGAACTCTGCCCGAGAACACATGACCTCCCATGACTCTACGCCCCTTTATCCTTTCTTCCTTTCCTCTCCTCCGTCCTCTAAACCGGTTGCGATTGGCCGTCGGCTCTGGTCTGATCTGGGTCGCTCGGGACGAGGGAAGTCTCTCGTCTGTTCCTGGAGATGGTAAGACCAGGAGAGAGTTGGGGAGCCTGAGGCCGAGCGTGGCAACGAAGGCAACGATGGCAAGTTGCAACTACTTACGGAGTACAGCAACAACTCCTGAGTCTGAGACACACCGAAGGGCAGCACTACTACCGACTCCCGAGGCACCGAAACCACCTCAGGCCTCAAGGCACTGTCAGGCAAGGCCTCGGATCGCGTTTGAAGGGCTGAACGTGCAGAACTTCCAGACTGGAGATCTGAAGAACATGAGTCGCTCGCCTGCCCACCGTCTTTACCAGGGGTCCAGACTCCACTGTTGGTGTACGGGTCCCAACGGCCATGGACGAACCCTTCGAGGCTTCGACCCTTCGACGCTTCGGGGGCGCCGGCCCTGAATGAGGCAACGTGCTTTGCACCGTCCGGGCCTTGTCCCAGGAGCGTCAGTAGCAGCAGGGCCGGCGGTAGCGTAGCTCGAGAAAGCGTACCACGGAACCACCCACGAGGAACGGCGAATCATCTTGCATACCAGGACGGGAGGGCCAACGGTGGGAGCGATGGCAGAGAGCCAGGAGCAGCAGCGATGGCAGCGAAGGCTGCAAAGGACACATGAGATCTGTACAGTAGATATATATGAAGCCCAGACCGCTTTGGCAACGGGGACGGAGGGCTCACCGTCTCTTCGCAAATCGACGCCATCATTTCCGCCCTCTGCCCATCGCCTGCCCAGTGCTCAGTTGCCCAGGACCCAGGAGCCGGGAGCCAGAGGCAAAACAAACGGTCAAAACATCGATCCTCCTCTAATCCAGCACAACACCAGAAGCGCCCCCGACGCCAGCCTCAAAGGTCCTTAGGGTGCGAGACGCTGGCTGTACCGTGCCAGACTCCCGTCCACGGTCCACGCTCGAGGAGTTCGAATCTCGCAAGTTCGCAGACCGTTCGTCCCTTGCCGCCCGAGTCTACCGTTGTTCGTTGTTCCAGACTTCGTGGCTGCCACGAGGGAGGACTTAAGCAAGAGACATCCCCATCCCATCGCATCCCATCCCAGTCATATCCCCTTCTCCGCTTCCTTTTTTTCCCTCTCCGAGTCTCTCTCGAGCGGGATCTTGCGTTGTTGCCCTTGTTATCATCCCATCATCCCATCATCGACCATCCCATCATATATCGTTGTTAATTCGCCGCTGCCACGGTCCCGTCCCCCGCCCAACCCAACCCAACCCCATCTCTTCAACGCTGCCCTTCTGCCCTTCTGCCTCTCTCACTACTCTCTCTCTCTCTCTCGCTCTCTCTCTCTCACCAATCCCTCTCTGAGTCTCTCCGTCCAGTACCGTCTCGCTTCCGACCGGGGTTGGCTTCCTAAAGCAGCCTTAGTGTACTAGACCGGCCCTAGTCTGCATCGGGATAGACGCGAGCATGAGCGCGGTTCTTGAGTGGCTCAGCAGAGGATCCCGAAAGTCGCCCTCGTCGTCTTCCAGCGCCGCCGCATGCGAGCCTGGTCCTGGTTCTGGTTCTGGTTCTGCTTTCGATTCTGATTATTCCACAACCACCACTAGTCACTACTGTCACTGTATTTTGCCCTCCTCCCTGGACAACCCCGTCTGCCTTTTTTTTGCTGACGCCCTTAATAGCAGCAGTAGCAGCACCACCACCAGCATCGACAACAGCAAGAGCCGCATCATCAACGGTAGACCCGGCGATCGACTCTCCTCCTCCTCCTCCTCCCTCCTCCTCCTCCCCCTCCCTCCTCCTCCTCCTCCTCCTCCTCCTCCTCGCCCGCCTCTGACTCGCTCTCGCCCGACTCGCCCGATTACTCGCTCCCCTCCTCGCAGTCATCCCCCCCACTTAACGAGGACCCTCGTTGTTTTACAATGCCGACGTCCACAACCTCGCCTATTGACATTGCCACTCCCACACGCAACGCTTCATCATCGCCCTCGTCGCAGGGCAAGCAGAACCCCAACTTCCACGATACCGACTCCCGCACATCCGCCATCATGAGTGGCATCGCCTACGATTCGAGTATGGGTCGGGGGAGACAGGACTCCTTCGCCGGAGCAAAACCAATCTCCATGGCGAACCCTAACAGAGATCCTCGCCCGCGGCGGGAAAGTTTGGCCGGGAGCCTGGTGGGCGGCATGAGTTGGGGAGGTGTTTCCGTTGGAAGCTGGATTCGAGATGAGTACGTCTGCTGCCTTGTCCTTGGGAACTACTGCCCCCCCCAAAGCCCCTTCTCGGACTTGCGCCTTCCCGCTCTCTGCAAGGTACTGACACAATCTGGATAGTATCATTATGGCTGGAACATCGCCATTCCCATATCAGTCGCCATCTTACCACTCCTCCTCATACCTCCCGAAACTCGAGGCCAACTTCATGCGAGATTTCGCATGCTGCGGCCAAACATTAGCTACCCTGCACGATCTCCTACAGCACTACGAGGAAAGCCACGCACAGCAAACGCCACAATCTCTACGGACCGCTGCCGCAGCACAAAGAGCGAGAGAACACGCGACTCCAAATAGCAAAGCGGCTATTGCAGCTCAGGCGGCGACAGCTGTCCAGCAACAAGCTCAGCAATCGCAAAATCAACAATCGAGGCCAAGCGGCCTACAAATGCCAACGGGAGGCGCTGTTGGAGGCATCCAATTAATGCGTCAACAACAGCAGTCCCAGCCTTCGACGCCGATGTCGAAAGGTGGGGATGATGAAGATGAGGTGGAAGATATGGAGATGGATGATGCGATAGGACCTATGGATCGAGCACCAGGGACTCCCGCACAGCAAAACCAGCAACATCAGCCAGCGCAACAATCGCTGTTTGGTCAGCAACAACGTCCCTCCCTGAATCTGAATTCCAACGGCCTGCAGCACGCTGGACTTCGAACCTCACAGCCGCCCACTCCAGCAGCATCCGGCTTTGGATTCCAACATAATCCCACGGTTTCGTCCGTGAATACACCAACACTAAGCACGACGCAGCACCAAACATTCTCACCTGATACCTCGGTTCCGGGGACGCCCGCTGGAGAAATGGATGACGATTTCTCGGGCATGCAGAATAATATGAGCAGGGGGAACCTGAATATGTCATACCCATTTGGATTTGGGCAAAATGATCTGGGATTGGACTTATGCATAGACGAACCGGCGAAGCGATTATTCAGTCCGAACGGAGGTTCTAACAATCAGAGAGCATTACAACAACAGTTTGCGCAGTTTGGCTTGGGACAAGGGCAATACGGAAACCACAGCGACCTGATGACAGCCTACCGACAACAGCAGATGATGGCTATGAATGAGATGGGAAGTAATCCTCAGGCAGCAGCGTTGCTGTTGGGCGAAGAACACAAGCCGTTTAGGTGTCCAGTTATTGGATGCGAGAAGGCCTACAAGAACCAAAACGGCCTGAAGTGCGTATCACCTCTGCCAACATTTTGGCATGTACTGACTTCCATAGGTACCACAAAACGCACGGTCACCAAACGCAACAGCTACACGAGAACGGCGACGGAACGTTCTCGATCGTCAACCCCGAGACCTCAACTCCTTACCCTGGGACCCTCGGGATGGAAAAGGAGAAGCCTTACAAATGCGAGGTTTGTGGCAAGCGATACAAGAACCTGAATGGTTTGAAATATGTAAGCAATGCCCTGGTGGAGAGGATCCCGAGCCTTCGGCTAATAATTATATCAGCACAAGCAACATTCGCCACCTTGCAATCCGGAGCTCAAGCTCAACAGTCATATGGCAGCGGTTGGATTAGGGGGTTTGGGAGTCAATGTCGCAGGACTTCCTGGTATCGGCGAAGAAGGCATGATGTGAAACCACATGGAACCTTAACGAACCCGATAACGAATAATCTGCCGGCACCCCAGCTTCTCCGTTCCCACATAAGACCTGCGACGCATACACGACGCTTCAAACCTCCTCCGCCACACCCATCAACCGGCGCACCTGGTTTCATTTACTATATAACTTCTATACCACACGACACAAAACTGCATTGGGCGGAGTTTTTTTTGAACAAAGACATTTCTCGAGTCATGAACGAACGAGTAAGAACTATACCCCGGATAGATTGATTGGCAAAGGAAGACCTGGGATTGGATGGGCTGGATAGAATTGTGCTTGTGCTTGTGCTTGCATGCTTCCCTTCTTTCGACGGAAAAAATAAACCGAGGTGTTGAGTGCTACTCCGGTAGTCATATCATCCGCTCCCCTCCTTTGCCGAGCGACTCCCAACACCTCGGATTTCCCTCGTCACTTGGTCGCTTGTTTGCTTGGGCGTTCGTCTATCATCATTGGCGGTGGAAGCAACCAAAATAAAAAAAAAGAAATATGTGCAGCAAAAAAAAAGGTCGGTTTTCCTGGCGAAAGTAGTAAGAATATTGAGTATAAGTAAAATTTAAATCACAGATCTGCTATTCTACTCTTCTTGTATTGCGCGGCGTTTTGTCATGGGCCTTGGCTTTTTTCGTTTCATAGAAAGTTAACTACTCCCTTCTTGTGCTGTATTTATGTCGCTTGTTTTGGCCTGGCTTGCATGGTTCTGGATAGCTGAGCGTTTTGTTTAGTTCGCTTCGCTTTTGATTGGCAGGGAAAGAGGGAAGGGGAGCTGCAGTACATCGTGAGATGGCTCAGGTGGAAAAGCAGTTATGCATGTGTATAGAAGAGGAAGGGAATTTAAGGGTATAGTTTAAGTCGTCGTATATAGACATTGGAATCAATAGGAGTGAGAGATTTTGACACTATCATTTACCTACCCTGAGCAGCACGAGACTTGTAACGCAATCTTTGTTTGATATTGATGGAATTAAGACTGTAAACTTCCACTTGTCAAGATCTTGAATCAAGCACGCTCTTCCTTAAAACTTTTACTTCGCAACCCCTCACCCCTCCCGATAGATACATCCTGGATAGACAGAAATGATAAAATCCGATAGAGAGACATCTCGGAATCCAGATCTTGAGTGATTTAGAGAAAGACAGTTTCAAACATATAAAATCGAATGAGGATCTGCGCATCAGGCAGTAAGAGAAGGAGGGGGAGAGGAGAGTATTCGTAGTTCTGAAGATTGGAGGTTGAGACGGTGCTCGAAGCCTCGAAGGTCTGCATCTCTATAAATCTGTATTAGCATAACTTCTACTGTTTTAAGATACTGTACTTACCTGTAAATTGGCATTCGTAGATTCGTAGATTCGAGCCTTGGGCGTTGGGAAGAGGGTTGGAGCTCTTTACAGGACCGAGGAAGAGACAGTGCGTGAAATTAAACCACGTGATTAGACACCCCTTTTTCTGTAATTGTGCACGGGAGAGGGTATGTGACGCTGTGCAGGGGATCTAAATAACGGGATGGTGACGCTACTAAAAGAAATCTTCGGCTCTGGATCCTTGAGGAAGTGATAAGGAGAGCTAACTAAAGCTGATACCTAAGATATATTCACTTGGCTGTTGTTGTGCTGGCTGCTCGTCTAGGGGAGCATCGTGAGATCCTGGAGGATGGGGCTACTGCTTTTTGACGCGGGCTGTAAGTCTCGTATTCATCCTGAACCACGGTCTGAATTCCTCAACAGATACACTTGCTTTCTCGGTACTGGTGAGCTACCATATCCTATTACAACTTGAGAAACCTACTCTCTTCTTTGAAGGATTTCTGCAGATACCGACGTGTAATCCGAACAGCAATTGAATCTACTCCAACAACCACTCCATTGAGATCTTTCGCTGTTCAGTCAGCCATGTCGGTCAAGTCTTCCATCTCATTTTCCACAACGGTCTGAATTCCTTGACAGCGACAATCGGCTTGTCGTTCTTCACAGCGGTCTGAGTCTCCCAACAGCGAGACTTGTTTCGTCTGTACTTGCGAACTTCCAATAAGAGCACAGTGTAGAATAACTTACAGTGTTGGCCAATGCAGCGCACATTTTGCCGTTTGAGATTGTGAAAATTGACTTTCACGGTACAGAATGCAGGACGAATTCTAAGCGACATTATTGTGTTGAGGATTCGTAAGATCATACACAGTCCTTGATCGTTTTATAATTTCTTCACCGGGACCAGCGGAGCTGGTCAAGTCTACTCAAAGGTAGAGGTCGAGACTGACAGGCATCTAGGGGGTATTAATATGGCTTGTCCACAGAGAGGGTAGTCTGACGGCGCGGATAATGGATACTCACGTTTTCTTGCGCTACGGTTCGTCCGAGATAAGTCCACATCCCTTGTGCGCAGAGGTGGCCTGGTAGATCCGAGCACCTGGTACTAGGGAGCTATTCCCTCCCCGCTGCTAGTCAAATCACGTTATCGTCCTTGAAGCTGCTCGGCGATTCTTGAAGCCAGGAAGGATCAAGGTATGCAGGAAGAAATTGATGGAGAATACTACGCAGTCAAAATACTGCCTGGATCCCAGGTGCGCTACATCCATCCATCCAAAGGATATCCAGGGTCCAGGGAGGCCGTGGTGCTTGTGGAAAGTGTACAGATAACCTGCACGCTGTGCGAGCATCGCACAATAGTGATTGTGCAGCGGTTGATAATCTCAAGGAAGTGTTGGAGCTGGCAGAAGCAAACCAGTGGCGACAATGCTATAAGTGCCGAGGCTTGATGAGGTCACATATATGGAATTATCGAACTCGGTGCCCTGTGGTGCTTTCTCTCTCAGGGCTGACGGATCTGGATATGCGATCTCTGAGGAAACTTGTAGAAAGCGGCATTAGAGCAAATAAAGGATGGTAAGACTTTCCTGCCTACACGTTCGGTGATAGTGAAAGTCTATTGCCTGTAAGCTAGAAAACACCTTCAAGCTTGAAGGCTTCAATGCCTTAGAGAGCGTCGACGACTTCTCGAAGGGTGTCGTTTGAGAAGGAATGCTCTCTTTAAAGGTTGATGTGGTTTAGAATCCGTGGGCCCTTCGCGCTTTCCCCTGGGTCAAAGCAACTATCGGGATTCTTAACAAGACCGTGGGCTGCAATGAGATAAGGTTAGTCCTACCCCTAAGTTGTCTTCATTCCAAAGTCAATAATGATTCTCTTATGTGCTAATGTAATGTAAAGATGTGTTTTGTTCGTAGAGCGCTTTGGGGAACTTGCACACGTCGTAACATTCACTAACTTTAGGAACTTGTTAGAGTACGTGATCTCGCTAATTATCGAGCTCTGAACTCCGGTTTTCCACAAGTACCAGCAGGCGTTGCTCCTTGAGCTTGTAGGTTATTACTCTCCTTTTTCTCAGAGAGCGGGCTGCTCTTTTTTTATAGGATGTTCTCTCTCGGGGACTCTTCTTTTCTAGGGCTGTTTCTAAAGGCCTATAGTAGAGAATAGAAGTTCCTTTAGGTAAGCACGCCTGTACAGCATGCTCATCTTAAGCTTTCATCTTTTAGTGACACCTGTAGAACTAGGTAGTGTAAGAGCTGTGCAGGTGTAGAGAGGGGCCTTGCTTAAGGCTTGGGCCGCTTGGTAGGTACATCTGCGAAGTTCTGTCGTTTCTTTCAGAGCTTAAGAACAAAAAACAGAAAAAAAGAAAATCGACAACGAGAAATCAAGATGAGACAATAGATTCACAGCGTGAATACGTGTTCGAAAGTACTGGCTTTCTTCTTCACAACGAGAATCTCGTTCGCAACAAGAACAGAGCTTTCTAAAGCTGCGTGCTGTGTTTGCGTACCATGAGTTCAAGGTGTAATTCAGCGCGACAGACTTACCCTAAATAGACTTCCATCCTCTAATGATCCGCCGACAGCATAGAGCGCAGTGTAAAGACAAGACTTGTCAGTCCAAAGGTAGAAATATATAGATGGAGAAGGTAGGTAGGTAGAAGGGAAGGCGCTAGTTCTCTTGATCTGTCGTGCCTTAGCGAGATCGCTTATGGGTGCTTGGGGAAAAGGGGCTCACGTGCCGTGTAGCAACGAAGATGTGGATTTCTAGGGATCCTCGGTACAAGAAGAGCAAGGTGATCGCCTCGAGTAGTCCAACTACTTATCCACTTATGTTGTAGCCTAGAAAGTTACAGAGTATAATTGTGTAAGCAAGTAGTGCATAGGTACTAAGAGGTCACTTTAGAGTATCCCCTTACAATACTTCCCCTGGCCTGTTTAGCCGGACAGATAAAGTTTATAGCAATTGTAGGTGACAGTCCAACTTTCTGTCCCTTTGAATCATGTATCTATCTGACACAGCTAAGAACTCAGACCATCCTGCTCAGCTCTTCTCGTCAAACGTGGTCTGGATAGAACCCTGTGTCTCTGACGCTATAGACCACGAAACAGCCTTGTTAATCCTGCAGATGAATCTCGGAGATAGAAGACAGCTTCCTAAAGAATTTCTAGGCTGTGATAAGTCTCGTAAGGGGAGCTTTCTGACTTGCAACTTGCCCTCTAGCTTATTGCCAACATTAAAGATATAAATCTTGACGTGATGATGAGCGGAAAGAACCAGACTCATGAACCTTTACTATCTCTACTACTGAGAGAGAGCCTGTCTTGAATTTCTCTTCTCCAGGCTCTGAGATCTAATGAGATGCCTTGCATAACTGAAAGTTGAACCCCCTTTGAAGACCAGGCCTTTGTATCAAAGAGGTGATCCTAAAAATACATATAGTCTGCACTCTTTGTCGAGCATCAATCCGAAGAACTCAATACATCTGATAACATTAGGCCTCAAATGCTACATCAGCAATAAAGCGGGGTCTTCGCAATGGGCACTACCCCGCCCCCATCTCTGCTACAAGGTCTGCCAAGAAGAAGGTCATTTCTTCAACCTGCGAAGGGCTGGAAGGGTGTAGCGATTACCGTAGCATAGTAGAGCTTTCTACCTAGGAGTTGTAATAACACAGCATTCATGACCCCTTTCCTTCCTCCAAACTGGCTCCCCAAGTTCCCAACAACCAGCTATCTTTCCAGCTGCCGCTGCGGCGTTTCATGCTTAAGTGCGGAGTCAGTCTGTGGAAGAACTGCTGAGCTAGATCCAGGCTCTTGTACTGGTCCTATGAGTTGGTTCATCTACATCTATAGTATCCATTGCTACGCTATATACAGATACAAAAACCGTCTTCCCCGAGAAGCAGCCAGATGTAGAAAGTCTTTGATAGTGCATTTGTGTCCAGTGCTTCGATATGCATGCACGAGATCACATTGAAATGATACCCGACTAGGTCAGACTAACGTTCATCTTTCGTCCCTCACTTTATCTCTTTGCCGGTTAAGTCTAGCCAGGATCCTTGATGTACAAGTTAGATAAGGTAGAGTAGCTTTGTCTTTTAGAGAAATGATCAAGGTGACAAAAGGTACTGCTGTTAGAAGTCCGGTATATTGATCCGTCCTTGGGATCTGTAAAGGTGATATGTAAGGAATGAGCGGCTGGATTTACTTTTCGTGGGTTGATGATATGAATAATGCGAGATTAGAATTCTGGAGAAGCATGAAGGAAAGGAGAAGAGAGAGGAAAAGATAGAGAGGATAATGCAAGATAATCCATAAGACAGAACCACCTAGGTCCTGAAAGCCGCCTTGCAGCAGGTTAGCTCATCCCCAAGGTACTGCCAACACCCTTTTCAAACCAACGGCACAGCACCTCCCTCTCACCGGCGTCCCCCGCATAGAGTAGAGCGAATATATTATATCCTATCCCTATCTCCGACCGATCTATTTAACAATAATCTATACCCTCTTCGAAAAAAAAGATGCACTCTCTATCCTGTAGATAGGTAATTTATAAAGGAACCGGAACCGGGTATGCATGCGTCTCCCTCCGTGCTCATCCAGAAATCATCCAGGTCTATCTAGGTATCACGATCCGACAAGTCTCGGGGTTCTTTTGCTTGTTGCAATCTCATATGCGTGTCCTGCGCGCGTCGTCCTTTCCCCGAGCGGGATGGGTTTGTGATCACGCGATCGTGGGGGCGGCCAGCGCTGTGGATAAGGGTATCATTCAGGAGCCGTTGAGCTCGTTGAGCTCGTTGATCTCGACCCGGATTTGGCCGAGGCGCTTTTGTTGCCGTTGGTATTCGTTGTACATGGCTTGGCATGTCTCGTCTGCTTGGTTGTAGCTGGATTGCCGGTGTTAGCAAGATTGGTCCCTCATATGTACTCTGCTTGCGAGGAAAGAAAGGAAAGAGAAACGTACTTCTTCCAATCCTGCCCGCCATATCCTCCATGCTTCTCATATGCAGCGTACGCCTCCTCCTTGGCGATGTACGCCTGTCCGCACCTGAATTTCTCCTGGGCCTGCATATCTCTAATTTTCTTCTCCTCCTTCCTCAACCAGCTAACCTTATCCTCGGTCTTCAGATCCGCATATTCGCGGCCCTTGAACTCGCCTCTCCAATCCTCCTCCTCCTCGCCCTCCTTCCGCTCGTCGCCGCTGCGCAGCGCAAAGCTCGCGCCCTCGCTGATCCCGCGGCGGCGCCCAAGATCAAAGACGCCGAGACCGAGGGCGAGGGAGCCGACGCTGATACCGGCGAGCTCGTAGGGCGAGAAGCGCTTTTGGTTGGTTATGAGGTAGTAGCCCAGGCCGCAGCACCCGATCCCTCTGATGTCATGTCCGCCCGCCGTCGCCAGAGACTCGCGAAAGAGTGGAACCGGATCCCGTTCATGGGACAGACGGGATAAATGGGAAGAAATGGGATTCAGATGGGGACAACTCTCCACACTTCCACTGGAAGATCAGCTATATAACTCATCAACACCGCTCCCCGCCGCTGGATCCCCTTTTGCACATTACAGAATCCACTCACTCACTCACTCTCGTCAATTCGTCACCTCCGAATCAACAATCTCAACTCACCCCACCACGCCACCCGCCTCACTAGAAGCAGGAGATCCTCAATCTATCTCCTCTCCTTATCTTCTCATCAAACTCGTCGATCCCTCTGCCAACTCAATCTATTCTCCGACTTGATCCATCCACCTGTCCATTAACCCTCCCAACCATCGCAATCATGACTGACCACGCTCGCCCCTCCATCGTCTCCAAACGCACCCACGTCCGCCAAAAGAAGCATGCTGCCGCCGCTGCTGCCCCTCCTCTCCCCGCCAATCTACCCGCTGCGCCCTCAACCCTTGAGCGCATCCTCGTCGGCACCACAGTAAATGCCTGTCGATGTTTCCCGCAGCCAACGAAAAGACGAATCGGTGTTTCCCCCCTGGCGCCAGAGCCGCGGATTATTGCTGCTTTTGATGTTTCTTGTCTGTCTGTCGTTGCGTTGGAACTGGGGGGACGAGAGTCCGTCTCACGTATGATTCCATGTCTCGGATGAGGAGGGGAGAGAGAGAAGAGAGAGAGAGCATCAGGAATGTCGGAGGAGGGAGAACTTGATTCCTGTCGAGTCTCTCCTTTCAGCCTCTCTTCTTTCTCTCTTCTCTCTCCTCTCCTCTCTCCCGTCCTTTTCTTCTCTCCTTGACTCTCCTCTCAAGTCTCCTCCCTCTCCTCCCTCCCTCTCCCCTCACAAAAGCAATCATCATCATCATCATCATCATCATCATCCTCAATCCTCCGCCGCAGTCTCGCCGTGATCTTCACGCACTCCGATGCTGTATCCATGGCCGGATGTGGGGACCCTCTTCTCCACACTTTCCCCCTCCATCAGCCATCTGCACCATCGAGTATCATCGACCCCTCGGATCTCCAGTGTTTCGCGACGCTTTCGTCTTCACGTGCGCCCTGAGCCAGCCATGATGTGCGCCCGGCAATTGTCTTGTCTGGCTGTGGGCTGCCTCTGCGCTGGAGAAGGCATTTATCTGTACTGTACTATACTAAGCAGTGCCCAGCCAAGCCAGCCTTGCAGCCTTGCCAGGTGCTCGTGCGATCGAATGCGCCCAATAACAAGAGTCGAGAGAGTTGCGCGATTATTCCTTTCCACTTCTTCCTGCACTGTCCACTCAATGGATCCTCAGATCATCAATCAGCAGCTCCCACGCATTGGCCGCATCGCTAGAAGCACGTCTCTTCCACAGAGCCGACTCTCCTCTTTTTCATGTTGATCCCAGCACCCCCCCTCTCTGTGATATTATTCAGGAGTCGCTGGAGGACGAGGTCACATGACAGCTTTCGGGAGGTATTTTTCCTCTCTTGCCTACTGACAACTTACTGTAGACCCCCCCCCCCTGCAAATATCGCCGCGGAGAGCGCTTGCCCACCACCCAACCACGAGCCCCATCACGCTGCATCGTGCCGCCCACGAGGATGTCCCCCCGCAACCCAGCCCGATGACTCGCTGTCCCCCGTAGCCCGTAAGCAGCCTGAGCGACCGTGGATCTATTTGTAGAAAACCGCACACCATCGGAATCCAGAGATGCAGAATGGCAGGCTGTCCAAATTTGGATCATAGGCGCCCGTTGAAGAAGAGGTGGGTTACCTAGGTGCTATATAGAACAGCAGGAATGGGCACTCCTTAGGGGGGCTATACGTATGGTAGTAGAGGTTGGATTGATGTTTGATCATTCTGTGAATTCTTGAACTCTTGAACTAAGGAGAGCTGGTATACCCAGCAAGACATCATTCTCACCATGTCAGAAAGCAACAAGCCTGTGAGTATGGGCTTCAAATTGTTTCCACCTCCTTCAAAGCCCAATAACCCATCGAGGAAGCCGAGTACGAGGCGGTATGCTATCAATCCTCAATCTCCTCCCCACTCCGCCGTTGAGAGGCCGGAATCTCCTGATTTCCCCTTGGATGGCCAGCAATCTGCCCTGGATGGCAGCCAGAACGGTCCCCTGGGACGACCATCTACAGACGGGAGGCAGTCGAGTCTTGGAGGACGGCAGACGCCTCAGACTGGTCGGGAATCTCCTATTGCGGTGCCTTCAGCAGTGCACCACGGAGCGGGTAGATCGAACACATCCTCCTCCGAAACTCCTACCTTGGTACGGGGCAACAGCAATCCTTTTCGTCAATCCATAGCCAAGACAGGCCTCCACAGTTCTCCACCTCGTGGAGAGGAGCCCGTGATGCGTTCAATATTCCCGAGATATAATCCAGACCTTCCTCTCGAACACCAGCAGTACTTCCCCACCCAAGCAAGTCCCACCCATATCCCCCGAGAAATCATCAACCGAAGGCCCTATTCCCCTAACCACACAGATGGGAGGTCTCCTCTACAAAGCCCGGGCATCCTGGGGATCAACGCCGGGTCATTCCCCCGCGGCATCTCAGAAGACCCCGTCATGGAGCCCTCCAGCAACGAGGAGATGAAACAGTTATGGAAGGTCGTCAATGGCTGGAGGGTCCAGCAATCAGAAGGCCGCACATTCTGCATGAGGATGAGCAGCGCCGCCGAGGAGCCCGTCCACACCCTCTCCTCCGCAACCCATCCCTTCTACACGCTCCGTCTGAACCCCACCTCAACATCCGCACAGATGACCATGCTACGCCACGACCCCAACAAGACGCCCAAGAGAGGAGCCAGCAGCTCGAGATCATCATCAGCATCCTCGTCCTCGAAACCCGACGCCGGGATCGAAGTGCTCGGCACCACGCTCGAGGAGACCGCGCGGCGCTTCCCGCCGAACGACGGGCTCGTCGCCCTGCTCTATCCGCGCGCCGCCTCCAAGATGGTCATCGAGCTGGCCAACAACGCGAACCCGCGCACGAATTTCGAACAGGTCGTCGCGGCGGCCGAGCACGAGTGCGGGCGCCTGGTCTGGGACGAGGACAGCAGGAGATACTATCTCGTGCACCCCGCGGTCAGCACCCCCTTCGTAGTCTCCATCTTCAGCTCGCCCGCCTGGTCCAAGGTCGAGTACGTGCTGGAGCACGAGCAGCTGCCGCGGAACCTGGCCCGCCTGGTGCGCGACGGCGCCGGCTCGGGATCTCTCGAGGTCGACACGGGCGTCGCGGCTAAGATCGACTGCTTTTATATCGTGGACGTGGCTGTCTGCGCGCTGATGCTCGTCGCCATCGAAGAGGAGAAGAAGAAGAACATCGAGCGCTTCGAAGCGCCGCCTGTCGTGGCGCCGCCGTCGCCGGGAGCGAAATCGTCGAAAGCGGTCAAGGGGAAGGGGAGGAGGGACAAGGAGACAAGGATCGAGGAGTTCGAGATGGATCTCGAGAGTCAGGAGTCCTCGATGAAGGATAGGAAGGAGAGGCAGGAGAAGGTGCCGGGCTTCTGTGGCTTGCTGTGGATGTTGGTGAAATGTCTGGTCTGGTCCCTGACAATGCTTTTCAAGGCCACAGCCAAGGTTATAATCGTGCTCAGCAAATGTCTGACACGTAAAAAATCATGATAATTCTTTCAAGGCGTTAGGGGGGTCCTGGGATAGGGGTTTCATCTTCTTCTTGGTATATAAATTCGCCGGCGATATCTCTCTTCGAATATTAGATAGGCACTTACTTGGTATGCGGCCGAGCTCGAGTAGTAGTAGCCCAGCGTACACTTTTTCGTCATGTCTGATGATAGCCAATTAATAACATTTTTCATCTCTTGCGTTCTCGCACCTTGAACTTGACGCCCTGTTTATTGACCCCGCCCACCGTGGGCGATTTCGCCATCTTCGCCCTCTGTAGATCCAACGCCTCTTCCGCTTCCGTCAACGCCTTTAACCGCTGCCGTGCATTAGCCAATCTGCCTTCCAATCTATCCTCCTCCCTCTCCTTCAACCTCCTCAACCTCCTTGCCTCGGGGTCAAACTCCCCATCCTCATCCTCGTCCTCGTCGTCCATATCCACATCCCCTTCCTCCAGCCTCTCCCTCTGCTCCACCTCATCATCCACAAACACGATCTTGCGGCCCTCCCCCTTGATCCCCACCACCCGCTGCTCCAACTCGGCCACCTCTTTCGCCGTCTTATTCCGCATCGTCCGGATATACCCTAAATCCTGCGTCTTGTACAGCCGCACCGCATCCTGGCTCAGCGCGACATTCCCTCGGTCCCCGGCTACCGTCCCATCACTGTTCTTCCCTGTCGACGGCCCCTTGCGCGACATCATCCCGACTATAACATAAGCATGTTTACATTATCTTAATAAGAGTTACTCACAGTAAAACTCATCGGGGTTCTTCTCTAGCACCTTTTGCCGCAGCTGCTTGAGCTTGGCTTTCTTCTGGTTGAAATCTCGCGCCCGCGCGGAATAGTCCTGCGCACTGTTAGAAGGGCATGCATGCAGGGGAGAGGGGATCTTGCTTTGTGCTTTTCGAGGAGTCCCCATTTCTGACGCTCTTCAGGCTGTCCTCTTTCGCGGTGGTTGCGCCGTTGAACGGCATTTCGCATGGAAGACATGGTGGTTGTTCTCAGACGAGTAGCGCTTTCAAAATGACTCAAAGACCCAGAGGAAAATAGGACCTTCAGAGGAAAGTAGGACCCAAGACGCAACGTAGATGAGAAGCGGAGTCGAGCTCGTCGTCGTATGAAGAATATGAAATGTCGGATTTTAAACTTTCTCAGCCTCTCCTCTCGCATATCCTCCTAGCGCCGGGGCACGCGGCCGCTAGCGCCTAGTCCAGGGATCGAAGCTTCACTCGACCTCCCGAGACATGCCATAACGATTTTCGACTACAGCACAGCAGCCCGCGCTCGCCGCCCCCCAATCCCTCGTTTTTTTTCTGAATGGCAGCCATGGCTCCTCCACCAACCGCGGTGGACGATGAAGAACGCTTACCCATGCCCTCGCGGAACCCGCTTCCCCTGTCCGCCGCGCAGGAAGCGCAGGTGCGAGAACTGTACCATTCACGCGTGCGGGCCCATTGCGCGGAGGAAATCAGATGTGCGTGTTGTTGCCCGTTTTCTTGACATTGGATCTGGGGCCTTTTTTTGCTGATTCTTGGACATGCAGTGTTTGCGGAGTGCGCTCTGGGCCGCACCTTCACGGCGCCGTTCAAATGCCGAGCTAGAAATCGTGAGATGAACACCTGTATGGTGGCACATGCCACGCCGGCCGAACAAGACGCTGCGAGAGAAGAGTGGTTCGCGACGAGGTTAAAGCGGCAGAAGGAGCGTGAGGCTCGAGAGGAGAGGAGGAAGGAGCAAGAGAGATTTCACAGGGAGTGGTGGGGCCTTCCCATCGAGGATCGTGAGGGGCAGAAGGGGAGGGATATCATCAAGAAGGCAGAGCGCGTGGGAGGCTTTCCAAGAAGGGATGAAGGCCAGCCAAGCAAGGATCGGCATAGATGAGCGTGGGGAAGAAGAGAAAAGAAAAAGCATTTGTATGGAGCTTGAGCTTGTGCATGGCGTTTTGGGATGGCATCTATTTTTTCCTGCGCTGAGGGAGCGCATGTGTAAGTTAGGATGTACGTTTGGGTTATAAGAAATCACCATTCTGGTTGCCAGGTGATGTGGCTCATTTTCATTCAATGTGTAGCAGTGGTGGGTGCACAGATTGATAGCTGACAAATCCTAAGGTCAGCGGCGGGAAGAGATTGTGTTAATCTAGATTCTTATAGAATTCTATAAGAGGGTATCAAGAAGGCCCCAGAAAAGAACAAGAGAATGTGGATCTAGAACACTCCCCAAGTTACAGTATCAACTTCCAGCATACCAGAAAACCTTAACCCGGCAATCCGCGGCTATAGGAACTCACGAGTGGGGTTCTATTCCAGTGTCATCTTTCCCCCGGTTCTCAATTCCCTTAGTTGCTCTTTTTATAATGGATCATGGGGAACGTAGCGTCGATGTCGGTGGGTGGCCTCCTTCCAGGGGCATTTTCTATAGTGAAATAGTACATGTAGCCTGCTGCTGTTCTTGCTATTTGATGACGTCTCACGTATAGGAGGACATCTACTAATATCTGTCATAGTACCAAAACCTTCACAACCCGCCCCCAAGGGCCCAAAGGCTCGTTCAGGGCTAGAGTTGGCTGGTCGAGTCGCCCAGTTGGCTGCCCGCTCCCCTCGCCAAACCCCTCCTCCCCGCGACATTGGTGCGATGGCGCCCGCACCACCAACGCCTCCTCCAGAGGACCTGAAGCCGGTTCCCCTGCGATATCCCGAGACGCTGGGCACGCTGATTGAGATCCGGGAATCCGAAGGCAAGGGGAAAGGAGTATTTGCGCTAACCGACATCGAACCGGGCACCATCCTGCTCTCCGAGGCTCCCCTCGTCACGCTGATCGACACGGGCACGCGCGCCGACCCTCTCGATGCCGCTGTCAACGCCCTGTCCCCCGAAGCGCGCGCTTCGTATCTCTCGCTGCACAGCTATTCGAGCCGGCCGCACGAGTCGCGGAACCGCTCGATCCTGTACAGCAATGGCTATTCCATCATGAACGATCTGGCCACCGGCGTCTTCGAGACGGCGAGTCGCATCAACCATTCCTGCGTGCCGAACTCGCTGTACAAGTGGTTCCCGCAGGGCGATAGCGGGAGGATGGTGTTCTGGAACCGATTCAAGTTGCTCGAGGGCGAGGAAGTCTGTGTCGATTATGGACACAAGAGGAGTTACCTGAAGAGGTTTTATGGGTTTGACTGTGATTGCGGGGGGTGCACAGATGGGGGCGGTAGCAATACAAGTAGCTCATCGTCGGAGAATGAGAAGGCCGCAGAAAGTGGAGTTAAAGGTATCGAGGAGGTTATGAAGAGTTTGGCTCTTGATGGAGGGGATAGAAAGAAAGGAGGGGATGGAAAGGAGGAAAGCTGACATCTACCTGCCTGGTTCTGTCTGTATGCACAGGCCAGTTGTTCAAAGACTTCCTGGGTCAGTGGATGTCTCTTTTTATTGACTTGCACGAGTTTTCTGTTTTCTTTCTATGCATTAGATCGAAGTCGTTATATCATATGGCCAAGCAGATGTACATTAAAGCAAAACTTGAACGAACAGAGAAGCTATCTGTCTCTTCTTTATTAGCCCAAGTTCGGGCAATTGATACCCCTGAAGTAATCATGTCGTCAACCTTCTTTACTCGTCGCTGCTCCACGGTATTGAAGGAAGGGCCAAATTGCTACACGCATCACCCGCGAAATCAAGACTCAAGTCTCGTGGTGGTCCACCCTTATATATACCTAATGTCACAATAAGCAAACTCCTTCCACCAACAAACAAACAAACAAGCAACTCCCAAACCAGCGCCTCCGGCCTCGAGAGGAGAGTTGCATAAAAAGTGCACCAAAGATGTAACAACAGTAGGTCATCGTGGTCACGGCCTATGGGGGAAAGGCGGATGGGCGGCTTCAAAAAAGTCAAAGACGATTTTCTACGCTTAGGATCTCCGAGTTTTGCTATTTTGTTTGGTGCTATACATGTAAGCATTTGATATTATGTTCTATTTCTATAGCACTTCTTTTTTTGTCGTTGGAGGAGACTGATATACCGAGAGACTTGACTCTTTCGCGTTGAGGGGAGCTGCTAGTTGTCAGATACCTACCTAGGGTCCTCGACCGAGTTGACCTGGCTCTTATGGTTCTGGAGTACCACGGCAAAGAAGAAATAGGGTGCTTTCCTTCCAGTTTGTATATGGGAAATTTCGCTAGGACAAACCTGATTGTTTGTCTATTGGCCAATCTCTCTGCTCCTTATAGAGGATGCAGCGTTTTACAAACATAGATACGATAATGCATTGCTTAACCAAGTAGCAATCCTGTTTCTATTTTGACCGTCATGAAAAATCTCTAAATCAAGGCACGGCCACAACGGCTACTCCTTTACAAACACACTCTCCCACCACACATAGCACTCGCTGCATGCATGCAAACCCCTCTAATGCAATCTCTCGCTGAGGTAAACCACCGTAGCATAGCCCTCGCAACAGCGCGTACTCATACCATGCCCACACCACGGGCACTTGACCGCTGTGCTAATAACACCACTTACACCTCTTTCCCTGTCTTCCACCACATCATCCGGTTTGGCCATGCATTCGTAGATCTTGGACGGCAGATCGTGGAAATAGCGGCAGCCGCAACAAATCACGAACATTTTTGCAAGAGGTTCGGCGGTGGCGATGCTGGCTTCGTGCGCCAAAGGAGGAGTGGAGCGCTTTGAGGATTGGAGGGTGGAAAGTGGAAGAGGGGTTCTAGGGACGGGTTGCTGTGTACTGATTGAGGGGATAGATGAGGAGCTTGCGCTGTGTGGGGATGGGAGGGAGGGCCGGATCGGCAATCTGACGCCTGGGTTTTCGTGCTTTGCTTTTTTGATTGGGCTTTTGCCTCTAAGCTGTGAGGGGGGGCCAAGAGGTCGGTGTTTAAGTTCCGGGAGAAAACTCAGGTCGTGTGGATCAGGCGTTGATATAGATCCTGAATGGCTTGGTCGACGTTGTTGTACACTGGCCTCATGTTCCTTGCCAGGAGAAATGATGGAGAGGCTCCCTTGGGCAACTTGGCCGCCTGATCGAAGGCTTGGAGAATTGAGAATAGAGCTATCTCCAGCCGGCGTACCTATACGGCCTTTGTCATCGTTGAGATATCCAGGCGTCGTCATCCGACCCCAACCCTCGCCAGTACTATCTGAGTCATTACTTTCCAGATTGTCATTCATTAGTGAGCTTGTGCTCCTATTTTGTACCGGATGTAAACTAAGGCCATTAGAAAAGTCCTTGGGTACCTTCTCAATTGTTGACACGGCCAATCCCTTCTGGGACTGTGGCCTCGAAACGTCAGGTGTTGTGGGATTTGTGAACTCGCAGAGGATGGACTCTCTACTCGAGTCTGTTGCCAATATTGACTGAAAGGGGGGAGAAGATACGTTTGTTTGCGGATTGGCGGAGCTGGAATATTGTGGGCGAGGTTTAAGGTAGTTATTCGAAGAAGCAATACCCGACGGTAGTGGCCGGATTCCTGATGACCCCTGGGTGGTCAAGGGGTATACGGGTGATCCTAAAGTCTTCTCCACTCTGATGTCTTCATTGGAAGTAGAAACACAATTCCTCAATAGAGACTGTTCACTTTTCGGTGTCGAACCATCGTCTGATTTAAACGCAGTCGCAGGTGAGCCAGACAAGTGTCTCGAAAATGCTGCCTTAGCGACACTTTTGAAGCCTTTGAATGAAGGGGCCCTTGATCCGGATCTCGACAGCTTTCCGCTGGTTAGCGTGGGGATGCGATTTGAAGAAGAAACATTTTGTTGATCCACAAATGGTCGTGAAGGGCTATTAGCAGCAATGAGATAATTGCTATTTTCGACTTCATTTGAGATGAAGGTATCCTGGCTATCAGTAGAAGGTCTAGAGATAATATCTCCTTTGCGAGTACGACTTCTAAGCGACCAGGATCTCGTCCTTGAATGAGATTTGACTGGAGCAGCTACTCCAGTAGAGACCAAGTATTCGTCTTCAAAGGTGGATATAGAACTCTCCTTGCTTTGTTGCCGCCTGCTCCATACGTAGCCACCTCGGGGTCCACGGCCACGTGATGATTGCATCGTCTCCTCAGGAGGAGCTCGATAGCTGACGGGCGGTCGCTCAGAGATAGGTCTAGGTGGTTTAATAGCTTTTGTACGCTTCTCCGGATTTCTATCACCCTTACCGCTTGGAATTGGGTCCGTGGAGATGTCTTGAGATTCTGGTTCTAGTTCTTCCAAAGGTTTTGGATCTGGGGAAGTATATTCCACGGCAGAGGTTCCAGCTTTGCGATCTCTTTTGATACGTCGATCCATAATTAGGGTAGTGGTCTCTGAAGTTTGGCGTGAGACCATCCCCTTTGCTATCTTCGCCGAGTAGGATGACTGGTCGAAGGCTGTCCCGTTCTGACTCAAAGGCAAGTCACTTCTTGATTCCAGTTCCTGAATCTGGCCGCCGAGATTCCCCCCTGGTGATTCATTAGATGTGTTATAATCTCTTCCTCCCGCAGAATCGTGCTGATCTTCCTCGTGTGAGGGGCTCTGCTTCTGTGTCCCCTCTTGAACCACAGCCTCGTCGGCTTTCTTGAGTTTTATTCCGCCAATGAACCCATTAAGTCTCGTAGATTGGCTCCCCTCCGCTGTTATCGGTTGTGGGGAGATCCATGGGCCTGATACAGCTTTAGTAGCGTTAAGAAAGCCTTTAAAACCAAGATCAAGACTTCTACTCCCGCTTCGGGGCCTGGTATCCTTTTTACCTCTTCTACTTTGTGACTCATTCGAAGCTTCTGTGGCCGATGCCGACTTTGAGCTATCCGTACTGATCGCTATCTCAGATACTTTGGATGGGGGCGGAGCCTTGTTCGGACGTTTCTGAAGCCTCTGTCGTTGTTTATCCTTCAGCTCCAGTTCAGTGCTTTCTTTCCACTTCCTGTGCCTCTCTCTTGCCTCACGCTTCTCCGCTTTCCTCTTCTTTGTCTCAGTGTTATCCCAGCTGGGCGATTGGCAGATCGAGGTGACATCTGATCCATCATCATTCGGCACATGTTCCTTGTCTGAGAATACCACAGTCTCTGCGTTCGGGGTATTAGGACCCGCGACAGCAATCTCTTCTCGCATGCCAGTTAAAGGGATCGCCAGGGAAAGGTTGGGTGTTGTCATCGACCTTTCCCTTGTATCCAACAATAGGGGTTGTTGAAGAGGCCGCAGACTCGACAGTGGACTTGTTCCTGGACGGGCGAGGGGAACATTCGTTACCAAAGCGGTCTGCATTCGATCTATCTGCATAAAGCTGTTAGCGCAAAACCTAATGTTGGCTTGAGAGGTGCATTTACATACCTTGTTCTCCTTCTCTCGATCCAGCATGCGTTGGAAGGGAGAGCCCCTTGACGGCGTTGACACCCTATTGTGGTCTTTAGAGCTCATCTCGAACCAGGCGGAGCTGTTTGTAGACTTGATCGGGCAGGCTACAGCTCCGTCGACTAATGATTATATCTCCAAGAGACAGTTACAAACGACGCCGACCATGAGCCACTTCCAGTCAATATTCCGAACTTGATGTCTCGATGAGGTGTACAAATAAAGTACTCCTCAATTTGTCTCGGATCTGTTGGATTTGGGCGTGCCGCGACTACCAACGCGGGAGGATGCAGAAAATTCGGATGCTTTCCTTTTGATAACGAACGGAATAACGAACAACGAGAGAGCAGTGGAATAGCAAGGAAGTTGAGGAGAGGAAGCATAAAGGAATAGCAGCTACATTTGACAGTGCAACTACTACCACGCCAGAGTGAATCGAGGTTTTACCACCAGCACTTGGAGGTCACACACCTGAGGTAAACGGTAGCGTGGATATGGCGAGGCTACACCGAAAAGCTATACTGATTGATGGTGGTGGCGCCAGATGGCTGGTAGATGAATTTATTTATATTTGGGATCTGGGATTCGGCGGAATCATACATGACCCAGATGAATATGCACGCGGAGTACCACAAAGGCGTCAATGTATTCGGGTTCTACTCTGTATATATGTTTGAACACTAATTGTATAATATATGGAGTCGTTTCAACGTACCTTCATGATATATATAATCATATAGTTCGGCAGCTTATCTGAATACCCTGCTTGTGAAGTCCAGAAGTGAGGGAAGGGGTAGTTTGCCGGCAATGGTACTGTAGATCGGTCGCCATGAAGGCTTGATTTCTGAACCCACGAGTCCGATGATAATAAAGGAAACAAGTGGAGTCTGGAAGACGTTGAGAACTCGATATTAAGATTTGAAGGGGAGAATACAGTACAACCAGATGCCTTCGCTGAGACAGCGGTTCTTCATCGCGTGCAAACCTCTAAACTGGAGGGCACCTCGAAAACATCTATGCTGAGATTTGAGGACTAGGCTCTCCAGTGTGGTGCAGATCCGAGAGGACCATGGTGAGAGACCCATCCTGAAGGCCACCGATATCAGGATATCCCATATTCTCTGCAAATTTCCCTTAAGCTTACGTACGTACAACAAGTACGATTTTCTAAACGCCCCCAACCAACAAAGTAATGAGTTCTCTTGGGAATGTGTCCGTTTCATACCAAATCATACAACAGATCCTTCATCTCGCTTTGCTCGAAACACCAGCACCAATCACGCCCGGAAGCTTCTCCTCCCCAACGTTGAATAGCAGACCGATAGCCCAGCCCACTAGTCCGATCATCACAACAGTGAAAGTTGCGAAGAGCCAGAAAGGTCCACTGACATCCTTCTTCTGGCATGCAGCGCCACCCCAATACGTTGTCCGGGAACTATTTACCCGGTTTTTGCCGGCAAAAAAGTATTCGAACTGGGGCTTGCATTGACAAGAAAAACATGCCGCTGTTGCATCCGTTCCGTTCGACTTCTTGTAGCACTCGCCGTGTCCTGAGCATTTATTTGTCGATGTCATGCAAGATTCGAGGGTGTTGTAGCATAGCGAAGGGATACCTCGTATAGGTTCGGACTCTTCCGATGAGACTGATGGCATTACCTGACTCCCATGGGAGACCGGAGAAGATGCTGTATGTACTTCCGATATTGGCTCTTCGGCCTCCACTCGCCGGTCCAGTTGCTTTTGGGATGGCTTCTCGTATGATCCGTATGCGTTCGTGCTCTTTGTAGACCATGATGACTCCGGCATGAGGACCACCATAACGTTCATCTTCTGATGTTTCGCGAAATCAACCAATCTTTCCTGCGCGAGCAACATCTTGCTGAGCCCAGGTCGCTGTTGTCGGTAATTAGTAGTTTGAATACATCGAAAAGAAGCGTTCCACTTGCCTTGGAAGTTAAATCAATCTGTAAGATCTTTGATCTCCCCTTCCAGCATTTCCTGTTGCCAGGGTCGATATCCTGCTCAAATGGGCAAGCTTGGACGTCTGGCCCAAGCTGTCTATCCAAATTGAAGGCCAGCTCCAGGTTCTCACTGGAGCTAGGCGGGTTGGAAATGGTAAATGCCGGCTGGATCGATGACCATGCGCTCAAGAGGGGTTCTGCATGCTCAGCAGACACCCCTTCGACGAGCAGCACCAGCTCTGGTGCCTTGTCTTGGCCATTACCTCCGAACAATTGTTCTTGGGGCCCGCCGAACTGATTGATGTATGAGAGTGTGTCCTCTCCAACGTCATCTAAGCTATGGTATCGAGATACGCCTAAACGCTGTGCGAAGACCAGTCGAGCTTCCTTTGGGGAGAGGGTCGGGGGTTTCGAGGTGTTTGGCCATTCGTCGCCCTGGAAGAGGTAGACTTTCGCATCTGATGCCGCAGAAACTGCGCCGATCAATGTCGGTAGCAGCAAGCCCGTTGAAAGTCTCATGGTCGACGTTGGATGTTGTATTTCGTGCTCGAGAAGCTCAAGCGCGAACTGCTGAGTGTTTACCTGGAGAAGCTCGTCGGCTGTAGAGGTAAGGTAAGGCAAGTTAGAGTACATCAATCAGCTGGGCTAGCGGCTTCTTTGTGGCGCTTACCGCTTCCAGGATTCTGCCGGTTACTGGAACCTCGACCCGACAAATCTCGAACTCCCTCGATCAACTACACATCTTAAAGAACCTTTGCGACAACTCTCCCTCGTCATCTAACCATCTGTAAATCCCAGGGCCTGGATCTGCGACTGGTGTGTCGAAGGGTGTACTTCGATAGCTTAAACTCGCTCTTCCCAAGGCTCGCCACTCCACGGCGGGCCTTGACTATCCGCCATGTTCAAATTCCTGAGACCCCCGAAGACTGTCCTGTCAACGAGCAGGTTGCCTATGCGGTTGAATGCGCAAATATACAGAGGACAGGTTCATAATGTGCAGAGAGTCCGATTCCAAAAGCCAGGGTTCCGGCCGAGGTATGTGGCTCTGTTCCCTTTTGGAACAATTTCTAACGCATATCGACTAGGAGCATCGCCATCACCGTCCTGACTATATATGTAGGCTGGTCGGTATATGCGAGGCTAGTTCTCGATCCCCTAGGAAAAGCGATTATGGACACTGCCCAGCATTTGCCCGAGGATGAAGAAGAAGCGCCGCCAATCTTTATCCCATTTCCCGGGACTACAAAACAGCTCAAGCCCCGGCCATACCGCGGGAGTGATCCTGAATGGCAGGAATTTCTCAAATTCAGCAGAGATCCAGGGCTCTCAAAGCGTGTACGAGGTCAGTAGCCACGCCTTGATTCGCAAATAACTCGCTGACGATACGCAGAGGAGCTTGCACAGTTCGTACGGCAGCTTGCAGAGAAACATCCAATACTGCAGTTAAGGGGTGGAAAGGGAATGAAGCTGAGAAGATATTGGCTTGATGTCGATTTTCCCACACATCCACCTCCGGAGTTCGAAAGATCAGGGTATCTTTCCCTCGAGACAAATGAACAAACCGATAAATAGCTAACAAGTCGCAGCATCGAGATAACCGATGACTACATCGCGTGGACGACCATGCCTGTTGACTCCTCAATAGTATTCAAGATACGCCAAGCGCTTTGGCCCTCGGCTCTGGCGAAGGCCTTTTGGAGCTTTACCAAAGTGATGATCTCAGATGATGCCAGGAGAGTTGCAAGAATGCTTGGGCTACAAGCAGATGATACTCCGCCAACCATCGAACAGTTACTCGCCAGACATCAGCAAATGATTAGAGGTTCTCAGACCAATGACGGGTCACCGAAACCCAAGCAGCCACAACTACTTGGTGATGCGCAAACCCAAAAAGCGATAGTCACCGTAGCTGACAACCAGGGCCTTGTTGGAAAGCCTCCCTTGCAAGAGGACCTGGATGCTAATCCTGGAAAAAATGGTATCTCTGCCGTATATGCACATTTCTTTCGAGGGATCATGGCATTCAAGATGAAGCTGCAACAAAGCTGGCGACCAGCACCTGATTACCCTCCACGAGGGAGCATAATAGTCCAGGGTCTAGTTGAATTAGATTCGCCCAAAGCGTGGCTTGTCTTTGATGTGAAGGCAGCGTGGGATCCAAAAACAAAGAGTTACGATTCTAAAAGTATGCGAATTCATCTGAAGAGAATGCAGATGAAGCGGCAGGGACCTCTTGGTGGTGCGTAAGATAGCGAGAAGGGAGCAGGGAGGCGTTATGGCGGTGCATTGCAGGCGTCGATAGTGCTTTGGGGGGAAATGGACTACTTCGGTGAGCATGATTCGATTGCCCGTTATCATGAGACCGTTGAAAGAGTACCTGTACATCATGGATGGAAATAATGATATCCACTTCTGTTTTAGACCTGCCTCTACCTTCGTTTTACATGTGTCCCGAGTGGAAACATGTATATTATTGCTAGGCAAAGAACTGAAAGCACTACTTTCTCGTCTCTGTTGCTGTTATTACTAGAATGCCAGGTTTTCCACAACAACATGCAGTCTGCGGTCATCATGAAAACTGATTGCGAACATCAGAAGTCTGATACTAATTACTAACTCCTCTGGCTCAATAACCATCCAAATCCTTTTCTGAGATGTCCCAAACCTCACAGCTCTATTACTGCAATTTATCATAAATTCAAACATCCCTTTGAGTTATATTATGGTTTTTATCTCTTCCTCGCTGGGTTTAAGCCGATGCATAAGAGATAGACAAACAATAATGACAGCGATCACCATTATGCGACGGAAGATTTTCAATCAGAGAAGAAGTAAGTGTGCTTTGATTCGACACAAGCACAAAGAAAGGAGGTCAGACCCGCCAGCTCCAACGTAGCAGACATCGCTGCATAGACTAAATACATCATGGTACAGGAGAGGCCACAACCTGCGAAGTCAACCCACCCCAGACATCGGGCTTATCAACCGCCTGTTCACTAAAGCGTTACTAAGGACCGGAATGCCGAGCTGGTTAGAAGTTTCCTGAGCGAGGAGGGGTAACTCAACCTGACCGGACACAACACCACCTCACCAATAAAACCCCAAATCCTCCTCAATCCCAAGTCCTTCTCATAGCGGTGCAGGGAGAGTCCAACCTGCGAAGTCAACCCACCCCAGACATCGGGCTTATCAACCGCCTGTTCGCTAAAGCGCTACTAAGGACCGGAATGCCGAGCTGGTTAGAAGTTTCCCGGGCGAGGGAGGAACTCAACCTGACCATACATATACCATAAAACCACCAAACCACCAAACCACCAAACCACCAAACCACCAAACCACCAAACCCCCAGGTACTGGAGATCCAACCTGCGAGGTCAACCCGCTCCAAGACATCGGACTGACAACCTCCCGTTCGCTAAAACGCTAGTAGGGACAGGAACGCCGAGCTGGTTAGAAGTTGCCTGCGCGAGGAAGAGATTCACCTGACCAAAACCATTATCCTTCCCTGGGGGACACGAGTGACTGACTTGAGGGGTATAAGAAGAGAGGCCAACCTGCGAGGCAAACCCGCTCCAAGACATCGGACTGACAACCTCCTGTTCGCTAAAACGCTACTAAGGACAGGAACGCCGAGCTGGTTAGAAGTTATGCCTGCGCGAGGAAGGGGGCTCAACCTGTCCCTGAACAAGATCATCCATCCGACCTCAACTGCCTTCACTGGAGGAGTGCCAACAGGCGAGAAGTCTCCATTGGGAAGAGCATGCACTGCTCGGAGATCAACTCGAGGTTATTCCTGTTTGCGCAGATCCAGCAGAAGAAGCGCTCGTCAACGGTGACCGGCTGACGGCGGAGCTGTCCGAAGACATCCTCCACAGTGCGGTTAGACCATGAGTGGAGCCAGTAGCGGAGGAAGTCTATGTTCGTCCAGCCACTCGTGTCCAACATCGTGCTGTCGCCTTCGGCATCCGGTTCGCATCCATCCATGGGGTCGCCGGGACATTCGTCACCGGGACAGTCGTACGGTCCCATGTTGTCCATCTCCTCATCGACGGGCTCCTCGCCGATGGTAGTGGAGGTGATGGTATGGGCGGCGGTGGTTGGGGGGGCGGTGGTCTGAGGGGTGGCGCCTTGCGGCGTCCCCGGCGAGGAGGAAGAAGAAGTTGGTGCCGCTGAGGGCCCAGCGACGGTTTGCGGTGGAGCTGGCTTTGGGACCGGCTTCGCCGAGTGAGGAGCCTGTTAGATCGTCCGATTAGTGACCTGAATTGTTGAATTGGAGGCTAAGGACTTACGGGATCGGTGTTGAATCTCGACTTGAGGTGGGTTGTAAGTGCGTTCATCTTGACGGTGTGTGGGTTGCTTGTTGGTTGGAAGATTGGATGTGTGTAGGGGACAAGTATCTTTGTGAAGAGCGTTGTTTGAGGAAGAAAGATTTAGGAGAGGGGGAGGGAAAAGATGGGATAACTTGTACTCTGGATGGGAGAACTATCGAGGACAACGGGAAGCGCCTCGCTTGCTTGACAATAGAGCGGCGACAATAGGTAGTTGTGTCTTTCATATTGAATATGAGATATAAGGCTGCCAATGGGAGCACAATAGATCTCTGAGAGTAAAGCGGCGGTGTTAGATGATGGTTATAGAGGCTGGCCGCGAAGACACAATAGCCCCCAACAATACTACGGATTTTGCAAAACGAAGGTCATGCAATAGCTTAACGCCAACTTCAGAACACCCAATTACTGATTCCATTGATACACCTTTCTAATTGAGAAACCTCAACTCAAGATCTAATAACTTTGACCTCCCCCTGAGTTCGTCAATTGCTAACCGAGAATTCACTCTTGGGGCTAAGAGCACCCACCGCGTCAGCACCACCTTCTTCAAAGCCAACGAAAGCCCACGATATTTCTCTCCGCAGTAGCTTGATGTAGAGCCCGCTACTTATAAATCTTAGGAGGAGCTTGGGGGGTGTACTTACGCGCCGTTCCAACTCCTGCGTTTACTTTCACCAGGCGTAGCGAGGATAGGGGGTTTCGGCAAGATAGTACCAATATGGGAGTACCTTGGCCCAGCATTGGATGAGCGCATTGTAAGGCTGTTCATTCGTAGTATTCAATCGGCTAAGTTGGCTAACATCTGCGTTCTTTGCCCATGAGAGAGCAAAGTTTACGCATTGGAGACAATGGAAATGCCCAAAAACACGAAAATTCTCCCAAAAGACTTCCAATTGCGAGCAGCAACGCAAATTTCATTTTATCTGAACGGACCAACGCATCCTTTTCTTCTTAGAGATGAAATGGGGAAGGCCGAAGCGGTCGACCTCTTGCCTACACTCCAACCTGTAGACCACTCTTGGCATACAGCTCAAGTTGGGATTTTGACTTGTAATCCCCGGAATGGACGGTGTCCATTTTGCTATCACTGCGCTCTGGTTCTGTGTCTTCAGGCCTAACCTCAACCTTACTGTCATCGAGCATGCCGACATCATCATCCTCGTCCGGCTGGCGCTGTTGTTTGGCTGCTAAGGACAATGTCACTGTTATCCAAAGAAGAATGAAAGCATATGAGAGGGATACCTTCTGCTGCTGCTGCTGCTTCTTCTGCCTTCCTGTAAAAGCCCTTTCTTCAGCTGGGTTGCCAAGAAGGCCTTCTCCAGGTCGCAAGCCTTTCAGAAGCTCATTACCCAAGTCATATATGACCTGATCTGGGACTTTGCGGGTGCAAAGGACCAAAGGTGAGGCCTTCGAGGTCGCGGCGAACGGTGCTTTCTATGGGTGGGCGGTGTTGCGCTTTACCTGCCTCAGCTTTGCTGTTCTTTGCTTTCTTGACTGAAATCGGGCTGCTTGAAGTGATGTCGTCCCTTGCTGAGGCAGAGCGTTTGCCCCGTTCTTGTGCCATGACCAGGGCGGAATTGAAATGGTCCAATGGATAAATTCAATCCTTGGGGTTGAGGAAGAAAAAGTCCTAGGACGTTGAAAAGTAAAAGATGAGGGTTGAAGAACGACCGGGGATGCTACTTTTCTCCCATAGAGAATTTGCTCGAAAGGACCTGCCTTACTTACCCACCTCATAAAAATGATTTAAAGAACTATTCTCTTCCCCAAATTCAACAACAAACAATCCATCATGCCGCTCAGGAAAAACAAAGCTGCAGCAAAGTCAACACTCGATTCCTGGCAAAAGCTTGGGGATGAAAGTATCGTAGAAGGAAGGAAAACTGTGAGTTGTCCCTAAGGAATAGACAGGGTCCATTTGCTTAATTTTCATGACAGAAGATGCAGCGGGTCAAAGATGCAGCGCAAGTCAAACATCAAGTTGAAGATAACAGCGGCGAGTATGCCTCTGGATCGAAATCGGAAAAAGCATCATCAGATTCGGACAATTGACACGAAGAAGCCGTGGAAGGTTCGGACCTCGAGCTCGATTACACTGAGGTTGAGCAGAAAGACGGTTCATATCTCAAGTTTAAAAATGCCGATGCGCCACGCTGGGCTCCGAGCAAGAAGTACGATTTCTCTGATCAAGCTGCGCTAAACCCTCAAGTCAAAATGAAAGCGGTGAGATTTGTACCCTGCAAGGAAGGCCTCTTCTGACCGAATCCTTCACGCAATGGACATCTTACTTATGCACCGCTAAAGCAGTTGGATGTTCAAGAATTTAAACGTAATCTGTCCCAAACTCCTCTTTTTCATAACATCCAAGCGATTCTTAGTCTTCCGCATCGAAGGTCCTGTCCTAGACGAAACCCAGAGGGTAAATAACCGGGGCAAAGTCCGTCACGACACTTTGAAGGACCATCTCGACCCCGATGCCTTTCTGCTCTTGCCGGGCACCCAGGCCTAGAACAGATAGCATGATATATCTATCTGGCTATATCGACTTTGGACAAAATCACCCGTTTAACACACACAACAATTTCCTGCATGCTTTCTTCTTTGGTTGTAACAGTAAGATTGAGGATCCCTCACCTCCGAAGGTGCGGTTACTACAGAATTTCTTACAAGCATGTACTATTGCGCGTCCAGCATCGATTCTCAACAGTATTGAACGCAATATCTTGTATCTGTTTATCGGGACTAGCCGCGGTCTTCGCATCGTTCGCACAGACATTTTGAGATCTGTAGAATGTCAGAAGTGATGTCTTCTAGTATTGTAACGCTTACTTGATATGTTAAGATGATGACTATTTGAACAATTGACTGATTGCAGTTAAGGGTCCAGAGAATATATTGTTGGTGAAATCTGTATGCCGAGAGGACGATCGCGTAGAGAGCTTTGGAGGTTGTGGAAATTGTGGGGCTGACTCTCTTAGTTTAGCACAACTGCACAAGGCTTTAAGCGACGTCCCCCGCGCTTTGATAAGATAAGAGGAGCTTCCCCTGCAGTATCTGCTTTCCTCACAGAAAAAGCCACCAGCTTAACACAGCAACTTCATCTTCTCCACGCTGTTCTTGTCGATACTATAGTGGCATTACATCCTCTCATCCTGTACCTACAAGACATAACAAAGCGCTTAGATGCCAGCGAACCGCGCCGCATGGCGTAACGTCTACTTTTACGATGCGTCTACTGGAGCAGCTCTTGGTGGGGTTTACCAGAAGGGCTCTCTGACCGAAACAACTCTGATCTGGGCTCTTAACCATGTACTTCTTATTCTAGAAGATTACTGTACTATTAAACACAGAGCCTCTGGCCGGCTTATCACGTTGTCAAGTAATCCGGTTGTGCCTGGGGATTACGATATCTATAGCAAAGGTAAGTAGTCTTCTCCTGTACGAAATTTTTGTGGCTGTCCCTTGGCTTATTTATCTAGGACCTATTAAAGTGAGTGATGAAGCATGGATTTTCCGATCAATTAGTCACTCTGTTTCTGGTCCAGAGGATATATTCCGCGATAAGGTCCGCGCGAGAGATGGGAGATGCGTTATATCTGGAGTAGTAAATGCCACGGCCGAGTGGGGCTCCTGGGCTGGATATGAAGCCGCACATGTGTTCCCGCTACAACATGAGAACCTGTGGATCGAACTCGATCACGGGTGCCGGATTACGAACAAGGACAGTGCTGCGCAGAGTTCTATTAACTCCGTTCAAAATGGAATACTCATGTTTAGGCATTTGCACACACTCTTTGACCAGTATCTGTTCTCTATTAACCCAGATGTAAGTAAGCGTTTAATCTGAACTTGTCTTCCTAGCTATACTAACAGGACGAAGGATAGCTACAAGATCATTACGTTCTCGCCTAACAACTTAGGGATAGATGGGAGAATTCTTGACCCTATCTGCCGCGATCTAAACAATCCGGATTCTGTGTCTGATGAGGTGCTACGGTGGCACTTTCGGCAATGCGTACTTGCTAATATGCGAGGCGCAGGGGAGCCTATCTTTGAGACAGATTTCCCTGCTGGGTCAGATATGATGGCAACACTACGCGCTGAACCATATGGTAAAGAGAGGTTCGAGATGGAGCTCGCATCAAGATTCGTGGATAGGGAAGGCGAGGCTTCTCGGGTCTGACGCTTTTGCGTACTGTGGAGGTGGAAAAAGTTATAATCACCCCAGCGATACCTACTTCTCTCCTCTCCTAGTATACTAAGTCTGTGAGCAGCATAATTATACTTCCATTCATATCATCCCCTTCATCTTCACTTATTGAAACCATAAACGAAGCGCTGGATCAATCAATAACAAACCAATCATAAGTGTCACCAACTATATCTATATCGCCAGTCTTACTGATCTACTTCTAAAGCATCAGACACATCAGAAGCCCCCCAATTCTTTACATCAAAACGGCACGTTTCTTCTTCGCGTATTGTCTTTGTCTTTGCATATCTCCGAATTTCAAGTGGTTCGAACATCTTCCTGGTTCACCATCAAGCGACTATGACTTATCATTGCGAATTCTGCCCGGAGGGGCGAACTTCATTCCAAATGTAAGGTGTACATACATCTGGAAGTATTGTCGTGCCTCTCTATTGGGTTCGTTGCTTTGGAATGAACCTAGAAGGAGTTGATGCACTCTAGTACGCTATACACTTCTATTCTGTTTCTCGAAAGCGTACATAACAAATGGTCGCTTAGCTCAGTTGGTTAGAGCGTGGTGCTAATAACGCCAAGGTCGCGAGTTCGACCCTCGTAGTGACCACAAGTTGATCTTTTTTTCGTGCTTCGTTTTTTGGGGATTTTTTTTTTTTCCTCTACTAAAAAAAAGGCACAGATAGTTTAGCTAGGTAAACATGACTCTATCATTCGATTTTCTCAACTCGTCACACATCTCGTCATGATCATTCCTTCGTATCTCGTCTACGTGAGGCAACTCAATCAAACCAACCGCTACCCCCTCGCCTCTCCTCCCGATATTCTTCCTCCTCTCTGTACTCCTCCTGGAGTTCCTCTCGATATTCCTCCTCACGCTCCTCTTCCCTCCTCCTCTCCCCCCACCCCGCCTCATCCGCGAACTCACGCCCGCCATAACCCGCGTCTCCGTACTCCCGTCTCGGGGCCTCATAGGTCTCGCCATACCCACCGCTGCCGTACCCGCGCTGCTCCTCGAATCTCCTAGGGGGCTCTTCGAACCTCTCCCTGCTGGGCTGCCGCCTAGGGGCTTCGTATTCATAGGCAGGCTCGGCCTCGAATTCTCGCTCGTGTCTCCTCTCCTCGAACGTTTCCCTGCGTCCCTCTCCAAAGCCGCCGGGTGGTACATAGGCCTGCGGGACATCCCCGTCTTCACTATTGCTGCTGTGACTGTGATGCTTCTTGTGATGCTTGCCATGTTTGCCATGCTTGCCATGTCGACTACTACCGCTTGAGCTCCCACTTCCTCTCCTCTCCCTCTGGAACTCTGGGTGCGATTCGTGGTAATGTCGACCATCGGCCGTTCGACCCTCACGCCACGTCTCTGTCTCGACCACATCAGGCGTCTCGTAGATCCTTTCATTAGTCCGTTCAAAGCCGCCTCCGTAAATCTGCCTTGTATCCGTGCGCTCCTCAAAGCCAGCTCCGTAATCACCCTGTTGTTGATAGCGCCGGTAATCGGTCTCTCGACCACCGCCAGGAAGTTGGGTCTCGGAGTATTGAGCTTGGGCGTATTCGTTGTTCCCACCATGTGCGATTTCGGTATAGCTTTGCTGATAACCTCCTTGGCGCGTGTATCCTTGCGAAGCGTATTTTTGAGTTTGGTGTTCTTCTCTACCACCAGAGAATGCGTTGGATAAGAGGCTGCCGCCCGCCTCGCCAGCCAGTGCGCCTACTAACCCGCCCAAGGCACCACCGCCCACGGCTTCTCCTACAATATTTTCGATGCCAGAGGAACCTCCGTGTGCGCCTCCTGAACCGAGAGCAGCAGACAGCTCACCCATGATAGCGCCAGCTGCGGTCCCACCAGGACCTGATGGACCACTCAGGCCCGACTTGGCCATTCCCAAAGGCTTTCCACATCCGTGACCAGTGTCGTGTACGCCTTCTATGTGGTTTTCGCCATTCATGACCCCATCTCTAGATAACTTCCTTCGGAATTCCTCCTGTGAATACTCGTCCTTTGAGCGCCACCACTGCTCGACGACACCAAACATCAGTCTTCGCCCATCGGCGGCACCATCTTCGCCCATCATCCGTTGGGCTGGGTGATGGAAGACGCCATTAATGATGCGGTTGATGGTTCGGTTTGGATCGATTCGCTCGTCGTCCCAGCATTGCATGAGCTGAGGAACTACCCACTTAAGGACCTGAGAGGCGATTTTGCCTGCTGGTTCATTGAGGATCTGCTTTTGTCAATAGATGATCGGGTTAAAAAAAAAGGGGGGGGGGGGGGGGCTTGCATTGGAGAAATGATCCTTGGACAACATAGAGTGGGTAGGATTGGAGGAATTATCGTCATAGAATACGATCAACTGTTTGTCCTTGGAGCTCTGGATGATTTCCGAGGAGCCTTCGTTCAACTCTGTCTTGATCTGGTTGATGATCGGTACGACAATTGGAGCAAGCAGGCTGAACACAAAGACGTTCACCTCGTTCTCAATCTGTTCGATAAGATCTGGCAGGATAGGGATCTTTTCAATAGCCTCAGTAATCTGCTGCATAATTTCATCGTGCCATTCAATAATTGGGTAGATGTCCTTGGCAACTTGTTGCATCTGGAGAGTGAACGCTTCAGGTTGGCGAGGAGAAACGCGCATTTGGGACATCTGTGCAGCTGCGGCATGTGCTTGCAGTTCGTCTGCTTTTCCAGCCTGGTCTTTGTTGCCGAATAGACCGGATGGGACCGAGTTAAGAAGTTCTTTGAGGAAGCTGGTGTCGGCGTGGCTTGAGTTCGTCATGGTCCCTTCGAGCTCTTGGATCTCAGATTGGGTGGTTTTGTCGTCAAATTCACCTAAGACCGAGTGTAAGAAGTCGACTCCTCCAAAGGTTCCCGTGACGATTGGATAGACGGGATGTTGAGCCCCCTGGAGACGGATTTGGGTCTGCCGGCCGACGTGGGGGAAGACATCACGTTCTCCCATCTCGATGAGCGCCAGCTCGGTGTAGTTGCTATGAGCGGAGAAATCTTGGATATGTTAGCTGGATTTCTTCGTAGGATAATGACAACTTTCCCTCTAAGCAGTGGAGTCCAGTGCCCAGCAAACGAAGCGCCTCGTACAGCTCAGCCTTGTTTCTACTTCTAGCATATGACCTGCCCAATCTGATACACTCCCCGAACAGCTTCCTCACATGCAGGGCCGAGGTCATGATTCCCGCCTGTTCGTTGGCGATGTAGTTCTTCAGACCGGTGCGGGGATCTACGGCCAACTCGATGTGCTCATTGACAGGAGGACGCAGTCTGGGATCGTATTGAGTGGCATCGAGGTTGTCGGCATAATCTTTTGGGTTGTCGATGTGGTCTTCAGGGCGGTAGCAACCCAGACGGTAGGCCGTGACTTCGAACTCGCCCGTACCATAGCCAAATGTCATGAACCCCAGGACCCAGAGCAGGATGCGGATAGCTTCTGCGGAAACGTACTTGACGGTGCCTACGTCGATTGCTTGAGCTGGTGGGAGGCACGTTAGCTAGAGCTCTGAGGGTGCTCCCCCCGCATCCAGCGGGGCACAGCTGAGGTGGTCACTCACAATAATCCCGGAGCCAATTTCCAAAGTAAACCCTCTTGACGGACATCTTATCAAACTTCTTTCCCCCGGCGACTCTCGCCATGACGAGGCTCAGGAGGGTATCTTCGATATCGCCATGGCGCCCTAGCAGAGTCAGGAGCTCTCCTGGGCACGGGCCAGAGAGGAGGATGAATACTTACAGTTGAGACCTTCGACCTTTGAAATCGAAGCGATGTTGCCGGCGCCGAAAGCATTCGCAGGGCGTGCGAACAAGAGGATGATGGCGACGGTAAGGAGCGTGACGGAGGGGCTGAAGGAAGGCATGGTAGACGTGATCTGCTGCTAGTAGAGTGAGTGAGATCTGTAGGGCGGGCTTGCACGTCTGCCAGTGCTGTGAGGGGGAAGAGTTAGTTTGGGGAGGGTAGTGGTCAGCTTTTGTAGCAATGTGCGCGCCAAGTCTTTGGGGCCTTGGGCTTGGTGGGGTCGAACAGGGAGTATGAAACTGTTCTGCTGGGTATGGCAAGTAATGCCAAGAGACAGCCGATCGACAGCAGCGAGTGGGCGCCGTTGAACGCTCTTGATGCTGCTTTGACGATTATCACTGCTTGGGCAGCTGGCTGTACTCTGTAGGAGGGGGGAGGGGAGTGGGATAGCGGGGACCCTGGTGTGTACGCTGCGCAGAGGGGGAGATAAGAGAGAGGCGGGAAGAGAGTGAGAGAGAGAGAACCACTGAGAGATATCAGTTTGGTGTGTAGGTAGGTAGGTAGGTAGTCACTGGGCTGCAGTCACTGGGTTGCAGTTATTGGGTTGCAATCACCAAGGTAAGGTACCTAAAGTAAGGTGGTACCTAAGGTAAGGTGAGTTGCAGTCAATATAGGTACTCTGTAGACAGGAGGGTGCTGCTGATCCGGGTTTGCAGTACGGAGCAGACGGAAATATAGCACGAGTCGTAGCACAGGATGTAACTGAAGGGGACACGGAGAAGGATGGATATCTTGATGCTGTACAGAGTCTGGCAAAGATGGATAGCGGAGATGTCCCTGGAGATGTGCCTGGTACAGGACTCCTCAGGTAGCAGTATATTACCGTATTATCATATTTTCATAGTAGTGTATTACCATATTACCATATCCCCTCACCAAATATACCGTATAACCTTACCTTAGAACATGTGCACTTCGCTACAGCGTGCTGCCGACCGCCCTACCCGCTACAGGTGCCTCGGCGCAGTGGGCACAGCGCACCTCAGGATATAATCGGATTGACAGTACAGAACAGACATCAAGCATTGCGTAGAGGATGGATGTAAAATGAGAAATAAATCAATCAATCAATTAATCAAGAAATCGATCCCGAGCGAAAACAAATAGAGAAGAGAGAGCAGGAGACACGCGAAAGAGAGCGCTGTCCGCTCCAAACCCAGCGCGCGCGCGCTCCAGTGGCCGCACCACCCGACGCACGGCTTACAGAGGGAAAACTCTTCGCCAACCTCCACAAATTCTCACTTCTCGCAAATATCTTAGGCTTCGCCATAGCGCTCCCTCCCTATCTCTGCAACCCTGAACCCGTCCACCGTCAACACCCCCTCACCACCAAAACCCCCCCAAAGACTCCCATCACCATGTCGCGCGCAAAGAAATCCGACGACAAGCCAAGAGAGGGCGCAACTCTCTCAATCGACGTTGACAGCTTCGTCCGCACCAGAGACAAGGTAAGCTGCATTTTTCTTTTCCTCTTGCATTCCCTCGCCCGACTCTGCATTCTTCCATCGCACGCCCTCGACGCGTATCCAGAGATCGATCGCCGGATCTTTCGACGACGTCAACCCACAACCTTCCCGTCCTTCAACCGCTATATTCTCATACTCTCCAACTCTCCGCCACGCTGCCAGCAATTCATCTCCCACATCATCGCACATCTTCCGCCCGCCCGCGATCCAGTCTCTCCGACATCCCTCACCTATCGACGCGCGTGTCACCCGCTTCATCCGCCACAGCTCGTCGCAACATCGACGCGCCCGCCGCACCTCTGTTTACGACGCGCTCTGCCATGGCCCCGCCGCGCAAGCGCCCAAGACTCGATATCGAGAGAAACTACTTTTCTGAACAGTCGCTAATGTGGAACCAGGTCGTGACCGGACTCGCGACCCTGCAGGATGCTATCCAGACTCTCTCGTCGGCTTACATCAAGCACACGAATGCGGTTCTCGGCGAGCACGGCGCAGGTCTCGACGTAGAGTCGGCGCTCTCCAGGATCGGCGAGAACCTGCTCGACGGCCCGCTCGGCGGGTTGCAACGCGCTTCCAGCCCTGCCAAGTCGGTCGTGGGCGAGGAGAAGAAGGAGCGCAAGAAGAGACAGCATGATCCCAATGCTCCAAAACGCCCGCTCACCCCCTTCTTCCTCTACATGCAGACTGCGCGCCCAATCATCGCCCAAGATCTGGGCTCGGATTATGCCAAGGGAGCTGTCAGTGCTGAGGGCACCAGGAGATGGACTACTATGGCCCCCGAGGACAAGCAAGTAAGTCTCACGTGGCCTCCCTGCAAGATAGATTGGCCCAATGCTAACAGAACATGATTAGCTGTGGACCAACGCCTACAAAGATAACCTCCGTCTGTATAACGCACGCGTGCACGCCTACAAGGTCCACCACAACCCCAACGCCAAAGACATGACGGACCAGGAAGCCCTCAACTGGGCCGAAGAGCATAACATTGGCTCAGAACCCACGGCTGACGCGCAACTCGTTGGTGAAGCTACCGCGGGTGCGCTCATAGACGAAGACGCCGAGGGCGAGGCCGAGAAAGAGCCAGAGCCAGAGCCAACCCCCTCTCCCAAGACTCCCAAGCCCAGCAAGTCCCGCAGGAGCAAGGGCAACAAGGAAACCCCCGTAGCTTCAGAGCCCATCGTCCCTAGCTCCACCTCGAGCATCGTCCCTCCCAAGCCCGCGCCCGAGAAGGAGAAGAGCCCCGAGAAGAAGCGCAAGCGAGGCAGCAAGAAGGTCGACGAGCCCGAGCCCGAGCCCGAGCCTGAGAAGGAGGAGCTCGCGGTCGAGACACCCAAGACCGCTTCCAAGCCCCGGAAGAAGAGATCCAAGGCCGACTAGTCTCCCATTCTAGACTTGGACCTGGGATCAATGCGGCTTAAGGAAGGTTGGGCTGTGCTGGGACGTGCTCGCTGTGTGGTAATCATATCCGTCTTCCTTTCCTTTTTTTATGCTTGCGCGTGTGCTTGGCTTGTCTCGATGAGGCCGGCGACGGAACGGCCATTACATGATGCATGGATGGATGGAAGGGTGTGTGCTTGCTTTACTTTGTATCATTGGGTGGATCGTAGCTAGACTGCTTGGGTGGAGCGGCTGGCTGTGTCGTTATTATACTTGGACGCGTGCTGGGGATATTGCAATACGATACGGATACAATCAAGCAATCAGTCAATCAATCACTGAATCATCATTCATACCTGGTCTGTGCGCTACGTCATATATACCTACCTTACTTTGTTCGACGCTACCTGCACCTTTAAGGTACCTAGGTATAGGGGGGTGAATCACGTGATCCCACCCCCTTCAACAATACCTCACCTTACCTAATAAACCCCTTAATCCCCTATCCCTCCTTCTATCCCCCTATCTATCCTATTAACCAATTACCTACGTATCATTAAGGTATCTCTTCCCTCCCAACTCTAAATCTATCTCCTTTCCTTCCTTCTTTCCTTCCTTCCGCCAAGCTAAAGAAAAAGAAAGAAGAGGGGAGTAATAAAGTACCTTAGTGATCAAAAACCCTCTCTCTCTCTTTCTCCCCTCATCATCATTATCCTTCCCTCTTAAAAAACATATACCTACCTACCTACCTTACCTAGAGAAGAAGAAAATTGGGAATAAGCCACGTAAGTACGAGCCAATAGATTCCAACTTTATCTTAGTTTAGTTTAGCATTCAAGAACTAGGATTCTGGTTTGTAGAGTAGGAGATAGGTAGGTAGGTAGGTACTACGCTTCTTGGATAAAAGTTTTGGGGTTTGGGGGATTGCGGATTGATTAGAGGAAGGGAAAAGAAGGGGAGGGGTGTTTGTTTGTTTGGTGGTGTGGGGGGAGGGTAAGCGAGGGGTGGAAAGGGGCGATGGACAGGAGGAGGGCAATAAATGGGATAAAGGGATTTGTTGAACTGGCACCGCTATCATGCTAGGTACAGTTTTAGAATAATTTGGGGTTGGTTTATGTTTCTTGGTGAAAATCAGTATCTACCTTACCTACCTAAGGTAGGTACACGCTCCTATACCATCCCCAAATACCTAAGCCCGATCCTCGTCTCCTTGTTCGCTCCTCTGACCTCGATACTCACCACCTCGCCAGGCACGACATCTACCAGGTTATCCATAAACGCGACCTCCTCATCCTCGCACTCCAGCGCCACGCCCTTGACCGGGAGTTCGCTACTTAACTCTACCGTCGTGCCATCCCTCGTCATCTCCGCGCGGAGGTGCTTCGGTTTCTGGAGATGCACGTATTTCAGCGGTTCCGGCCAGTTGATATAGCGCGCCATCTGCCGCCCGTCCTGGAAGAGGTATGCTGCGACAACGGTGCGGCTTTCCTCCCCCGCGTCTTTCTGGACGACGGGGACGTCCATGGCGATGATCTCGGTGCTGCGGTTCTCGGGGAGGAGGAAAGAGGAGCGGATAGTCTTGGAGAAGGTCTCTCTGCCGGTGATGACGTCGAAGGCTTTGACGACGATGTCAGCTCGGAGATCCTGGAGCGTGAGGTTCGAGCCCCAAATTTCGATCTGGGTCGTCCGGGTCATGTGGGCGCGGGTATGCTTGTCTTGGGGGACGACGTGCTCTTTCCGTGTGATGCCGAGGGAGAGGAGAGCCATCTCGCGCTTCACGGTGTAGTAGGCATGTTTGGGCCGCAGGTAGTAGTCGACGATGGACCAGGAGGTGACGGGCCAGCAGTCGTTGATCTGCCAGACGAGGGCGCCGCCGCAGTACTCCTTTCCGGGTCCCTTCCATTGCCGTTTCCAGAGACGGTACGCGGAGGCGAGACACTCCGCTTGCATGAGCTGGGTGGCGTAGATGAACTGCTCGAGTGGATCTGACGCGTAGCGGAAGTTCTCAACCAGGTACAGTGCGACGCGGCGTTCGTGGCCGTCGGCCTTGTTGTGGAAGTCGACGGTTGATGACTGCGAAAAGCGATCGGGGTCGTCCTTCCCCAGTGGGAGGAAGGCGTCAATGGTTTTGATATGGGGGAAGGCTTCCATCCCAAATTCGGAGATGAAACGTCCAACCAGCTTGTCGAAGTTCTGGTACTTCTCTTGGGATCCATGCCATACGTTCCATTGATGAATATCACCGACTGTTGGATCCGTGGTGTCTTTGCCGCCCCAGGGACTCCCGAAATGATAATAAGTATCTGGAACCAACTCCTTGCATGTATCAGCGAGGATCTTCTCATAGATATATCGTGCCGGGAAATCTGTCTTGAGCCAACTCTCAGGATCCTTATTCTGGAAATCATAAGTGAGTCCTTCCTGCTCCTGGTATTGATAATCCTCATTGTTGCCTGCCCAGATGACAATTGACGGATGGTGTCGAAGACGTTTCACGTTCTCCTCAGCTTCTGTCTTAATCGATGCTAGGATTTCAGGGAATGCAGGATAGTTTCCACAACCAAACATGAAATCTTGCCATACGAGAATACCAAGTTCGTCACATGCATCATAGAACGCCTGCTCTTCGTAGATGCCACCGCCCCAGACTCGAATCATGAACTGGTTTCCATCTGCTACCAATTTCACCCAGTCATAGTATTTCTCCTTGCTGATTCGGGGAATGAAGTTATCCGCGGGAATCCAATCACTGCCGCCGCAGAAAATGGGGATATTATTAACCTGGAAGAAGAACGTCGTTCCTGGCTGGCCCGTCATTGGCCGTTGAATAAGCTCCGCTCTCCTCAACCCTAACTTCTTGCTTACGGTATGAACCTCAGCTATCCCGTTTTGGAGAAGTGTAGCTGTAATGGTATATAATGGTTGCTCGCCATAACGTATTGGATACCATAGCGCCGGATTCTGGATTTCGAAGGTGTGTGTGGCATGGCCATTGTCAGCGTTGATCATTTGCGAGGCTACCTGTTGCCCATCTAACGTGAGATCGAATTGAACTTCAGACGCCGAGCCTTCGATGTCTGCCTTGACAACCAATACGGCATGTTTCAGGGATTTGTCGACGTTGCTTGTGAAGTAGAGGTCTGAAAGCCTTGAAGAGAAGACCTCAAGATTTATGGGTCGCCATGGTCCACAGGTCAATAAAGTCGGTCCCCAGTCCCATCCCTATACGTACTGTTAGTGTAGCTTGTACAGAAATGAAGGACCATACCCAATGATATTGTGCCTTTCGAACAGCCAATCTGGAGTTGTCACCGTTCCAGCATCCCCAGATGTGATCCGGGTGCGCCTCTACAATAGCACATCCCTTGAGATACGCACTTTCGAACGTAATCTCCAGTTCGTTGTCCCCATCGCTCTTCAGGTGACTTGTGACGTCTACTCGTTCAGGGATGAACATGTTCACCGTCTTGAGGATTTCCTTGCCATTGAGTACAACCGTGGCGAAGGTATCTAGGCCGTCGAACGCCAAAACCGCCCGCACACCACTTTGCTCCCCTGCCAAATGTGAGGGCGAAGGGAAGGTGGTCTTGTAGAGCCAGGGAACTTCACCGACCCATTGCACATCATTCTCATTCTTGCCAATAAAAGGATCGGGAATGAGGCCGTTGGCAATAAGATCTAGGTGAACATTCGTAGGGAACTGAGCAACAGGTAGGAACTCAGAATCCTCGCTGTCCGCTTGTTTGAAAGTCCAATTCTTATCAATAGGCGTTATAGTATGCTTGGACATAGTGGATGGGGAAGAAGAACCCGGACGCAGGGAATCTTGAGAGAGAGAGAATGGGTGGACCGTCCGCATCTTGGGTATGTATATGTGTATGTCTGCGCCAGTTAGACACGGAACACGGATTGGGAGAAGCTCATGATGCGCACAGGATCAGGATTGAATGGATCGTATCCTCGTTCCCCGGTCAGATAATTCCAAGGATCAAGGAGTGACAACAGCCGTTTGTAGGTATGGTCGAATATGCGACATAACGGAAGCTCCACAATGGTAGGGTCAAAGTACGTTTCCGGATGCGGGGCTTTCGTGCCGCACCGCAGCTCCCCAGGTTCTACCCAGTGCGAAGAGAGTAATGGCTGTCCGGTGAAAGACGGTAACTAAGGTAAGTTCTGTAGCAGGGTGATGAGCCATTGTCTGGTGCCGGCGGGGCGGGATAGGGCGGATAGGCAAGGGTATGCGACTTTTTCCATGCGGACTAGATAACTGTTGCATGGTGATCTGTATGCCCCGGTATTGACAGGCATGCTCATGTTTGATAGCCATATAATGACGTTTACTATCACTTCCTAGTTTGTACGAGGGGTTGTATCCTCCGCGAACTGCGGGGCGCCTTTTCCGGGGTCGAAATCATTCGCCCCACCACTCTTGAACATCATCGCCAGTGCCTTGGTAGGTATATCAAGTATGTCTTTATGCTCTATCTATGCTTCTTCCTCAAAGCCTCTCTCCAAGAATCTAATCGTACCTGTCTTCGGGTCCAGTATACATCCAAAGTGAGTTGTTTCATTCATAGTCGGGAACGCTCTTACCCAGCCCTTCAAGGTGGCTTCTCTCACAGTCGGTACAGCCGCTTTAGCTTCTATCCAGTCTTCGGATTTTTGCTTTCGATCGTGTCTCTTCTTCATGCCGTTCCATTTCTTTTGGACGCAGGCTCTTCTATCCTGGCTATCCTCAAGCAGGATCTCCATACCCAAGATCGTGCTCTTCTGGTTTTGGCTGTAAGTGTGTGCGGAAGGTTCAGTGGGTGGAGTGTCATGGTTTGTATGTACAATGAAATCAGTCCCGGTCCTGACTTTGCCATCGAGAATGTCCTTCTCGATGACGGCAGCTTGAGTGCCATCGCAAAGGACAAGATAGCAAGGCGCACTGCGAGATTTGGCGAGAGTACCTATGATGCTACTGAGGGGTCCAGGGATGGTTCCTCGTGGGGGAAGAGATACAGAGCGGAGAATGGATGTTATCGACGGGCGGAACCCCAAGAGGACAAGTATTTGATGGAGTCGAAGAGAGTAGGTAGAGCAGTGGTGATTAGGGCGGAAGTTCAAAGAAAGAGAGAGATCCTCTCTATAGATCATTATAAGCACGTAGGTAAGAACCACAGGTCTCGTCGAGACTCACCTCACACCAGTCAAAAGACCCACAAAGCCAGCATAAGTAATCGTCCTCCCAATGACCCTTTCCGGCTTGTCAGACTTCGACCTGACAAACTCCAATACAACAAGCACACTCCTCAACTCGTCCATATTCCAATCCAACGTCCGAAAATGCATCATGCTGGCGTCCCCACCATCTCCCGTGACTCTTTTCCTGCTCTTCTCATCCCTCACCAGAACAGCCCCACTTGTACATCCCAATAAACTGTCCAAAAGCACATTCAACGCTACCAACAAATACAGATCCAAACCACTCGTCTTCGAGATACCCCTCAACTCCTGGGTTTCCTCATCAGAATACACCCGGCGAAGGAAGATCGACGCCAGAAATTCGACGAAGCGTCTCACAAAGACCCAAGGAATCACTGACGCGAGGATTTCGTCAAATAGCGGTGCTATGTCTCTCATTTTTGGGGCGAAATCCGTCGCGAGTTGGGTGTAACGTTCAGACGGGGGCAGGGAGAGATCAATACGGTAGATCGGGATGGGCTCCATTTGTCGTGCTTGCGAGGAGGCCATGTTGCAAGCTGGCCAGTGGCACCTAGGTCAAGAAGAAGCCATGGTCAACGAGGTGATAGATTGGATGTCGCGATATCCTCTCCCTCTCCTGTGGTAGTCGCCTCTAATCCCTGCGCGAACATGTCGCGGGTGAAGTGGGTGGCAAGGCACTTCCGTCCATTTTATCTTCTAAAAAAACTCTCGGCTGCCGTTACAGCTTGTCTTGCCAGTGCAAAGATCGCCCACGGTGCTATCGACACAATGACTCCAAACAGGATAGTCGACCTGGCTTCCATCATCCACGACCACACTCGCAAAGTGGATACCTACTCTGCTTTAGAAAACCTCCCCACCCCCTCTTTTGACCCCCTTCGGGCGTCCCTTACAGTCTCTCATTCCAGCCATCGCGAGGCCCGGTCGAGTGACCATAGTATTCTTTCTCTCATTCCTCGATGAGGCAGGTCATAGTAGACTGCCATTCTGATCTCCCGTCTGTCCCACGAGAGCGTATACAATTACCTGTACCTGCAGAAACCCCACTCTGGAACCTCCAAACGAGGGCCAAAGAAGAGATGACCGATTACAGCACATACCCAGACTTGGCCCAAGCAAGTATTGGCCTTTAGCTTTCAAAGGTCCGAAGGGCTGGATTTTAAATCTGTCCAACACATCGCCTCGGCGATGCGTGGCATATCATGGTGTCAACGAGCACCATCTGAAAAGCTCTCCCACAAAGCGCTCTATGTGTGCAACTTGGTGAAATCCATGTAGATGCTCCAAAATTTTTCCTGCACTCATCACTTAATGATACACCGAGCAGCGCGGTGGTATCGTATTTTATTCATGTGGACTCTAAGGCTTGGACAGAAACACGGAGCCTTTGGTCCCTAGACTGGTGTCGGAGGATGTCACTCCGCTGGTCTCCATTAGGCCGGCACTCCATGCTTTGGTCATTTTTGTCCCAAGGATATCCCTTCTCAAGTGGCCGAGATTAACATTTTGCATAAATAGGAATTGGCATATACTGTTAGATTTGAGATAAGCAATCCGGGATGTATCGATAACTTGGTCCAGGCTCCAGCGAGTCAGCGCTTCAATTGAGAGCCTTTGAGATCGATGGGAGATTAGAAGCCCCATATATACACATTCCACACATATTTCTATACGTAAAAGTAAGCATATCCTAAAGTTCAAGGAAGCCTGAACATATGATGGACGCATTGCAAGCGCTTGACTAGATTTCCCCATCTCTATCACCCCGAGTTCGATTCCCCTCGCCGTTAAGACCTCCTTTCCCCAAAACTTCTTGCGTCTCAAGTCATGCAGTAAAATGATCTGCGAATTAAGTCCCGTCAAACTCTTGACCAGTGGGCAAGAAAGCAGCTTCTTGTCTCATTCTCTGCACTACAACACCACTTCCTCGCCAGTGATCCATCCACCAGTGATTCACCTTCAGCTCTATGAAGCCGTAAGAAAGGCGTGGGAAAGTGTAGACGCATACGACGAATCATAATTCACGGAATGTTCTTTGCTAGGAGCGACTTAAATTTCCATTTTCCAGTACGTGCATACTCCGCAGATTGTGTGACAATATATAGTCATTTTCTCATGTACAAGAACACAAGAACATATTTTGAACATCGCACAACCAGTTGCCTCGAATCCAAATACAATCTCTCACTTTGGAGGACTTACATCTTACTAGGCATCCGCATGCCGCCATCGAGGCGGAGCACCACGCCGTTCAGCATGATATTCTCTATTCCCTGTCTAACTAACTGTGCAAACTCGTGCGGTTGCCCTGGTCGTACTATTTCATGTTAGCAGGGGCCGGTCCAAAATTCCTCTATCCATGCAGTAGGCAAAAGGATATGTGGGCAGAAATGGGGCCTTACAAGGAAACTCCATAACTCTAGTCAGACTTGCGCGCACTTTATCAGACATCATCGCCGTCATCCTTGAATCGAAGAGACTGGGTGCGATAGTAACGACTCTGATACCATAACGAGCGAGGTCACGCGTCATCGGCAAAGTGAGAGAAGCTATTGCGCCTTTTGAGGCGCTGTATGCGACTACATGTCTGTCAGTAAGTAAAATAGAGATGAGGGATGAGGGGAAGGACCTTGGCCAGGCTGGCCGTCGAAGGCGGCGGATGAAGCGACCATAATTACAATTCCGCGCTCGCCGTCTGGGCCTACGGGAGTGACCTTGGCCATGTGTGGAAGGCATTGGCGAATGAGGTCGATGGTCCCTCGCACGTTGACGTTCATCACGAAGTCGAAATCATCGAGGTTGAAGGGGTTTCCATTACGGTCGATAATCTGGGTAGTGAAATGGATGTTAGCAATGGGAGTTTGGGGGTATAGCAATGAGAATGCTAGCTGAGCAAAGACGCGTCTTTGAGCAGAGGGTCTGTATACTCCGTAGAAGAGGCGTGATTTTCAAGTCCATCCCACTTGGGTACTTTGAATTCGTCTAAGCTCTCTCATGCGTGGAAAATGATGTGAGGCTTCGCTCGATTCTCAAAATGTCAGGGAACATGATATGAAGTTGCAGCAAACCTTCGCTGGAGTAGAAACCCCTGCCGCGGCAATTACCCCGCCAATCTCCTTTCCAGTCTCTTTTGACCAGGCCAGAGCACCTTGGACAGCAGCCGTGATACTCTCCGTCTCTAGCACGTTCGTTTGAAAGAATTTGACTTTTCCTCCTCCGATCTCTTTGACCAGCTCCTGAGCAAGCTCCTCGTTCATATCCAGAACAGCCACATACCCCCCAGCTCGGCAGATATCCTCTACACATGCTCGGCCGAGCCCCGAAGCCCTGAGCTATAGTGTCAGCCTCTGATCCTCCTGGGTATGCAGGTCACTTGCCCTCCGGATATCACAAAGGTCCTCCCTTCAATTTTCATCTTCTCTTTAATCAAAGGGAAAAACAGCTTTCTGGTTCCTCTCGAACGAGCAGCGTGACAGCAATGTTTCTTTGATGACAAGCCGAGGTTCCCCCCCTTTGGGGCGTTACACTTACCGTACACAGCCTAGCGTCGGAGTATTCGTCCTCAAATTCCGACATGATAAGCTTAACTTGCCTTAGGTAATAATACATACCGACTGTGTACGGCGTACCTTAGACGACGGGGATAATGGAGCTTGAAAGTACAACGCACGACGCAGAAACAACAAAGACTCTCCAGTCCAAGCCCTTGTGTACACCTACTGTCGACTACATAATATAAGATGGTGCGCCCGAGGCGCTCGAGCGCTGCGAGCGATGAGTCCGCTGGTACGGCTCGAGATCAGGTACGGTTGGCACGGTTGGGTTCGGCTTGTGCCGCTTTGCTGATGATGGGCTAGGAGCTGGGAAGCATGTACGATTACTTGGCCAAGATCATCCTGCTGGGCCCCAGTGGGAGTGGAAAGTATGGCATCTGGTTCCATTGCTACAGACATCAACTCACAAATGCCGCAGGTCGTGTTTACTACATCGCTTTGTCAAGAACGAATGGAGGCTTCTCTCATCACAGACAATAGGGGTAGAGTTCGCAAGCAAGATCATAAGAGTCGGCACCGGTGCACGACGAAAGCGGATAAAGCTACAAGTACCTTCTCCCGATCCTCTGCCCCGGAACATACTGATGGCGTCCAGCTCTGGGATACAGCAGGAACTGAACGCTTTCGCTCCGTCTCCCGATCCTACTACCGCGGCGCAGCCGGCGCTCTCCTCGTCTACGATATCACCTCACATCCTACCTTCACCAACCTTCCAGCCTTTCTCAACGATGCCCGCGCTCTCGCGTCCCCAAACCTCACCGTTCTGCTTGTTGGCAATAAAGCGGACCTCGCGAACGGAAGCAATCCTCTGATAGACACATCCATACCCCCAACGGCCCCATCGAGTGTGAGCAGCAGGAGCTCATCCTTACCCTTCAATGGCGGCGGTTCCGTCAGTTCCACATCAGCAGCGAGCATGGGATTGGGCGCTCAACTCAAAGCCACGGTTGCGCCGGACGGGAGGGAGGTCTCGGTCGAAGAGGCCGCGAAGTGGGCTTCTTCAGCCAATATCCCCGTAGCGGTAGAAGTCTCCGCATTATCAGGAGAGAATGTCGACGAGGTCTTTAACCGGCTAGCGAGAATGATATTAACGAAGATTGAACTGGGGGAGATCGACCCAGATGACCCAATGAGCGGGATCCAATACGGAGATTCTGGGAACTGGAATGCGGGCGCGAGCGATGTAGCGAGTGTAAAGAGCGGAATGACGGTCGAGGAGGGGGGAGCGCGGAGGAGACGCACTACTAGGAACAAGGGAGGCCAGAATTGGGGACTAGGCGGGATGAGGGAGTGGGAAGAGGTCTTCACCCTCTCTGGAACGAGGAGGAGGAGGGGCGGCTGCTGCTAATATACTTCTTTAGGATAGAGCTGGGCTCGGAGCATGCGGACGGTTCATATTCTTCTGCTTCAGGGAAATGTTTCATTAGCGAGACCAGATAGACATGTGTTTATGACAGATTAGTTAATAATGGATGAACCAATGCAATTTATCTATTTCTCAGAAGTTCGGTAGTACCGTTCGAACCTGGAATTCTATTCCTGGCTCTTGTTGAGTGATTGGGAGAGTGGACTCTTAACCTATAGATTCATTATACAGACATTCCAGAACCCGTCTCGTACGTTCCTGGCGATCTTTACTTTCTGCCTTTCCTCTCACAACAGATTATGGAAACCAAGTGATTCTATTAAGAAGTGAGATTCGTGACTGAAGATCTCAGCGATTTATACCAGGGATGCATCCAAGAAAACATCTGTCACGATTTTAAGCTGTGCAATGGCATCATCATATTTCTTTCATCCTATTCAGCCTTACCAAACTTATGCTTCCTCATCCCCGCACACCCAAGATCCTTAATCCAGAACAAAGCACCGCCTTCTTCACCCTCCCACGGTGTCGAGCCCTCATCCGCCTCGGCACTCGTGACGACAAGCTCATCGAAGTTCTTCCCAACCCACGCTCCATGCGTGACGCGGCTTGCGTTGATCTTCCAATCGCGGACGAACGTCCCACGGCTATCGTACTTCACGACATAGCTACCCTTCCAGAGAAAAGTGTACACGTTCCCTGCGGTGTCGAGCACGAGGCCGTCGGGTTCTCCGTCCTGGCCTCTCCGGTCTATGAAGATCCTCTTATTGGAGATCGTGCCAGTCGCGGAGTCAAAGTCATAAGCCCAGATGATCTGCGAAGGCGTAAGGTCAGTTAGCAAGCCTCTTGAACTCTACTATGTTGTTGGGAATAACCTTTCTGTATGAGTCTGTGAAGAGCGCCGTCTGATCGTCGGGCGTCCATCCAATTCCATTCCCGCAGATGATTTCTCCCGGCTCGTGAACAGTGAGGGTGCCGTCGGGATCGTACCGATACACAGCTCCCCTGGGCCGCTGGTCATCTGGCACATGTGCCTGTGCTACGAGACCCCTATCCACATTCCGTAAGTTAGACTCGCGAATATAGATAGATAAGCTTGGAAAAGAAAGAGAAAACTCAAGTCCCCTACAGATCAATGGTCCCAACCCATAATCTCCCCTGTGAGTCAATCGCGCCGTCATTCAATCGAATAGCAGACTTATCCTCGTCCGGGATGATCTTCTTCAGTACCTGCCACTCCCCATCGTCCCCTACCCTGGCGATGCCCTGGAAATAACAGACGAGATAGCCGCCCCCGTGACAGAAACTCATGAAGGATATCAACTCCGGGCAGCGGATCACCCGCGCTTGATAAGGCTCAGCGAGCGTCAGGACATGGATGCTGTAGCCCAGCATGTCGATGTAGTGCAATGTGTTGTCCTCCTCACGATACAGCGGGCATTCTCCCAATTTTGTGTGCGGGGGCCGGAAAGCTTGGATTCCTGTCGCCATGGTGTAGGTACTCAGCGTTGCGATAACTCACAAAAGCCCACTGAGCTGGTATAGCTGAATATATGTTTCGGTCAATCTCTGAAGACACGGGAGTTATATATGCTCCTTGGTCCCTAGAATCCACTCTGGATTGTCAGCGGGGACTTGCTTGTCGCGGGCGAGGTGAGTTCAAAGGCAGTGGCTCATCTCTGTGTACCTTTCCCTGAAACCTTACGACGAGATGGAGAGCAACTCTTACAGCAACCCCGCTTGCGCCTCGAAGGTGATATATCTTGACAGACGGTCCCTATTATAGATTAACATCTGGTTGTGCCTCTTTCTTGATCATCGAGGAGGTTATTGTAATACCTTCACCGTTCCCAAATATCGGACACACACCTCAATTCAAACAGCAATTCTGTAAAAGTGGGAGGCGATCTACATGTCGCGCAAGAGGATATTCATGGATTGCAGGCCGTGGCGGGGGACTCGGGTTTATTTATATCAGTCCCTTAAACCCGTTCCCCAGACTTCGACCTCCCCCTCAAACCCCCACGCTCTCTATTCTGGGGAATTCGCGTCGAAAGAAGAGGGGGGCTGATGATGCTCAGAAGAAGCTGCGTGGGGGAGTCGCGACGACCTGCTCCTCTTTGGCTATGCCCACATCCCGATTAGGAAATTCGCGGCTATTTATCCCACGTTCTACGGAGTAGATTTCAAAAGTCGGTTTACGGAGTATAGGGGTTCGCTAAATCTAGTTGCCATTTTTATACATCCAGTTACCTACCTAACCAGGTCTGGAAGGCGGGGTAAGGGGGAAGTTGTAAGCCACAGTCCAAGCCATAACCTTATATGTCCATCATTCATTGTCTTTTCTCTTCCAGACACACGATAATCAAAGCCTTTCCTTCATGCACTTGTATCGCAGCTCGACCTAAATCCAGATGTTGGATCGCATTGTCGACGACCGCGTCCACAAGAACCGTGACCGATTCATCCAATCTACCTATCAAGGATGACATCTGCCGCCTAGCGTCCTACCATAACGACGACCCTGTGCCTTTTTTAAGCCGCCTGCTCAGGGGAGCTACAGTATCTGCTGCTTCATTGCCCCAGTTTGCCGGGGAGGTTGCCAGGGACACCAATGCGCGCGGCTGGAAGTAGGTGCTTGACTTCCAAACTTCCTCGTCCTCGTCCTCGTCCTCGTCGGAGGCTCGTCCTATCTCGACTTTTCGACCTACTCGACCTGCCTTTACCCAAGTCAATAGAGCCAACATTCCGACCTTGACGACTATCGCCTGTGACACCCTTCCGCTGCCCCCCCTTCCGCTGCGCCCACTCATTTACTACCTCGACATCCTATACAAGCTACACAGTAGCAATTTTCTTGGGAGGCGGGGAATACAATGTATTTCGATCATCTCGCCGAAGAGCGACAGGATAGGAACTTCGAGCTATGGCTACATGCTTTCCTACAACGAGAACCAGAGCAGCTTGCTATGCATCTCGCAAAAAAGCACCGTAAGGGGAAGATACTAGCAGCCTGTCTATGGAAGAATGGCGCCTTCAATGTTTGTTATCGTGTCAAATACGAAGACAGCACCAATGTTATTGTTCGGTTTGCTGCCCTCGGGCGAGCTGTCTTCCGCCAGGAAAAAACCGACAATGAGGTCACGGTTCTTCGATATCTACGTCAACATACCCAGGTCCCAGTTCCGGAGGTATACGGTACGGGCACATGCTGGGCAGGGCCATATATTGTTATGGGTTTCGTTGAGGGAGATCTGTTGTCTAACGTGCTCAAAGATCCCCTTAAGAAGGAAGGACGGCCTGTTCTGAACCCACGTATAAGTGACCGGGCATTAAAGATTGCTTATCGTGAGATGGCTTACTTAGTGCTCGAGTTATCAAAGCCACAATTCTCGTGTATTGGTGCATTAGTACAAGAGGGCAAGGACTTTGTTGTTGGTAGACGACCACTTACTTTTAACATGAACGAGCTAATCACGTCGGCAAACCTTGCTCCAACAGACGTTCCGACGTCTACTTTCGAATCCGCAGCAGATTATTTCGAGGCTCTTGCTGAACAACATCTTTCACACCTTCGGAATCAGCGCAATAACGCAGTTACTGACGAAGTCGACTGTCAAAAGAAATTTGTAGCTCGCTGTCTATTCCGTAAAATTGTACGGAATATTTCAGTAGAGCATTGCCACGGCCCTTATCGACTTTACTGTGATGACTTTCGACCTTCAAATATTCTTGTCGATGTAGAAAGGTTTTGTGTCAATGCAGTTATCGATTGGGAATTTACTTATGTAGCTCCGGCGGAATTTGCTTATGTTGCGCCTTGGTGGCTTATGCTACAAAGCCCCGAGGACTGGGATTCTGACTCTGATCTTGACGACTTCCTAGCCCGTTACAAACCACGACTTTGCCTCTTTCTTGATGTTCTACGGTCATGTGAGGACGAAAAGATAGCAGAGGGTACGCTCTTGGATTCTCAGCGACTCGCTGCTCGCATGGAAGACTCTATGGAAAGCGGCTTGTTTTGGGTATGCCTGGCGGCGAGATATAGCTCTATGTTTGATGATATTTACTGGAATTTTCTTGACAAAATGTATCATGGACCTTTCGGGTCAATTGAAGATCGCATTCAGCTCTTGGATGAAGAAGAGCGAAAAGAATTGAGTGGGATTTTTCAGGTAAAGATGGAGCAGGCTAGGAAAGGAATACTTGATGAGCATTATAGTACAGATACTTTAGTGGATCTCTAACGCGTTAATTTCATTCAAGTCTTCAGAACCTTATTCTTCTCGCGATGAGTTTCTCTCTCGCTCTAGGAACGACTGGAGAGCTAGAGGTGTGCTACAGGACATGCTTCCTCATTCGTATCACCAACATTTTCCCACCCTAACTTAAGCTATAAGATCAATTAAGAGTCTGAGAAATCCAGTACCCTTCTTTCAATGTGTGGCTGTGACCCGGTTATGCTTGGTTGACCTTTCTCCTTTAGCGCTTCGAGAAACGTGTTGTGCCAAAAATAAGCCCGCCCGGATTACTGCGAAACTTCAAATTCTAGATCAACTCTTGTCTTATTTCTATCTTGTATCTTCTGACAGGTCGACTTAAAGAGGTCACTGCTCACGAAAGGGAGAGTTTTTAGGAACCGACTGTTCTTTAGTAAGGAGCCTTTATAAATCGGCTTTGCTTTCCTAGGTGATTCCGGTTGTAGATTTATCTATAAAGCTGCCTCTAGTTACAAGCATAGTCTTATAACGTACATCTTAGTATAGAGTACTTTTGATGTCCCTTGGTTTTTAGTCGCTTAGTGTCGTAGAGCTAGGTGTAACGGAACCAGGTTCTGACCGTTTGCCTTAAAGAGATGATAACGATTTCTTCCTTACAAGAAGGTAACTCATGATTTCCGACTCCTAATATTTCTTATACTAGCTATCCTTGTTAAAGTCTTCCTGAATCTAATCGTCCTGTTTAAAGTATTCCTTAGGCTATTGTCCTATTTCTGTTGTATGCTAAAGAACCATGGTGGCTCAAGCATTCATACAACCCCTATAGCAAATAATGCAAACCGCTTTCAACACTAGCGAACCATAACCCCCTAACCACCAACTCCACCAACTTCATCTCAAACTCTCCCAAACCCAACCTCCCCCAACAATCAACCAACTAACTCACCACCGTCCTCGCAAGCTCCCAAAACAGCCCCAAGAACAACTCTATAACCTCTTTCTTTATACCCACCCTCTCCAGATTTACAACTATCAACCTCCCCACCCGCATCCCCACCTTCTCATACTTCTCTCTCTGCAAGCGCCCCACATTCCGACGGATCATGCGCTCGAAGAGGCCATCGAATTCGAGCTTGACGCATGTATGTGTCGCGGGTATGTAGGCCGGGGCTGGGATTCTCTGGACTACCTGCATGTGCGTGCTAGCTTAGCTGGTTGCTTGCTTGCTTGCTTTATTGGTGTTCATTCATGTTTTGCTGGAAAGGGAGGGAGAAGGGGGCGTACGAAGGCGTATGAGATGATTTCCGGGATGGTCTCGTAATGGATCTGTTTTGCGAGGCCCTCATCATCGCCTTCGAGCGGGAGGTCGAGGCTGGTCTGTGGAGAGTTGGTTAGATGGCTGCTCTGGTGGGGGAGAGAAGGGGATATACTCGTACATCATTTTGGAGTCTGTTGAAGATTTCAGAGATGTGCGAGGCAAGTGATATAGCGACCATGGTTATTGTAGGATGTTGGTCGGTATGGATGGGATGGAATGGAGTGGAGTAGATGTTGTTTGGGAAGTGAGAGGCGGGAGATGGGTTGGTGGTGGAGGTAGGGGGGACTGGTCGCTGGTTCTGGATACAGCAGGTGAAGGAGGAGGCCCTGATGACGGCAGAGCACCTCCGTTGTCGGGTCTGGCATATCCATTCGACGAGTAAATAGGAGAACCCTTTACTTCTAAGACAGCTTGTTTTTCCTAAATAACTTCAGACTTTCGAACTTTTTGGTTTAAGGTGATCCTATATAAAACGCCCATGTGATATTGAAGAAACTTACCTACCTACCACTTTATACGCCTATGAACCCCTAGATCGTCAGCAGCTACCGCAATTACAATTAAAGTTTGGCATATCCTTCCTTGAAAGAATGGTTTCCACTTAATACGATTAAATTCAGCAATTGCAAAAGAACTGAAAGAGAAACATGCATCTCCGCTTCGATACAGCCCTACCCATTCCTACAATCTCCGCCAACCCATCGTTTCCACTCTTCCAGCTCCTTCTGCGTCCAATCCTATAACTGACCCACCAACTTCTCATTAGTGTTCTCCCGAACCTTCTTCCCCTTAACACCAATCGGGAGATAAAACGCCCCGTTTTCAACGCTCGATCTCTCCCCCGTCACCGCCCAGCACGAACTCCATGCCGCCTCCCCCTCCTTCGTTTCATCCTTCACATTACCAACATTTGTGAGCCAGACTATCGTCTTGTTCAACGTGCTCAGTTACTAACCAACGCCGCGTTGATCGTGCCGTGATGGATCGACAGGAATAAGATCTCGGAATCTAGGTAGCGGCGAGCGAGCTCTGCCGCGTAGAGGATATTGGCTAGCTTGGCTTGACCATAGCGCTGCCAGGGCCCGGCCACAGCGAAGCTTTGTGGTGTTTTCAGCGAGGGGAAGAGGATGCCGCCGCGGGGGTGTCCGCTGAACATCACGCTGCTGAGGAAGACGACGCGGACGTCGGTGCTGGGTTGCCCCGAGGTTTCGAGCAGGGTGGGCAAACTGGAAGCTTCACAAGAAGAGCGTGTCCGAGGTGGTTGGTGCCGAATTGTAGCTGGTACCCATCTTGGGTGAGACCGGGGGAGAGCCATGATCCCAGCGTTAGCGATGAGAATATCAAGTATGCTGGTTTGGGAGAGAATGCTCTTGGCACCGGTTTGGACAGAGGGGAGAGATGCTAGGTCCATCGAGATGAATATGATGGGACGGAAGGAGACTTGGCTCTGTGGTCGGTGATGAGTTCATCGGCTCGTGACTCGGAGCCGGTTCCTGTTGTGATGTTAGTTGTCTGAGGTGATGTGATAATATTATAGCAGGAGAATAGAAGAGAGATAGGGTTATAGACGGGAGAGAGAATATAGAAGAGACAAGGGGAGAGACAAGAGATTAAAACGTACCTCCAGTGACGAGAATGACCGTCAGGGAATATCCGTTTCGGGGTTATATCTCGGCATCTTTGCGACTCTCCTCTCAGTCCCGAAACAGTTTCTAGACTCCCAATGGAGAAGCAAGCTGATCTTTCCGAGCCGAATAAGGTAATGAGCGATATAGCTCTGGGGGTCAAGAGAAGTTCGTATTCAGAAGTCCAGATGATGAATGGAATGAGCAGACGACAAGACAATTGGCGACCGGTATGAAGCATTCTCAGCGGGTGAAGAGAAGCGTGAGATGTCTTCTACCATCGATTGTTTGTCTCTGAGTATGGCCGTCGTGGCTGGCAGTGTTAGGTTCCAGTCAGACTTGAGTGGTCCTGATGCGTTCGCAATGCCTTCAGGAGGTCGACGTTGCACTGCTTCAACGGTGTCACTTGACACTATCCTTTTCGTGGCAATGAGCGCGGAAGAACCTTGTGAGAAATCAAAGGCTGTAGCTCACTCTCCTTCTCACCGCCGATGTTAATCGGGTTTAGAAGTTGATATGGAATGGAGCCTGGGTTGGGGCAGTCTCTGGCTCTCAGAGGAAGGCAGTCCAACGTGTAAAGTCAACGCCGGAAGAGAAAACGAGGTTCTTATCACCAACTTACCCAGGTACATGCTCCGGAAAACTTGTGACCATCCTATCGTGGCACGACTGGTGGAAATAATGTCTTGAGAGAGGGAGATACACAGATAGTAAGAGTAATTGAGACACTACCCCTGAGCTTTACATGGACTCTTACCTAAGCATCAATACCACTCCACTCACTCTCCTCTGCAGCAGATGCCTCCTTGGCGCTCTCTGCCTCTTTCCGCCGCTTGCTCGCCTGGATCGCGCCTCTCCTATTATTCTCCAACTTCCGTTCATAACCACTCTTCGTACTGATCTGTGTTTTCCCTTTGCCCTTTGTTTCCTTGCCCTCTTTCCCCTTTCCTAAGCCACCTCTCCTTGCCTCCACCCCATACATCTTCAGCTTCTTCTTCTCCTCTTTGCTCGGCGTCGGTAGCGCATCCAACAACCACTTCTGCATGCTCGCTTCACTGGCCGGTATCCCCGCCGCTTTCTCGCTCGCCGCAATGATGTTAGCCACGTTCTTCACGTATGGGATATCCTCTTTTGTGTAGAGCGTGACTGCCACGCCACCATCTCTCCCTGCTCTGCCCGTGCGCCCAACGCGATGAATATACGCAGCTCCAGAGTTAGGGACATCATAATTAACCACACCGTTAATGCCGCGGAAATCGACGCCGCGCGATAAGATATCAGTGGTGATGAGAACCCAGATCTCGCCGTTCCGGAAGCGCGTCATGACATGGTCTCGGGCCGAGTCTGAGAGATCGGAGTGCAGGACCGCGATGCGCGAGGAGCCGCCGGCAGAGGCGGGTATGTCGTATAAGAGCTCCGAGTGGAGGGCGATGGCTCGGGGAATTGTTTGGGTGAAGACGAGGAACGGGGGTCGGAGGGATTGAGTGCCATCGGTGGCCCTTGCAGTTGGGTGGAGAAGCTGGCGGAGAGCAATCAACTTGCCAGGTTCGGTGGCGGCGTAGATTAGCTTGTGAGTGATGTTGGGAATGGCGGAATCCTTAAGTCCAACTATGAGACGGACTGTTCTGGGTTGGGTATCTAGACCAAGCCGGGTCGCTCGTGATTGGATTGTTGATGATGCCAATGCTTCGATATTTGATCCCATAGTTGCTGACCATAGAGCCACACGCAGCTCTGGGTTGATGCAGGATTTCCATATACCCAGGGTTTGGTCTCTGAATAATTGGTCGAGGAGTACATCAGCCTCATCAAGTACCAGCGTTCGAACGGTGGGTAAAGGTGCCTGTTCCTCCTGAGAGCTGGCTGACAATGCACTGAGCAATAGGCCAGGTGTCGTAACCAGAATGTCTGCTTTTGCCAACGGCTGAGAGGACTTTTTCTTAGACGCCTCATCTTCTGACTCGGAATCTTCCTCCTCACTGGAGCTCTCACCTTGCTCCTCCTGGTCGTCCTTGGGTACTATTCTCATCCCCTTTCGCATCCCCACCACCTTGATCCCGGTACCGATACAAAGCTTCTTCGCTTCGTTGACAATCTGGCTTGCGAGCTCTTTCGTGGGTGCTACTATAACCGCGTCCAGGACATGCCCACTATCCTTACTCGCCCTCCGCCGCTGCACAATACTGTTGACGACAGGTATGAGAAATGCCAGCGTCTTCCCACTCCCAGTAGGTGCAACAGCCAACAGATTAATATTTGCGGTCCCGTTGGAATCCTCCAGCTCCTTCATAGAATCACCCAATGCCGTTTCTGGCTTCAGAAGCAGAGGCAGACTCCCCATCTGCACCTCGGTCGGAATCTTGTAACCTTGTTGTGCCAGATTTTCCCCCAATCGTCTCGATATGCCATAAATACTTCGGAGATCACTGAAAGCCACCAGGGGCTGTGGATAAAGTTCCTTGTTCCTATGCTTCTCCTGCTTTTTCTCAACCTTCGCTTTCTTCGATTTCTTGGTCTTCTTTTCTTCCTCCTTCGCAGACGACAGAAGTGTAAGTTTCAAGCGATGCGATCGAAGTATCTGCCTGCATTCTTCCTCATCCAGCAACTTCACAGCAGGTGAATCGTCCTCGCCGTCCTTAGGGGTTTCAAGAACACCGTCCGTCTGGTCCTCCTTCTTTGATTTTGGTTTCGTCGATTTCGGCGCAAAGAAGTCAACGGACTCCTCCTCTTGGTCATTGGCCTCCTCCTCTACCCTCTCCGTCCCACGCTTTCTCTTCTTTCCTCTCGATTCAGGTATCGCATCGTGGAACAGCTGGGGATTTGCCGGAGTCCCTGCCGATGGTAATTTCGCCGGGCCTCCATCTTTGATTGCCGGGCCCTTCTGTGGCTTCTTCGCGGACCGGGAAAGCAGCTTGCGGATATCCATGGCTGTTTTGTCGGGGACCTGGCGTTTTTCCTTTTCTCTTCAACCCTTGGCGTTCGCGTTCGGCGAAATATTTTGAAGATTTATTTTGCCGGATATTTTCTGCCACCAGACACCGCCTTCGCTAGGCCTTATCCATGAGCGAGCATTTCACCCCACCCTTTCTTCCATTCACCAGCCGTTGCATACGGTATACAATGCCAGCTATGGAAGGTGAGAAATACTCTCTTTTTGATATGTATACGTATATAGGGGTATCGGTTCGAGCATCTTCTCATAGATCAAGTTCGGGTTCTATGGGACCTTGCGATTGAGAAATATATATAACCATGGCATCGTCTACCGCGAGCTCCAAAACAATCACGGTTCCGTGCTCCAATTCAAGTTCAAGTTCAGGTCCCACCACTAGTAAAACCACAATGAGCCAGATCCTGATCTCTCTGGAACCCCCCCGAAGATCCAGCCTGACCGACTCTCATTCAAGGACCAGCACCAACGCATCTAGCACTCCCAGCTCCTCAGCCACAACTTCGAGCCCCGCGCCCATATCCACAACTGCCCCCTCAGTTCTGTCGTCGGCGTCGATTGCCCCGTCCGGGATTGCGTCTGCTTCTTCGCTGCTGCACACCACGATCACGAGCACGGCGGTGAGCGGCAGCGCTTCGAGTGCTGGCGCTGCAACGGCGAGTCCGAGTAGCAGTCAGGCGGGCAGGGTCTCGTTGGATGGAGTGGCGGGGTTGTGGGTGCTGATGTGGATTGGTTTCTTTACGTTCTGTCAAGGACGGCGATGGATGGGATTCTGATATCTGAGTCTGATTGATGTTGACCATCGGAAGTACATATCAGTCACGGTCTTCTGATCCACAGCTCTACATGAACAATCGTGTATCTCAGGCCTTACTTGAACTCTTCACCTCGTCCCATGTGACTCCGGATGCAAGATTCATATACTTAGACAGAGTATAGGTCATGAAGTCAAATATCCGCCCCCTTATATCCAGATTCAAACAACTCACACCGGCCTCTCATTGGCGCGGGTAAAAAGCAAAGCTTAAATACTCCGGGTCCCGCTCTTCGACCCGCCGACGGCTAAATGAGCTTTGCGGGCGTCTACCGATCAACCTCGTGTCATATATAGCGACGCGGTGCGCGTCCACGTCGCATCGAAATCATACTTTTGTGCCTCCCTGAATGGAGAGATTGATAGGTCTACCTTGAAAATAGCCCCGGCGCGGTTGATTTAGCCGCGAGTGTGGTTGGTCTAGCAAAGGCGCTTTGACTTCATATTTTTGGATGACAAGCCACCGCGGGGTCGAGATGCGCAAGAGCGCTGTGCGCCAGCAAATTCTCGAAGCTCTTCTGCACACACCGATCCTCTCTCGAAATCTTCTCTAAGTACGAGAGGGATCCCACAGCATCGAACCACTCTCTCATCCAGCACCCTCGAGCCTGATCTACGAACGCATCACCATGGTGGAAAGCAAGGGAGAAAGCGTATTTCCCTCCCCCTCCCCCTCACTGTCGTCATAGACTGTCATCATCATCAACTAACACCCACGGCAACCAGAACCTCTCCTTCGTCCTCGCCAAGCGGCTCGACGTCAAATTCGAGGAGCGGCCCAAGCCGACCATCGACTCCCCCTACGATGTCCTCGTCGCCATCAACTACACAGGCATCTGCGGCAGCGACGTGCACTACTGGCAGCACGGCGGCATCGGGTCCTTCATCGTCCAGGAGCCCATGGTACTCGGGCACGAATCCGCAGGCACCATCGTCGCCGTCGGGTCCAAGGTGTCGCGCGTGCAACCAGGGGACCGCGTCGCCCTGGAACCAGGCTACCCGTGCCGTCGCTGCCCGGCCTGCCTCTCGGGCCACTACAACCTCTGCCCGGAGATGCGATTCGCGGCGACGCCGCCCATCGACGGCACGCTGACGGGCTTCTACACGGCGCCCGAGGACTTCTGCTACAAGCTGCCGGCGCACGTGTCGCTGCAGGAGGGCGCGCTGATCGAGCCCCTCGCGGTCGCCGTCCACATCGTCAAGCAGGCCGAGATCAAGCCCGGGCAGACGGTGGTCGTGATGGGCGCGGGGCCCGTGGGGCTGCTCTGCTGCGCGGTGGCGCGCGCCTACGGGGCATCGGTGGTGGTCAGCTCCGACATCCAGGAGGCGCGCGTCCAGTTCGCAACCTCGTTCGCGGCCACGCACGGCTTCATCCCGGCGCGCGCCTCGGGGGAGGAGAACGCGGCGCGGCTGCTGAAGGAGGTCGGGCTGGGCGAGGAGGGCGCCGACGCCGTCATCGATGCGTCGGGCGCGGAGCCGTCGATCCAGACATCGCTCCACGTCGTGCGGCGCGGCGGCGTGTACGTGCAGGGCGGCATGGGCAAGGCCGACATCACGTTCCCCATCATGGCGCTGTGCATCAAGGAGGTGACGGCGAAAGGCAGCTTCCGGTACGGCAGCGGCGACTACAAGCTGGCGGTGGACCTGGTCAGCAGCGGCAAGGTGGATGTCAAGAAGTTGATTACGGGCACGGTGCGGTTCGAGGAGGCGGCGCAGGCGTTCGAGGCTGTGAAGGCGGGTAAGGGGATCAAGGTGTTGATTGCGGGACCGAATGAGAAGTAGGGGGTGTTGTGTGTGTGTGTGCATATAGATAGATGGATGAAGCATATTCAAGGGATCAGAGCTTGAAAAGAGAAGAGAAACTCTGTCCTTGTCGAAGATATGGGAATTAGAGAGTCTCCTCTCCTCTCCTATACATACGACGCAGTGAGGTGAGATATGTCAATGCTTGAATGAATAAATGTCTACCCAGGTCTCGGTCTCCTTGCTTTGTTTTCCCATCCCTGCCCATTCCATTCCATTGCATGCATTCCACGCTTTTATCTACCATATACACCTAGCCTCCATCCGCCCTTTTGATATACTTTATATATACCTCCTCCACCACACTCACAATTCAAACACACACACAACACATTTAAAACCTCCACGCAGCGTCCGCCCCCTCGGGTCATCGTCGGTCGCACTTGCCTCATTGAGAGAGAACCCGTGCTGCGGGGCCCGGCCGCTTTCTTGTGTAACCTGAGTGCCGCTTCGGGCCCTAGCCTGAAGATGCCCAACCCCCGAACCCCGATCCCCCGATCCCCCAAACCCAAAAATCGTCCCGAACACCGCCAAAGCGCACCTGCAGACACCCCCCCGGCCATTACCCAAGAACATGAGACCGGACGCGCCTTCTCCCCGGGTTCCCGTCTCAGTCGCCTCGTGGCCCGCTTCGGCCCGTGCGGATCAGTGGCACCGAACCACCGAATCACCGGCCCGTCTCCCAGGTACCTTACGTAGATTTCCGGGATTCAACGTTGGCGTTTCATCTGCCGGCCCGGCTACAGGCCACTGCCGAGCCAATGATCTTCAGTCGCACATTGGTTGTAGTTGCATCTTTTTTTTTCTTTTCCTTTTCCGCTTTTCGCTTCTTGCTTCTCTTTTTTGCTGTTCCAACATCGTAGCCATTGGTGGTGGGAGGGGCTGGAGGGGCTGGAGGGGGCGATTTTCATCCGAGGACATGCCGACCAGCAATATTCGCCTCGATCATTGGGCCGTCCGACTTCGTCCATGCACAGGCGCTTAGAGCTGCAGCTGCAGAGCCACCGCATGCGCCCGCCCATGCCGTCATGCGGTTAGACCGTCTCAGAGCTGCACACCATCTGCTCTTCATGCGCTCGCCCGGTGAGAAGGCCTAGAAGGCCATCCGCGGGGGAGGAGGACGGGGGAATACCTCGGCGTCAATGGGAGGACGGGCATTGCTGTTGGAATGGCGTGCAGGAGTCTGGCGTCTTGTCTCGGGAGGACTACCTAAGGCATGCTGTGCCGTAGGGGACCCGGCGACCTCTCAAGCCTCGGCCGGGCGGCGCGCAATCCAGACGTGCCTATGATGATGTGGTTAATATGAATCCCATGATGCGTCATAGACTTCCGAGTAGCCAGGGAGCGGAGCAAAAGAAAAGGGCACAACTTACACATTGCAGTAGGCGTGAAACTTCTTGGAGCAGATCTCCCTCTTGACTTCCGAACACAACCGCTCCACATCCGCCTTGTTCCAGCCGCTCATTCTCGTCAGCGGCGCTAAGGTCATGGCCTCCAGGCCCTGCGTGAGCCCCAGATTATACCAACGGCCGATATCCTTCAGATGCGGATCCGCAGGCCACGGATTCAGGGGAACCTTAATGACCTGTTCCTGAATCTCCACGAACCCCTGCCGTTCCAACATGATCCGCGTGTCAGCATTGTAAGCCATGGGGCGATACGCGCGCGCCGTCGCATCCATGACTAGGCGGTACCAGGTGGCCAGTTGACAGTTGGGCGGTAGTGACCCATCGTCACAGCGAGGCGCCATATCGATCTCCACATGTTCGAGCCATCCAAACCCCGGTTTGAGATGTCTGGAGGGGGGCGTTAGCGGTGTGGGGGCAAAACTCGGACCCGTACTCACCTGTAGATCTTCTGATATGTCTCTGGCCAACTCGAAATGCTGCCATTCAGCATCCGCATGTGTATCAGATCCCAAGAATCCAGATCCATGCCATGCCAGGGGGACTCGATATCTCGTTGCGAGAAGGAAAGGTTGGGAGGGATCCTGCCAAAGTGTCAGCGGGGAAACAAGCCAGCTAGAAGGTGCGCTTACTTTGCGGGCTGGATCAGTGATAGATCAATGCCCTGGACTTCCGCAGTGGGGTACTTGCTACACGTAGGCTATCAGCACCTATCCGGTCCATTGGAGCTGCCTGGGCTCCTCATGAGGAATGCGCTGCTTACTCGGCCATGTCAATCGCCCAGATTCCTGTGCCCGTTCCTAGATCCAAGATCCGGGGCCCGCGATCGTAGTTCGGTGTAAAGGGGGTAGAGTGTAGCTGATCCCGTCTGGCAACGGAGAAGAACTTGTGATAGATATCCATGCGATCCATCTCTGTCTGTGCATGTCCCCGCATTAGCACCCCACTCCTAGCCCTCGAATGGCGGGTTCTCGGGATAAGGGAATGGATTTTTACCTCATCGCAGGGGAGCATATATTTGCCTTTCCGGAAACCGTGGTATAAGCGTCCATTCTCGAAGTAATTCTGCGGAGGTGGAGGAGCCAGAGAGATATTTGGAGGTGCTGAGAGAGGCATTCTGTGCACGGCGCGCGATCAGCTCTTGATTCTTGCCATGGCTAGAACGGGTGGGGGGAGGTTGAGGAGGGCTCATCCAGAGGTCTTTCGGGATCGGAAAGAGCACTCGCGACGAAGGCAAGAATCTGGACGGCGGGGAGCTTAAAAAATAAGTTGAGGATCGGCTGCGACAGGATTTCCGACGCAGCTCGCCCTCCCTCAGCAGGATAAAAAGGCACATACCCGTTATTCGCCATGGCTAAGACCATGGGGACGATTGGTGTCGAAAGAAGAGGATGGCACGCGGAATCGGGAGGGGAGGTATAACAGCCGCATATGTGTGAGTGGGCGGCGGCGGGATTTGAAGGCGGCGATGCGAGTTGAGGTGAGAATAATACTCTGGCGGGAACGACAGGCGGAGGGAGGAAAAGGGAGGAGAGGGAATGAATGGCGGGGGGAGAGGGGGGGTGGTAGTCAAAATAAGATGTGAGGCCTTTTTTCTAATTATTTTAGTTCTAGAGAGGAAGCGTCTCATGCAGAAGGGAGGATGTTGGTGGTATAGTAGTAGCAGTAGTACAGCAGCAGTAGCAGTGTTCTGGGAATCGAATCGGTTTTGATCGGGGTCCCACTAGGGAGGTACGTAGGTACTAGCTACAGTACAGGAGGAGACCTCGAATTAGACCTTTCGAATCCGACCTTAGCAGGCTTAGCTAGACCTTGGGACCCAGGATCTCTTGGGCGCGCACCGCACCGCACCGCACCGCACGGGGCTGATTGGTGTCGAGGGGGGGCGGTGGAAAGCGGACTCGACCAGGGGGAGATATCGGGGTTTTGGAGTTGCGGTGATGGTGGTGGTGATGATGATGATGATGATGGTGATGGTGATGCACAGTCGAGCGTGCTGTGCTCGAGGAGATGGGAAGAAGGTTGACGGGTCAGATACTGCAATTCTGCCCAGACGATGCGTCGGCTGGCAAGGGATCAAGAGTCGCACTCAGGCTGGCGTGATGAGTGGGAGTGGAAGTGGGGAGACCGTGAGGGTGAAGGACAAGGCGGACTTTCTCGACCTCGATTGACGAGACGAGAGTCGTTGAGCACGCTTTGTCTGTCTTCTTGGGTAAGGTAGTCTCCCCTCTTGACCCGTCCGTCCGTATAACACGACCAGATCCCGCGACACCGCGCTGGAGGCGGCAAGGCACTGCCAAGGGCCCCGCAAGGGAAGGGAAGGCGAGGGAAACGCTGGCGGCCGGGTCTTGGGTCTCTCTGGGTCTTGGTCCTGGGTCTTGGGTCCTGGGTCTTGGGTTTTAGTCTGATTTAGCCTTTATTAGCCCTGATTAGCCCTTTCGGCGCGGGCGCCCTAGCCGGCTTACGTTAGACTGCTAAGGGTAGCCACACATTAGGCCCGATGGGGGTTTAGACAAGCCTGCGTTGGTTCGCTGGGCGGCAGAAGCGTTGCTTTGCTCACTGCAGGCGCGGTTGAAGGCAGGAAACGCGGCAGAAGCGAATCCTCCCTCCTTTTCCTTTTCCCTTTTCCTTTTTCCTTTTTCCCTTCCCCCCCCTTTTATTTCCTCTTTCCCTTTCCTTTTCCTGCTCGTCTCTCGGGTCGGCTGGAAGATCGATCGAAGCTCCTCTTTAGGAAGATGCCGTAGGTAAGGTAAGGTACCTTAAGGTAGGTATACCAGGTACCCCCCCTTAACTACCTTAGTACATATACGACGAACTCCCCCCAGTATCCGCCGTAATATGCAATACTGTAATAATTCGTAATCCGTCATCCGTTGTGTGTCCCGCAACTCCACGGCCGTCGAATCACACCCGCGCACAGTGGCAACACCGCACCGAGACCACACCACTGCCGAGTCCTCTCTCCTGTTACTCCGGGGAAGGGAAGGGCACGTCGTGGTCGGCACGGCCTTGAGCTGACAGTCCGGGCTGCCTGGCTGGCCGGCGGGTGCGTGGATTCCTGGTCAGACAAGAGGCTTACTGTACCACGCGCGCGCTCTCGAGGTAGGTAGTGATGAGACCTCTCTCTTACCCTCACGTCCTCTCACGCAGTTGCCGCCGCTATTCCTGCTCTGCTCTGCAGGTCTATTGCCTGTCTGCGCGGTGACGCCAACCCCCCCGTGGTGTGATCTGACAGACTGCCAACGACTGGAGGAGTGGGGAGAGGAGATCGAAGGCGCCGGTTGATTGTTGGGGGCGCTGCTGGGTTGGGTGTTCGAAGCAAAGCAAATAATCCAACGCGCGGTGTTATCACTCACTGTACGATCCATGGATGCTTGGCAGGCGGGACTCAGGGGATGGCATGGCCAGGCTCTTCATGTCTCATCATGATGGCAAGTCAGGTCCAGCCTTTTTGACCTGGGTATACATGATATGGTCATGGATCATCTCTCTCGTCAGCCCTCTCCCCGCGCGCGGCTTGACGATTATTTGCCGATGAGTTGCGTGCAAAGGCGCCGCGCAGACGAGCAAGGCCACGCAACGCCCAAAGAGTTGAAGCACAGTCGCACTCGCACTCGCACCGTCGTACTGGACCTCTCCTACTGTCGTAGTGGCCGGCGCAGCAGACCACAGGAGAACGGGCTCCGGCGGTGTGGTGAGAGCTCAGAGTAGTTTCCGGGATAAGCTCCGTGGCGGAGACGGTCCACCCATCTGGTTGGAACAATACTACTACTAACAATACTACTTCTGGACAATGGCATTTCCACATTATTATGAAGAACGGCGGTCTCGCACACGGGGAGGAAGCCACGGGCTGGGACGCCACCCACAGAACAGCTGGACCGCGGCTGGGTACAAGATGATGTATCGGAGTATTTGTGCCACAGCACAGGGGATCCATGATCTATCGACCACGACCCATGGTACGGCAGCAAGCAGCAGCAGTAAGTGTGCGGAGTAGATCACCTCCCCTCCCTACTGCGTAAATAATGAATAACATGTCACAGCTCCTGATGTACAGATGATATGCGACAGATATCGACATCAAACTCACAATAAAGATTAATAATCTACGCACGTACTCCGAGGACCAGGGGGGGCTGCCCGCTGGGAACGCCAGGGTCCGCACGGGACGTTATTTGCTGGGCGAGGGAACGGCGGCAATCAGAATCAACAGCCCATTATTCCACGGCCGTTGAGACTTGATCGTGAAGGGGTCCGGTTGTTATATGACCATGACCTACGATACGAAGTTGAGAGTTGACGGGCGTTTGTCCTCGGCGGGGCGGCCCAGTTTCCAGTTTGCAATTTCCAATATCCGTCTCCCCTTCTTCTCAACACATGCCGAGAGGAAGAATTGCAGGACGGCAGGATGGCTGGACGATGATCAGCAATGCAATGCAATGTACGAAAGTAGAGCGGTGTTTTCGTCTTGTCTTGTCTTGTCTGTCTACTGCTTAACCAGCTCCTCTCCCCCTCCCTCCCCTCCCGTCCTCTCCGCTCCCCCCCCCCCCTTTCCTCCCCTCCTCCCCGCCCTCATCCTTTCCTTCCGAGTCCCCAGAGAACGAAAGGCTCGAATCCATCAATCCACCACCCTCACTCATCTCAATCCCCTCTATCTCCCCGAGTCACCGCCTCGATTCCCCCTTCCCCCCCCCCGCCTTGCACATCCAATACTCCAACCATCCCTCCCATCATTACTCCACTCAATCAATCTCCACACCGCGTCGTCCGACCCGACCTCCCGACCTCCCGCCCCCCGATCCGCCAGTCTGGGACGCGTTCCTCTCGGGCGCCCGCGCCGCTGGGGTGTGCCGGCCCTGGGGATTTCACCTCCAGGCATCATCCCTCCTCTGCTTGTCCAGGATGCCAGCCGTCTGAGAATCCTGGACCTGGACCTGGACCCCCCTTTACAGAGAAGAGTTTCGGTTTGGGTTTTGGTTTCGGGATTCTTGCTAGCGGATCGATATTTTTATTTCGGTTGAGCCGCGGTGAAGATATAGATTGATTGATTTCTGATGTCTCGTTTTCTTTTTCTTTTGCTTTTTTTATTTTTTATTTTTTATTTTTTTTGATCGTATCGACCATGATCATCTTTCTATCTATCATGTCTTGTCTGCCTCGGGATGTAGAGAGGCGTACTTACGACACTGCACCGATATGATTGATGCATTTCGATCGATGTTGAATTGCTGTACCTTCCAGGGATGGGAATCATCTATCCGCCTTCTTACTTATCTATATACAACGTAGATTTCAACAGACTGTGCTTCAACGCTCGATTCTATAGGGTAGACGGAGTCTATTTCCTTGAGAAACATAGAATAAGCAAACTATTCACGAACGACAAGTAAAAGTACAGTAAAGGATTGATTGATGGAATCTTTGTAAGAGGGTAGAGAGATGTCGACAAACAAACAGATATAGGATCCATCTATCCATCTCCCTACCTACTTCTGCATTCCGCACGAATAAATGTGCGTTCGCATCATCGATGCTAATAATCCAACAAACAGGTAGGTACCATCAAGAAAGAAACAAAAGAAAGAAAAAAAGAAAAACACATAGTCATTTCATCATAAGTTCATAACCAAAACACCTACCTACGCACAACCACAGAAGAAACATTATCCCTCGCATCGCCCCAACCGCCCATCTCATTCATCCATCTTCCCTCTTGCCTCGTGTTTTCTCTCACCATCCCTGAACCCGTCCCCTTATATATACACACATATAAGTATAGCACTCCCTACTATACCCAGGGATTCATCACCTACCTATTCCTCAGACCACTGCACAGACCATGTCACGTCGTTACGAAGGCTCAAACTCACTAGGATGCAATAGCTCGCTTCGCTCGCGGAAATACAATGCTTAGTCACAGGGGCAGAAGCCAAGTCTTTTGAGGTTATACTGATTTTACTATTGTGACAGAAACTGTAGGCTGTTTGATTATGTACGCTAGGTAGTTTCGACCTGTTATATAGCCTTAAAAACGCTCTGATTTAACGCCGTTATATGCTAGTAAAAATGCTCTAAACTCAACCCGTTATATAGCCTTAAAAACGCTCGAATTCAGCCTGTTATATAGCCTCGACAAAACTCGGATTCGACGCCGTTATATGCCTCGAAAATGCTCTAATCTAACGCTGTTATATTCCTCGAAAACGCTCTGATTCGACGCTATTATATGGCTCGAAAACGCTCTAATCTAACGCTGTTATATAACCTTAACAACACTTAGATTCGACGCCGTTATATACATTAAAAACGCTCTGATTTTGTGCCGTTATATAGACTTAAAAACGCTACTATATGCCTATTTGTGTAACCCCTTATCCTTAAACTACTAACCTGTTAAGGGCCTGTAGAACTACCTGTCGAGCTACCTATAAAGCCACCTACCTGTAGGGCTACTTACCGGTAGGGCTACTTACCGGTAGGGCTACTTACCGGTAGGGCTACTTACCGGTAGGGCTACTTGTAGTGGCACCTGTAGTATGCTAGTTCGAGTGCCAGTTCGAGTGCCTGTTCGAGTGCCTGTTCGAGTGCCTGTTCGAGTGCCTGTTCGAGTGCCTGTTCGAGTGCCTGTTCGAGTGCCTGTTCCCTGTTTAGGTAGAAGGGAGGATATAGATGCGTAAAAATATATAGGTAGGAGGTTAGGTAAGGTAGGTAGGATAGCTAAGATAGCGCGTACAGCGCGTGTAGGGGCCTAAGGCAGCGAACCGGGTAACGGACCAATGAGAATTAAGAGAATACCCTTGTTTTTACAGGGGGTTTTCGGCAAAACATCGGTCCATTTTCCAGTATAAGGTAGAAAGTAAAAAGAAAAGAAAAAGAAAAGACCCGCGCTCCCCGCTACACGCGCGCACACAACCAGAATCCCGGGTCCCCGGGAAAAAAAAAAAAACAAAAAAGAATCTAAAATCTAATGTCTAAAGATCTAGAAAACTAAAAATAAAGTGAAAAGAGGCAATACGTGAGACTAACCCCTATCTCATATTGAGTAAGGTACCAGCTTACGAGTTTCTTATTAAGGTTTCCAAGAGTACTAGTTTTGAAGCTACCTAGCGGAGGTCGGAGAAATAGGCCGAGGAGAAAAAAGGGCGCTTGTTATGTATGTATGTATGTATCTTATGTATGTACCTTTGGTATGTATGTGGGTAAGGTAGGAAAGTAGGTAGGTAGGTGCTGGCTACGGAGTACGGAGGTACAAGAGCTGGTTTTACATGGCATGGCATGACATGACATGACATGACTCGTGGGATGGGAAGTGGGATGGTTTGAACTTTGGAGGAGGGGGGGTGTTCGGGTGGATGGAAGCTGGGAGGGAGAGTTTCTTCTCAAGCAATACATATGTATATCGTGATAGATGGTAAGGGATTGGGTAGGGTAAGCTAATAGGTAAGGAAAAGTATTGTCCATGAGGAGCTTGAGATCAAAGTGCAGGACCTACAGCCTAGGTGCAAAGTACAAAGGCCCTCTTTGTGGAGTTTCTTGATCTTTTCCTCCTCTATCAAATGGCAAGCCGGAAGTCTGACTTGCATGCTCTGTCTCTCGCCGAGAATGGCCAGCTGGGCCGGATGTGCGACGCAAGGGCAGAGCGACCGACCGATGGGTTCCCGACGCCCGGCTTCTTGGGACTCGGATCAGCTGAGTTGCGGCATGTCGCCGTGCACCGATTGGAGGCTGGGAATGCTATGTATGTGTGGTGTCGTGCGTATGCTGTGCTGTGCTGTATGTCACCGCTGATCTACTGAGGTCAGCTTTTAGGACGGGCGGGTGAGGACAAGGTGCGCCAAAGGATGGGATGAATTACAAATACTTTTCACCGACAGCGATTCTCAACCCGCTGGTTGTGGTACGTCGGGTGCATCATCTTGAGAGAGAGATCAGGATGTGAAGAGGTGATGAGAGAGGAGATGATAGGTAAGGTAGGTAAGGTATATGAGCAATGCGGACTTGCATTTGATATCACGTGGTTTGCAACAGGTGACATGCGAGGTCCCGAGGACTCGTGCACATGAATCCGATCATTCCTTCGACTACGGACCCTGATACTCCGCACCGTATGTATTGTGAATACACTACCTCGGATACGTGGTGGTTGATCCCTTGATCTTGCGCCGTCTCAGCAGTACCACGTCCGTCCGCAGAAGCGTCGAACCAACATGCCTCCGATGTGTGTCTCACAACTCTCTCCTCCACCGTCCATCGTCCACCTTTACTCTCCGCTGGGATCTCGCCGTCTAAAAAGCAGGCAAGAACCAGACTCCTGGAAGACTGGCGGTCAAGTGGATCGACGCGCTACACGTCCAAGTGCAGAATCAATAGACAGAGACGCGGTCCCTTCCTGCAAGCGCCAGGTTCACCCACGTTCACCACACTCCAATGACCATCGAGAGCTGATTCTTCTCCTTCCCCTCCACCAGTCACCCTCCGCCTCATGGCCAGCTTTCTGCAACGGTTCGCTCCGGGCGTGGTGGGATCGAAATCGCCGCTGATCAACGGTCTTAGATGCGGAGCAGAGCAATAGCGCATCCCACTTGAACTCGAAGCAGGGCATTCCCTGAGCCCCTCCCCCCCCTTCGCATCTTCGTATCAGGCTCCGAACACTCTTCGCCCGGCTTCCTGGAGACGCGAAAGGTCCCGCCATTCTTTTGCCGCGTCGCTTTAGACGGCAGCTTGTCCTTAGAGGCTTAGAGGCATTTGAATGACAAGCCTCATATGGCTTGATTTACGAGAGAAGCTTTTTCTCGGCTCTGAACCGTCACTAGGGAAAGTACTAAGGTCACCCGTTCGTCGGCCTCATCTTAAACCAATATCACGGCTGAGGGGTCAGGGTCCAGGGATATGGAAAGCCAGCGATGTGTCCGCTGAACCAACGCGCGAAGCAAGAACCTGCACGCCAGAATGGAAGGTCGATGTGTGTGTTCTCTCCCTTGCGTGTCTTACTGTCTCTACAACGTCGTAGTCCGCGTGCTGAGCCTGTGCGACTAGAAGACGGCTGGCTATACGGGCATTAGGGTTCCCTTCTTTGTTCATGTGCGTTGACGTCGTAGTCGGCGTGTCTAGGACCAGGTTCTGGGTCGAATAATGGGCCGCGGCGGGAGGATGTTCTGCTTCAGCTAGCTAGCCTTCAGCCTTACTTGCCGAGGAACTTCTTCTGATCCTTGTCCCCTCCCAACACCATACCATCTATCTCATCTATCTCCCCCTGATTTCTTGCAGACCAAGCAGGCATCCATGATCCATCCCTTCGATGTGGTAGCACAAGAGACTGGTCACTTATGCGCGCAATATGGTATTATATCACAAATATCCCCGCGCTTTCAGCTGTAAGTGACTCGGAAATTATTCGGATCTCCTAGCTCCGCAAGGCAAGGGGAACCGCAGTGTTGGGTCTCCGGTGGCGATTTAACGGAGGAGATTCCGAAGCTTGTGATCTTGAGTGATGACAGTTTCTGAGAGTCTACACAAAGAAGAGCAGTATACTATTGTTTCGTGCTTCGTGTCTCGGTCTGCTTAGGTCTTGATAAGTATCAAGGAGACGTCTATCTGGGCCAGAGGGCGAATTGCATTTCATGCTTCTTCTTAGAGTCGGTTTATTTGCGGATTTTCTTAATATCACATGCTTTTCTTCACTGTTACTATCACCATCACCATCACCACCACGCTGCGGTTCTATATCTCCCATCCCTGATTCCGCTTCTTCTGTTTTTCACTTGGCTCGGGAATCCAGAGGGAGGGGAGTTTGTAGAACAGCAACCCGAGGTATTTTTTTGTTCTGAGAGAGCATCGTACGTGGTTATCTGATTCCATGAATTGGAATTTGTCAAAACCTTACCCCTGATGTGGGAACGAAAGCCAAGCCTTGAGGCCAAGCACATGCATGCACATACACGACTCTTCAGGTCCGAGGTACCTCAAGGATATAAGATGATCTATTAGGATGAGCACTGTTCGCAGCGAACTAATTTACATATTGACATATATATATGCAAGTCGGATATGGATTCGCCTTCCAGATATACATAAGGGACATACGTACATACCTTGGTGACTTGACTTGACTCCACACCCAATTTTTGGTATCTCTAGCAGAAGGGTACACAACTCAAGCCCGGCCAGACCTCAACTCCCAAGCTATGCTACCTTCCCAACCTATTTATTTATTTATTCTTCGTTCCCAGAGGATAGTATAGCACACCCGAACGCCTCGTCTCGTACACTCTCGAAAAACCTACGTCATTTCCATTTCCTCGTTCTCGTCGGCCTCGGAGCCTAGGGTCTGCGTCTGACTACTGCCGACGCTGACCTTCCTCTCCGCGCCACCGAAGCCGAACCGGGAGCCCCCGAGTCCGCCGACGTATTCGAGTTCTTCAGCTAGCGATATGTATTAATAGATGTTCGTATAACTAAGGTCAAGTCCATCGTCGGAACTTTCGTCATGCTCACCTCCAACTACGCGGCCTTCCTCGTCGATTTCCTGCGAGAGCTCGACGATCGCCTGCCGTGGGAGCTTCTGAAAACCGGGCGTGCGCACGATTCGGCCCCAGTGCATGAGGCAGAAGCTGGCGGCTCGCTTTCGAAGCCAGTCTTCGTTTGCAATGCCGGCACAGTGCCAGATGACGCAGGCATGCTTGACGTCGAGTTCTTTGGAGAGCCGGTTCACGCAAAGGAGTCGGAGATGCGGGATGTTGTAGATGTTCGACATGACCAGCAGTCCAGCAACATCATTCAATTCTGCACAATCTTCAGGAAAAATACTGTCAGTGTAGAGGTAGTAAAGGAAAGCTTTAACAACGCTGTAGGGTTCGGGGATATGCATCCTTTTGGTGTGGAATTCCTCCATCTGAGACTTGTAAAGCCGTGCAAAGTGTGGCCATCTAGCCTGCAAGATGAGTTTGTGGACATAGATAGGAGGAGACGTGGATGCATCAGGTGAGAGCCATTGCTGTTGACCTTGATCTGCTGTATGCATCATGCTGGAGCTCACAAGCTCTTCATCGTCCCAATCGCCATCTTTCAATGCAGTGATGGTGAAGTCCGTTCCGCTGCCGGTATCCGGATGTAAGTTGAAGAGTTTTGCAAGGTCTCCTCCGAGGCCTTTGGAAGGTGGGACGATGGTTGAGGCAGGCCGTGACGTTTCCGCACAGGGTTCAGGGGACATTTTATTGCCGAGAATGCCATAACGACTAAGGTCAATTTCCATAATGTCACTAAATCTAGTCAGTTGAGCAGTCGTAAATTCATGGGATTTTGACCGACCTAAGGTATTCCTCAAAGCCACCAGGGCCTAGATCCGTTGCAGTCGGGTCTGTGGGACAACCCAGTAGCCATGCTTTAGTTCCATCTTCGTTCATGGTACAGTAATGCCACCTGTATCCCAGTTTGAATATATCTTGACCTTCAGCAAGTTTCTGCCATCGTAAAGTATCGAGATCCAATGCCGATAGAGAGCATTCCTGTGGGGTGATAGTCGCGGCGGGAGTTACAAAATCGAGCAACGTTCCAGACGTATACACATGGAAGTGCATGCCTGAGCCTTGTGCTGGGATATTGGGACCAGAAACAAATTTTAACGAGGAGATCGCACCAGGAGCAACCAGAGGCGATGTTCGCCTCTGAAATAAGAGTGGATTGACTTGCGCGCTGCTAGAGTTTGCGGCATAACCTGAGCTTCCAACCACAGGTGGTGACGGTGCAATGCCGTACGAAGCTCGAGCCGAGCCACTAATCCTGCTCAAGGCAGCTTGCCTATCGAGAGAGCCAAATAGTGGAGGGGAGTCAAAAGCGGGACTGCCTTTGAGATCCAACCACCAAATATCACCAATCTTGTCCATATCTGCGCTCAAACCTCCGAAGACCCATACACGATCATTCCAGACGTAGACTGAGTGGTCGTATCTGGCAACAAATTTCCATGCTCTCGACCATGTGAAGGTCTTCAGATCAAGGTAACAAATATCGTCAAGGACGTAGTTCTCATGACCAGTTATTCCCCCAACTATAAACAACTTGTCATCGTGGAGCAGGGCTGCATGTCTTGCTCTGCCTTTTGGGATAGTGCCCGTCACCGTTGGTTGCGTCCAGTGTGCAGTCTTAAGATCGAAGATTATAAGGTCGGAAAGGTACGCTCGATGTTCGTTCTCGCCGCCAAATATCAACAATTTGTCTCCCTGGTACAGCGTGGCGGTGTGACCTATCCAAAGTCAATTGGTGAAGATTTAGAAGGGCCAGAGAGAAGACGTACCCATTCTGACCCCTGGAATGTCTCCATAGTTATCGACCAAGCTCCACTGGTAACTGACCAGATCCAGCTTCAGCACATGATTGTAGACCTCGTCGGTATACTGGTCAAAGCCGCCAAAAGCATAGATTTGGTTGTTACCACAGTAGGTGACCGAAGCGTTGACCAAACAGGCAGGCCGTTGACCCAAAGTCCTGGTCACCTTGGGTTGGTAGCCATCCGTGCTCAGGCGTCTCTTCATGGGAGAATTGGGCATGAGAAATGTGTTGTTTGAGGAGGCCGCTGAGCCCGGGGTAAGTACGGGACCGACTTGATTGTTGAGGGAGTGAGGGGCTCCGGCGGGAGTGGAAGGCTGAGCCATGCTTGCAGAACCCTCAAGTGGTCATGCTCAAGCTGCAAGGGTACCTCGATATATCCCCAATATATCGAAGACGGGATTGAAGGCTTTCGGAAGCACAGAAGTCAGACTCAATAGACTTCCACGGGCGAGAATGAGGTGATCTTCATTTGGCCGGCGCTTTGCTCTCTCGTCAAACAGATTTCGTGATGCGATACGGTTCGGTGGAGAAGGCGGGACTTGCCGTGTCGTCCTCAGGCATTCAGGCACCGCAGACGTTGCTGTTGACAACTGCGCTAGTTTGGTAAACATTCTCCTCCCTTCAAAAGAGACTCGACGACGTACCATTCTCATCTTCCTTTGCTCGCACATTTGCACCTCTACAAACCCGCTTCCCTCCTTCACCTCTCTCTCTCTCTCATATCCATCCTCAATCCTTCAAACAAGAATCCTTCAAGTCCACTAGATCTCTCTGCCACGTACTCAGTACAACGCCAGTGATCGCCCTCCGACTTAAGCCATTCTTCGAAGGACCCTTCGATATATCGAGCACAACACAACGATCATACTAACCCAAACTTACCAGGAACCATTAGGTTGAGTCTCTTGGAGCTCGTTCGATATACCGAACCTCTCTATCATCGATCGATACATTTATTTGTCTTTCGACCGAGATCATACCTTGATATTGCAAAATGGCAACCGCAGTATCTACCCCAATCAAGTCCCACGCCGGGATCTTCTCCACCCGTACCGCTGGCGGACGGATGCCCTTGACACCTTCTCCTCGCACACGAACTACGACTTTGTCTATGAACAATTCCTCCCCATTCACACCTGAGAAGAGAGCATCAGACAACGACAGTGCCAGGGCATCCAAGTCAACATACGGTGGAAACCTTACATCACATTTCTCAAAGTCGACTTCAAGAAGCACACACCGCGACTCGCCAAAGTCTAACATTGCCAGAACCACGCAGACACCTCGTCGTGCTCTGGAACTCGGTGTCTCCGACTTTGCACTTACTGGCACTGGTTGCAAGACACCTGCCAGCAGTCGATCAAGGAAGGGTCCCCTTCGTCAAAAGTCTACCAAGACCACCCTTTCCTTCGGCGATCGATTCATCCCAAACCGCGCCGCTAGCTCAGCTATTGCCACCGTGGGCTCCGGCAAGCTCGACATCAGCGACAAGCAACGCCCAAAGACAAGTGGTGGGGAAAGCTCATCTGTCTTGTCGGCCGCCGCAGATGATGCTCTGGCAGCACTTGAATCGTTATCGTTGAACGATGACGATGAGACATCCACCTATTCCCGCCCTTCACCCAACACCGTTGCTTACCAAGACTCTCTTGCTTCAGCTTGCGGTGTCTCCCTCAACCAGAGAATCCTGGAATTCAAGCCCGCCCCTCCTGAGTCTTCAAAACCAGTTGACCTTCGCTCGCAATACAACCGCCCTCTCAAAAATGCTAATGTTGCATCAGCCCAATTCAGACGTCGTGTCGCAACAGCTCCCGAACGTGTTCTCGACGCCCCAGGTCTAGTAGACGACTACTATCTCAATCTCCTTGACTGGTCTTCAGGCAACCAAGTTGCTATCGGTCTGGAGCGCAACGTCTATGTCTGGTCCGCCGAGACCGGCACAGTCAACTCTCTTTTGGAAACTAGCCCAGATACCTACGTTAGCAGTGTCAAATGGTCGGGTGATGGAGCCTATGTCAGTGTTGGTCTGGGCACGGGAGAAGTTCAAATCTGGGATGTTGAAGAAGGAACCAAGCTCCGAAGCATGCATGGACATGACACTCGTGTTGGCGTCATGGGTTGGAACAAACACACCTTGTCAACCGGTGCACGATCTGGCCTCGTCTTCAACCATGATGTCCGTATCGCCCAGCACAAGATCGCCGAACTCGTTTCTCACACCTCTGAGGTCTGTGGCCTCGAGTGGCGAGCTGATGGAGCTCAACTTGCAACTGGCGGAAATGACAACCTCGTCTCTATCTGGGACGCTCGTTCCTTGGCTGTGCCCAAGTTCACCAAGACCAACCACAAGGCTGCAGTCAAGGCTCTCAGCTGGTGCCCATGGCAGCCAAACCTCCTCGCTACTGGTGGTGGATCATACGACCGTCATATCCACTTCTGGAACTCTACCACTGGGGCACGAGTGAACAGCATCGACACTGGCTCCCAAGTCACCAGTCTTCGATGGAGCCCTCACTACAAGGAAATTGTTAGCACTAGCGGTTTCCCCGACAACTCTCTCAGTATCTGGAGCTACCCAACTTTGGTGCGCAACGTTGAGATTCCAGCCCACGAGACCCGAGTGCTTCACAGCTGCCTTAGCCCCGATGGACAGATGCTTGCAACAGCTGGTAAGTACAATTGTTCTAACTGGTTTGGACGTTGCTGACCTCTTCTAGCTGCCGATGAGAGCTTGAAGTTCTGGAAGATCTTCGAGAAGAAGGCTGGTGCGAGTTCGTCCGCAGGCGCGTCTGGTGCCTCTGGAAAGGCTGATATGGTTAAGCAAATGACTATCCGCTAGAGAGTGGCAGTCATCAAGCCTCTAGGAAGTGCCCGGGCTTCCCTGAGAGCAACTGGTAAAGTATAAGAAGGATTTCCATACTGGCATTAGCGGTTGGATTTTACAGCGTGGAGTTGGGGAGTTGTTCTTGATCTCTCTCAATGCCCATGGCCGAAAGTGCTTCACCTGGTGCGAATAATGCTTAACGATGGATGACTGGAAAGGGGCATGGCATTCTGAACGGGCAGGTCCTACGTAGCCAAAACCTTGTACTTAGATATCTAATCAACGAGGATTGTATAATTATGATATGGAGAACATTATTAATATCTATTAGTTCTCACTTCTACCCTGACCCCGAACAGGGAAACCACGACAATTCGATTCACTTTTGACAAGAATGCCGATTTCATGAAGATCTAATTCATTGAATGAAATAACTAGACAGGTGAAGATTTAAGTACCATAAGAGGTGGGCTTCATCCCAGTAGTGAAATGCCGCGAAGTGAGGCTCTGCGCATATATTAGTAAGCGAGCTAAGAGCCGCGAGCGCCATATCTCGGGGCAAGGCGTCTCCCTCATACAACTCCGCAGGCCAGGACCACAGTCGTCCCTCTACATTGCGGCAACACAAATAAAACCCTCTACGAAATTGAATCAGATAGTCAGGAATCCGAATAGCCTACCTAAACGAGTCACATCTTCGCTTGTGGTTGTGTGGAGGGGACGTTTTGCGACCCGGCGGCCTACGCTCTCTTTCTCACCCACCACCCTCTCGACCCCGCCAACCACCTGAACCCCGTCGTCGATATCCGACTTCCCTTGCGCAAGTGAGTAGCAGTGCCCAAAGAATAGTGGAGTAGTCCAAGAGCCCCGTTGTCGCACCGTTCCAGAGCTCAGTAGCCATACGGTGCTCTCACGATCTCCCCGCTACTTATCGCGACCACCAACACCGGCAAGATGTCGAATACGCAGGTCGGAAATATCTATCAGCAGATCATTGCGGATGTCGTCGAAAGCTCCAGAGTCGATTTCGAGGAGGGTGGCGTTGATGAACACGTTCTCGAGGAGTTAAGACAGGTATGGTCATCGCTCTCCATCCGTCACAGCGATCTCATCAGATACCTTGCTTTTATCTTCTCTCCATTGCATTTTCCAACTCTTGATTCATCAAGCGATGCTTTTCCACTGTCGCATGGCTCCATCGACGAGATGGTCGTTGTTGGTGTTGATATGCGAGATTCTCTTCTCTCCCATGCTGCCTGTGCGCTGGCCCTTCAATTTTCACGGGTGGGCGACCCTCGGTATTTGGCTTTATACCCAGGCTTTTCGCTTGTCGGTTTCTGACCATGCGCTAGTGCGTTTTGGGCCGTCTCCCGGTCACGTGGGCCCTGGCCGTGTGTCAGCCATCTTCCCACTCCCTTTCTTTCTCCTTTTCAGGAGCCATGTTGGAGAGTAGATACTCTCTACTGCTATGTGATGTTGAAGATTGCACCTCCTAACATGTTTCCTAGGGATGGCAACAAAAGCTGTCTCAACTTCAGGTCGCTACCTTCCCATGGGACCCGAAGCCTGAACCACAACCCATCGTCAATCCTCCTACGGTCCCCTCAAATGTTGGCAATTATCAGCCCATGAGTGCCCCGCCCCAAAACTTTGTTCCTCAGCCTCCACAGAACAATGCTCCTCGCATCAAAACCGAGCCCGGTCTCGAAAGTCCGATGACTCAGCAGCCAACCTTCCAGAAACCAGTCCTCACCAACCCTAATGCCACCACCGCTCAACAACGGGCTGCCCAGCATCTTCAAGCCAGTTATGGGCAAAGGGCTGCCGCATCTATTAATGCGATTCAAGGCAATGTTCCACAACCACCACAGAACGTCCAGCAAGCTGTGCACCAGCAACAACAACAGCAGCAACAGCAACAGCAACAGCAGCAACAACAGCAGCAGCAGCAACAGCAACAACAGCAGCAAGCATTTAACCAACAGCAAATGTCGCAGATGCAACAGCAGCGTCCACAACCAATGCAGCCCCAGAGACCCCAAATGACCCAGGAGCAGTACAGACATGCAATGGCTCAGCAGGCCGCCCAGGCTCAACAGCGTCTTCACAGCCAGAATGGCGTTAGCGGTGCGCAGACTGATGGTGCTGGTGATGAGATTGAGGAATCGTTTGGTGTGATTAAGTGCGGTGAGGAGACCATGGGACGCATTCAAATTGACAACATGATCCGGGAGAGGATAATGGCTATGGGCCAAAGTATGGAAGGTGGTGGACTGATGCTGCCTTTGCATCAAGCTACTAATGCGCAGAAGCGCCGTCGCAAGGTTGTTAGGACAGAGGGTGCGGGCAAAGGACAGCATGATGGACCTGGTTCGGATGACGATGATGACAAGGATGGTGTGAAGGATGAATTGGATGAGGATGCAATCAATTCCGATTTGGATGACCCGGATGACGGCTTGAACGAGGAAGAGGATGATGATGAAGGCATGGGACACATCATGCTCTGCATGTATGACAAAGTGCAGAGGGTCAAGAACAAGTGGTACGTGTCTCCCACCCCTCACTCTCGGGAATTTCCTGCTGACGAAGCTGGAAACACAGGAAGTGCGTGATGAAAGATGGAGTTCTGACGGTCAACGGCAAGGAATACGTTTTCCACAAAGCGACCGGAGAGTACGAGTGGTAAATCCGCCGTACCTTCAACTCCTCGCTCTGTCCTCTGACCCCGGATCTCATCAGGCGGTGGAGTGGACGATTTATTGGCAGTTTCCGCCATTCAACCGACTCCAGGCCAATCAAAATAACACCAAAGCAATTCCGAACGTCTCATAACGCAACGTCGTTCTCGAAATCCACTCAAGCTAGATTCCTCTGCCCTCTTTCTGCACCTAGACCTCTGCAGTTATTTCTCTTCTCCTTCTCCTCGGGCGGCTGTATTCAAGATGGCTACCATCTCCATCTTTAATCACGAGATGATCAATCAATAGATAGATAGATATTTTTCTTTTCCCCGGCTCGGAAAGAAGCCAAAAAATATGAAAGGACAGGGAGGAAATACCAAATTGAAAAAACAAAGAAAATTAAAAACGAAAATACCCGTCGTGAGATATGGTTTTGTGGGGGAGGAGGTACACATGGACGAATAGTGAGAATGGGTGATGCGAAGTGGAGGGGAGCCTATATGCGCAAGGTTGTATCATAGTTTCTATAACGAATTGATATCTCGTTTTTTCTGCGTGCCTTTTTGATATTGTATGTGTTTTTTGATATTGTATGTGAAGTTACCTACCTACAGTCAGTCCCCTCTTTCTTTTGAATGACCGACTTCTCTCTCTTATTATTATCTATCTCATTATATCTAAGAATGTAGTAGAATCATGTTCTGATCAGGTTGGTTCTCCAAGCTAAGAAATAAAACAAGTTTTGTACTGAAGTTTTGATAACAGTTCGTATATACGATATCACTAGGTAAGATAGGTAAGGTAGGTAAGGTACTAACTATACTGTACACGACCTGACCACCCCCCCTCTCCCACCACGAATAAATAATCTATCTCTGTCCCTAAACACCTACCCCAAGATCTCTAACCAGACGCTATACATAAACTCTTGCTCTTCCGTTCCATCTTTACTTTTCTTTTCCTAGGTAGGTAAATACAGAAATATCGAGATCGTGCTTACCTTACCTACCTCCTATCTGTAATAAATATCCTTCTGTTCCAACAGCCTACTTATGCATAATACAAATCAATCATTCCCCGCTTATATACCTTACCTTACCATACCATACCTATCTACAGAGTTCCGCTTCCCTATACAGAGAAGAAGTCTTGGTTTCAAATCAGGTAGAGAATAAATAGGTAGGTAACGACTTTTCTTTTCATATTCGTGGAGATACCTTAAGGCCTTGTCTTAGGTAGGTAGATAGGTAAGGGATATTAAGGAGAGATTGGTATGGTAAGGTAAGGTAAGGTACCTTAGGTGATGGTGTAGGTATGTTATTCGAGAAAAGATAGAGATGGAGATGATGGCTCAAAGCACGTGTACCTGAAGAGATTTGTAGTGAAGAAGTTTTGGATCATGGAGATTTCAAAAACTAGCCTGGTTGAGGATGGGAGATATTCATCACCGCCTATATATAATGTGCAAGGTTGTTGGGATGTTGCGAATACCCTCTTAGTAGCTTGACCTCGTTATCTAGGGGTAAGCGCAGTACGAAGATGCTGAGTATAAGAATATCCATATCCAAGACATCATATCAGTAACCTTCGAGATTCTGAAATGTCCTACGGCTTTAACTCAGGGAGAAGAAACATGGAAGAAGAAACAGGCTTTATTATTTAGCACGCGCGACTTTCGTATGAAGATTCAGCACAGGGCATCTGAATCAGCGGACAAAATGCAAACATCCCCTAACTCCGCGCTCAGACACAATAAAGTTTAAAAAAAAAGACCAATATCTCAATTCCATCACGCCGGTAGTTCCAAGCACTGATTCATAGCTTTCAAGAAGCTCTTTTCCCTTTCCGTCTTCGCGTCCAAATCCCAGGCTTGCAATCCCATAGCTCGGAGTGCCTCGTCGCCTCCTGCTTGCTCGATATCTTTGACACCCATGCGTCCCACGTGTTCGCGCTCTCCCATTCCGCCGGGGAAATCCGGCCCGGGCGTGCCAGCCAAGAAGGCATTTCTCTGCTGCACGAGATACCGGGCGTTGGCCTCCGTCAAGGGGCATGCGGGGATATACAACACCGAGCTGTCGCCCACACCCTTGTGGATCTTATCCACCGCATGCAGGGTGTCGCAATGCCAGGCTACGTAATCCCCCGGCTGCACGACCGGGACGTGCACCATGGTCTTGTCGAGCTCGAGGTGCGGATGCAGCGTGTTGGTGAGTTCCTGCGTGCAGCCTAGAGAGGCGCCTTGGAGGAGCGGCGTCTGCACAGGATCCAGCTGCCAGTTCTCCGCATCGAGATAGCCGCTCCTCGCCGGGTCCGGATTGCGGGGCGAGAAGAACGGGCGCAGGAGGAAATAGCTGGTCGCGAGGCCAAACAACGGATTCACGAACAGCGTCCCCTCACCGGGTCCCGTCTCGCTCATGCTCAGCCAGCCCTGGAACATGCGGAACATGCTACATGCCCCCGCGCCATTGTAGAGATCGCTCTCCACCCGGAGCCTCGTGGAGGATTCCCAGGGGTCGAACTCTTCGAACTTGCCTGCGAAGATGGAGTGGTAGGGGTCTCCTAGCCCGTAGCCCTCGGGCTCCCATCTCTCAACCGATCCGCCGTCGACGTGTGGTCCTAGCGCGAATCCTGAATCGCCCGGCGGCCGGATGCGCACTCTATCTGCATAGGAGACAGGATATTCCGTACTAATAGCCGCATCCGCATCCTTGGAATGCCAGAACGACATCAAGAAGCGCTGAGCCTCAAGCACATTGGGATGCGCCCTGGCCTTCACTTGCCCCGGAGACCAGTATAATTCATAGACAGCCGGATTGTCCTTAGGGAAGGCCTTTGTGGATGGATTCGCGCGGATGTAGGCCCGTATCTCCTCCTTCCATCCCAATGCGACGTCAGGATCCACGACACCCCGTAGGATCGCTACCCCGCGTTTCTTCAGCGCAAAGGCGAAGGGCTGGGTGCGCGAGAAGTTCTTGATCTCGGAAGACTCGATCTCGGGGATGATATCTGACCCGGAGCTCGAGATGAGTTCGATCTCGCTGCGGAGGGCTTTCAGGAGTCGCAGCCACGACGCTTGGATGGCGGATTCGTTGCCCCGGATGATATGGCTTTTGACGTCGGCGAAGCGCGCGGGGAGGGCGGTGCCTTCAGTCCCGCTGAGGGAGGCAAAGACGGAAGAGATGTCGCCCTCTTTCCTTGGTCCCCTCTCGCGAGGGTGTGGTGCTGTTGCTGCTGCCGTTGCGAGCGTGCGGGCGTGAGAGTAGGTTGCGCCGCAAGACGGCCTTATTCGACGAAGGGCTGTGAGCATCATGGGGATAAAGAAAAACCAATGCAAAAGAGACGATCAGGAGAAATATACAATACCTTTGAAGCGATGCGAGCCATACTTATACTTCCACCCCAAAGGGAAGTTCAAGAAGACAATAGAAAGCTGATAGGAAGGTCGCCAGACCAATAGCGCAGCGCCGTTTAAATGGCTAAAGGCACATCGACATGGAGACGAAGGTTTCCCGCGTTTGTGGGGAAAAGCGGAGAACAAAGGGAAGGATGAGCGAATGCTAAAATGCCAAAACGCGGCCAGAGCAACTCTGCCGAAGCTATGAGCCGCCTCTCTCTCTCGGAATAGCAACTCGTGGTGTGACGTATGTGCTCTCATCGTCTGGTCTTCTTTTTTGGCAGAAGCTGGTCGATGCTGACAGAAGGGAAGGAAATGCGGCGGCTGTCTTGCATATTCAGCCTCGCATCGAGACTACGATGAAGCGGTACCAGAGGACTATAGGAATGGAAGGAAGAGCGGGATATCGCAAAGGCAGCTTTGCCGGGCATCGTCCCACTTGCTCACCAAGTCGTACGGCACAAGAGAAAGAAGGCCATATGTGCACAGTGTAGTACAGTATCTGCCATTCTCGACAGCAAGAAGTTTCCCGTCATCATATCTTACAGCTTGCCAGCAATCCATAAACCGCAAAACGAGACTTTCCTTTCGACGCCAGCCCCAGAGGATCCTTTCCTATTCCCCCAACCAAGGACTATTCATTACCATAATGTCGAAGTAATAGTCGAATTAATAATACTTAATAGTAGCAATCAAGCCTTCGCTCGCTTTTCGTCGTGTGCGCTTCCCGGGTCTTGCGCCTCCTCCGTTGCCTGTCTCTTGTTCGATTTTGCGGCCCCTCCGCCATCTTTCGGGGGTCTCCCTCTCTTCCTCGGCTCGCCAGTTGTTGGTGGCTTGGGGGGAACCTTGGTGCTTCCACGGGGACGTCCACGTCCACGACCCGGAACAGCTGGCTTTTTGGTCTTCTTCTCGCTGTCTGGTTTAGCAGGTCTACCCCTTGGTCTTCCGCTTGGCTCCTTCTTTGGCTTGGGCTCATCGGCAGGCTCACTCTCCCTAATGAGGACGTATGCGACCTTCTCAATATCGATAGGGGAGACCTGAAGCCTGTTCTTCAGTTCCTTGGCCTTGTTGTAAAGTTCCTCGAACTCTGACGAATTGTACAGGATCTTGGTTTTCTCGCCGCCTTTCACCAACCAGCGGTAGGCTTCGTCGCTGAAGAAGATGACATTCTCCGGGTCATGGATTGACAGAATAAGGGATCCCGCAGCTGGTCCTATTCCCTTCAAGGGCTTAGTAAGCTTGTCGATGGTTTTCGAGATGTCAGACGGGTCGTTGTCGTAGTGAGAGAAAGCATCGGAAGTAGCGTCCCTAACAACATCGTCCGAGTTGGAAGCAACCAACTTGGGGAGTGTAGGGCGAAAAGTTCCATGGCGGCTGGAACGTTGTCAGAATGAAGTCCATGTATGCGCCTCAACTTTGCTAAGATGAGCTGGAGGCGATCACTTTCCGCGGCTCGACGATCTCAAAACACGCGAAAGAGCGCGATGCGCCGAATAGAAAATCCAAGTTGCGCCGCAAGGAAAGAAATCGGGAAAAATGGGATCTTACAGCTTCCAGTCAACCAGCTTCTGGACATCAGCAAGTTCGAGTGTTTTGCCGCCAGCCTTCTTGGAGAAACGCGACGGCGCATCGACGTAGCGAAACTGATCGAGCTCCTCGAGAGTTGCAACACCCGCCTTTGCTTTGCGATTATCAGCCAAACTCGGATCACGTCGAGGAGAGATAGATACCGGGCTTGGTGAGACTGCTAATAAGAGCCGGATACCTGCTCAGCGCATCCCTAAACTCGGGCAGGGTAATCAGGTCCGCGGCAGCCATGTTTGCGATATTCTCAAATTCGGGGGTGGGGTTTGCTGCCGAGGGCACTCTGGTTGAAGCTGGAGATTGGTTGACGCGTTCAGATCACGTTCATAGCGCTTCTAATAGTGATGGGTATCGATGCCGAATTGTTGTCGAATTGATTCGAAGGGTGCAGTTGGGCGGAAGCTGCACGCGTGAGGAAGCGATCGAGGTACATTGGTACATAAGGTACATACAGGTACAAGATAAAGTCTACAAGTCCAGATACGGTTTAGCGGCTAAACGCAGACCGGCACGTTTATGTTAGGCACGGCGATTAGGTATCGGGATGCGCGGGACATTCTAGACCGGGCCAGTTTGAGAGATCGTGTCGCATATTTTCTTATTTTCTTATTTTCTTCTGCCCTTCAAAATCCCGCAGCGAGAGGTTTCTTCCACTCAAAACTCCAAACTCAACTCCCCGGAAATCCCACCTCTCACCTCTACCAAGTGTGCATCGCTCGCCAAGATGGGAAACGTACATACCTTCCTCTTAACTAACGCATTTCGAGAGTACTAACCCAGTGCGCAACAGGGAGCCAAGGCAGCCTCGAAGCGGGAACGCAATGCCAAAGAGACCAAAGTCGCCAAGTCGCAACTGAAAGTCAACGAGCAGGCCAAGGACATCCAATGCAACATCTGCAAATCGACATTCTTGAAGACGACGCGTGCGCCTGCGTATGTTTTATTTTCTCTCTCTCTCTTTCTTTTCGTCTGCTCTGAAAACCCTGGCCGATTATGCTAACCTCCCCCTCCTGTCTTCAGCCTCACCGAACACGCGGCGAACAAGCACAGCAAGACGCTCAAGGAGTGCTTCCCAACCTTTGAGGAGAAGAAATGAGCTTTCCCTCTCATACCGACATGATACCCCGGTGCGTTGCGGAAGATGGGGGGAGTTTTGTAGAAGAGAAGTCAGTGTTTTCTGTTGCGCTTTTGCTAGATGGGTGGAGAAAGTCATGAAGAAATGAGACACGCGGTGGGTGTTTTGAGCGATAGGCGCATTGGGAACCCAGCATGGCGTTAGACAGACATGGCTATGCTATGCATAATGTGCTGCTTACGGTACACTTTCCCCCCATGCCCTGCGCACATGTGTGCGAAGTTATTCAGTGCGCCTCCACAGCCTGCCCCTTTCCTGCCGTCCCATTAACCACTACCTCCTTTTCCTGCGGCGAAGTAGGCGGGGCAGCCTTCCTCCTCCTCTCCGCCTCCTGTTCCTCGCGGATCCCCGCCAGGATATCAGGGTACCACCTCTCCCCCACATCCGGATGGCTCTTCACCCTATTCCTCAACGTCGCCTCGCCCAACGTCCTAGCCACCCCACCCCCATGAAACGTAAACTCGACATCATCCAATCTGCCCCCATTCCTGGCCACCACCTGCCTCCTCATCTCCCGGATATGCTCCGGGACCCTCCCCACTCCCCCGCCATGCTCCAAGTCATTCAGCTCCTCGAATTCCGCGTCCAGGGATACGCCTTGGAAGAACGGCACCGAGAACCTCGCACCGGATCCTGGCGCTGGGGAGAGGACTCGATGCGTCGTGGACATGCATACGCCTTGAGTGAGCGCCTCCATGCCTTGCCCGATAGCCACCACGAGCGTGCCATCAATCGGCGGGCAATCGATCCACTCCCCCTGTAGATTCTGGACTTGTAGCCCCTTATGGTCCGTCATTTGCAGCAGGTAACTGGTCAGCATGCTATCTTTATGCGGCCCCACTCCTTGCCCTTCCACCGGCTCTCCTTCTTTCCACAGCCCCAGCTCTTTGAGGTCCGGGTACTTCACAATCTTCAGTTTGTGTTGCTGGTCCGCATCGAAGTATTTGTTGAATGCGTCGGCCGGGAGACCGATAGCCTCGGCGATGAGGGACGTGAAGAAGATACTTATCTCTCCCATCCGCTTGATATAATCCGAATATACGGGCTTGAAATTTGGCAGTAGAGAGGCCGAGGGCCATTGATTAGGCGCCAAGAGGTTTCGATATCTCGGGTCTGAAGGCGAGGGAAGAGGGTGCTCGGTCGAGAGGTCAATCTGCTCGCGGTGATCGATGGAATGAGCTGTGACCTCGGCATCGAGACATGAATAACCTAGAAAACTGGGTGCATTCTTCATTTGTATCTTCAGCCTTTGACTCCATCAGCAAGGGTCCTCATGTCAGATGCTCAGAGCTGTTACAGCTGCGACGGGAAGAACGAACTTTTCCTCCGTAGGCAAATTGAAAAATTCAATTCCCTCTCTAATGACGCCTTGTGTCAACTCCTTGGGTATTCCTACATTCTTCAGATACAGGAATCCGACTTCGAGGAGGGCATGTCGAAGCTCGTCCAGGAACTGGGCTTTCGTGGAGGGGTCCTTGGCGAGAGAGAGGTCAAGAATGGGGATTGAGGAGAACGACATTCTGAATGCTCATGTTAGGGAATGAGAAAATGAAATAAATAGGAGGACGGAGGGATTCGTGCTGGGCAATCAAGAGAAGAGGAAAGGGTACGATATAACTCCATGGCAATTCTGACCTGCCTTTGACATGATGCGTTGACTGACGATTGCGCCATTCCGGCATTTGCCCCGCTTGCCCCGCTTCCGTGTGTCTCACGTGATCTGCAAAAACCAACCCCCCTTTTCGTTTTGAACCAGTTCTCATGGGATGGGGAAATATGGTGATGATTCAAATGCATGTCTTCCTTGAGGAGACCAATTCGCAACGCAGAGATAATTCACGCTGACAGGAACGGGAGCGGTTTGAACCGAACAAGAGCATGCAACTCCACATTTTGTATTTTATGCCTTGTAGAACTCTACACAACGCTCCTATCACTGAAACGCAAGAAACTCCGCTATGCAAACCTTACACCAGAAACACCATGCGTTAAACACTCTGGGTCAACGGCTGGCTCGAAAATAACCCGGCCACACGGTAGAACATCTCTTCCATAGGCGGCAAAGCAAATGAAGGCCCAACGTTAAATACCTCGGAGAGCTGTTGTTGTGTCACCACGGGTGTCTCATCATCCTCCTCCTCGTCAGGCGTCGTCGCTGTAGGCTGAATTTCATCCACTTCCTCGGCCTCTTCCTCGTCTTCCGGTAAACGTGATAGTTCGGTTGTTGTTTCTTCGGGCGCATCCAGCTGCAGGGCTGACGTTGACTGTGCAAGACTTGTAACTGCCTGAGTGCCTTGCTTAAGTACCGTTCTTATCTCTGCTGCAGAGTCGAGAACTAAGTATCCCTCCGATCCAACAGCGGGTAATAGAGCAGTGATTAAAGTCGAGAAAGTATTCTGAAGCAATGGCTCGCGCTTATCCTGATGGAAGACGGCCAACTCCGAGTACCGGTTCAAGAGGGATTGTTGTTGAGAATCGGAAGTAGATGAAACATCGAAATTGGCAGGTAATGAGACAGCAAATGTGCGACTCTTCCCATCAACGGCTAAGTGCATCATCTCCAATTTCTGGCTGATTGATAGCGAGGTAACCGTAGATCCTAGCTTGATGCTGTATCGCATTGAGTCCAGGACTAGATCGTACACTAGTATTCTGTCGGAAAGGGTGATTAAATCCTGACCTAAGAACTTCATGTTCACGATATGTCCCTCAAACATGCTGTTGAGCGAGCTTCGTATTGTCCCCAACTCTGGATCCAAGAGGTGGAGCAGACCATTTGGTGAAATCCCAGATGCTGCAGCCAAGATCGATCCGTCTTCCGAAAACGCAACGCAAGCATTCGATGGAGTCTGTGGGGCATCGTCCCTCTCGTCCAACAGCTCGGATTTGCCAATTGAAATAGCGTGTTGGCAAGTCCAGTTCCTTAAAATCTTTCCATCTTTCCCTCGAGCGGGCACACCATCCCGTTTTCTGGTCTTCGTAGACCAGGTCCGAACTATACCATCCTCCCCAATGGTAGAGAAGCGTAACGAGCTTGGGTCTGAAGCAAGATCCAGAATTCTCCCAGCGCCAACCCCATCAGTCGATGCGTGAGGAGTATCGATCCGTGATACAAGTTCCCAGTCCTCGTTTTCTTTATTCCATTGCCAAAACTTGAGAAAAACTTCCAGCCTTTGCTGACGTTCAAATTCGAGATCCTTTCCTTCCGGTCCAATGAAGTCCAAGTCTCGCTTTGGAGGTATCCATTCATCGACTGTAACGAGCCAGTTCCCATCGAACGATATTTGCATATGGGTGACTCTTGGTTCAGAGATTCGATGAGCATTAGGTGCCATGTTGATGTTTGTAATATTTGTTCGAGTCAGAGCTTGACGAGACACGTTATGACCGGCTCCAAGGTCAAACGTCTGCAGGAATGGAACACTCGTGACGAGAGGTTTCCTATAACTGACAGCTTGCGTTTGCCCTACTCCAAGCAGTAGTCGAGAGGGGTCGGCTGGGTTGATTACCGCAGGAGTGTGCTGGAAAAGAGGCTGCTCGTAGGCATCTTCTCCAACCCTCCGTACACTCGAATCTATGGGCTCCTCATAGTTCAAGACGCATGCTTGGATTCCCGCAATGTTAGCCGTGGGCGTCAATTCCGCGACTGATAAAACCATTGTTGAGTTATCCGCGAGCTGGACCCCGTACGAGGAGCCGGAAGGAGAAACAACAACATTCTGAATTGTTGCAGACATATGGGGAAGGAACTGTTGCTTTCCAGTATCCAGCTGCCAAAGTACAAGGACTGTCTCAGTACCACCAGATATTATATAATTGCCTATATTCATTAGCTCAGAGCTGATCATCCCAGGAGATGTACATACCATCTAAAGACCATTTCACAGTATGAACAGCTTGCCGATGCCAATGAAGTCTGCGAGGGATTAAGGAGATTCCAGAGTCCTCGGCTACCTTCCGCTGTGACCGGGCGAGGTTCTGCAAGAGATCATTGTGTATAAAGATGGCACCCTTTACATCTCCAATTACAACATCCACAATGGGATATCGTTTCTTATCCATTTGACCTGCAACTTTTGGTCTTTCGGTAACCTTGATGTCCAGAGAAGAGATAACATCGGTGGATTCAAACACTCGAAATTCGTATTTGATCTTATCGATGGTACCATACTCCGTTGATCGAAGACTTCCCAGTAGGACCCGATTCTCAGAAGCTGCCACAATAGTAGAACCCTCAAGTCCAGTCTTCAGGAAATTGACTCGCTGATTCGAAGTATATATCGTTCTCGCAACCGTCTCGATTGGGCCCTTGGGTGGTGCTAATTCATTTGCCGTGATCCGCCATCCACCATCTTTCTTGGGCTCAGTTGTAAAGACAACGTCCCGTCTTCGCCCGGCAGATTCCATAGATGCCACAGTCATATGAATACATCCCGTAGAGGATATTCCCCAATACTGGTCGGAGCCCGCTCCAGACGTCCAGTCTATGCTGTATATTGCCCCGTCAGAGCATGCTACCCACACGATGTTCGAATTGGTCGGTGACAGGCAGTACGTGATAATTCGTGCATTGGGTCGCGTTGAAGGGTCGATTTTGAGCTTTATTGTCCGAGTCAAGAGAGAGTTTGAGGTTGAATACACCTGGATAGCTGCGCGATTGGCAAGAATAAGAAATCTGGATTTGTTAGCAACATTCCTGTGACAAGAAGTAGGCAGCGTACTTTTCATCCTCCGTGAAAACCGGGTCAACATCGAGTATTCGCCCCCCTATCGACTCGGATAACTTCCAGACGTAAGAAGGTCCCTTCCAGGCATGAGAAGAGTTGCTACCCTTCGAATGCCGCTCTTTCTTTCTTCTGGACTCTTCTTCTCTTTGCGTTTTCTGTTCATCAACAAATCCTTCGAATTCAACAGCTTCTGCATGGTTTGAATTCTTCTGCAAGTTTATGCCGTCTCCGTTAGTCCCATTCGTTCGCACCAATTCTTTCGTCTTTGTCGGTGGGTTGAGGCTGGCCTCCCAGCTGACTTCATGCAAAAGTTCGGACTTCTGGAGGAAATCTTGGGAGTCTTTGATAGATTTTGTTCTTTTTGGAGTATCCAATACCTCCACTGGACCTCTTTTGCGCTTCAATGCGGAAGCCATGGCTTTGTCAGAGGTCTTGTGACGTTTCGGTGTAGTTGGTGAACTTTTTTCTACCAACGATCTCGCGAAAAGTCAAAAATAATTTTAGCGCCTTTTCTATCCGCGATTTTCTCAAAGCTTCAAGCAACATTTTCTGACAACACGCGACGATCTTGCGCATCATACCTACGACCCCGCGCAGCCTCATCGATCCGCACCTTATTCAAGATACAACAAGATGATTATTCCAGTCCGCTGCTTTTCCTGCGGGAAGGTACTGTCTACTTCACCCTGCCGCCGGACTCCTATTGATGAAAGTACAGGTTATCGGGGATCTATGGGAGCGCTACTTGAAACTCATTGATGAGGGCACGACGGATGGGTTAGTTGGACTTTTCGGCTCCCCCATATTTCAGTAGCAGAAGCTGATTATTTCAAAAGGGATGCGATGGATCAACTGGGGTGTAAACGATACTGTTGTCGCCGCATGATTATGACACATGTCGACCTGATCGAAAAACTTCTCAAGTACGCCCAACTATCCCACAGCCTCATCGCGGATGCTCCAGGTTGCTCCACAGACGATACAGTTGCTAACATTGAAAATAGGTACAACCCCGCAGAACGAGACACGAAGAAGGCCGCTATGGGTTAGATATATTATTGTTATACAGGGCAGGCGTTTAGGAGGGAAAATAACAAGTCATTCCATAACTGGCGCTCGGATCAAGGAGTTGGATGCTTGCCATCAAGACAGATTTTGGGCTTGGGCGTCAAATTGTTGCCAAACAGAAGATCAGCTTGCTAATAGTATGCGAATTCTCTCACCAAGATTCCAACAAGACACGTCAATTTACCGCGAAGCGCCGGGCAAACGGAGTATCGAAGCGCGGTCCCTTACCTGCTAGAACATGGAGAAAGTTGGACCTGGCAACTTTTAGGTGGCATCTTATCGTTGGACTTTTGAGACGTGTGCGGCGTGCCACAGCCAACATGTGGGGCTTGGTGCCAGCAACTGGCTTCGTTTTCTTCATTATTGGAGGATTTGTCCGCTTGTTTTGTCTGCTTATTGTCTCGACCCAGAAGATAGGATTCCACCAGATGTTGGTTGTACCTTAAATCTTAGAGAACCAACATTTACGGAGTACTGCACATGGTCCCCGGCAGCGCTATGGCAAACTAGTTTGTGATAGGATAACGCTTGGTCCAGGACGAAGTACGCCAGCGCCTATGCAACTTACAAGGGACAAGACAGCCATTAAGGCTGCGAGGCGTGAGACCACGGTATTTTGCAAAGAAAAGGCTCATCTTCCCAGGGTATTTTTTTGCAGAGCCTCTGAGCTTATTCGGAATGGTTAGGAAATAGAGGGATTTCGCAACTCATGGGTTAGAGGTGGTCGTAGCGTTCAAATTCTTCCGATGCTTGGTAATGGAATATACAGAATTCTTCCCGACTGATAACACCTGGTCACTGAGCTCAATCCAGTAAGCAGAATAGCCATGGCAATCTCGCAAACAATCTCACGTTACAGGCACTGGTCTTATCATGAGCCAACTGTATAGAGCGTTGTGATCACAATTGAGGCGGCCCGATCAACCACTAACCCATGGGCCGAACAGTGGCTTTCGGGTCGGCTGGATTTACCGTGTACTTCTTGGACGAAGCTTGGTGCGGCCTTTGACTCTTTCTGATAGCAGTGTGCACCCTCCAGCAGGTCAAATGGTGTACCGCCGACGGCCCATCCCGTCTTATGGTACCTTCGAGGACAAGGCTCCGCCCTTGTCGGCTACTATCAATTGGCTCCTGTGGTTGAGCAGTACTCGATAAGAAGTAGCCGTCAGACGAACCGGGGTGAGGAGAGCCGATAGCCCAAAGCAAAGCGGAGGACCAGCACAGACGTGGGGTATTATCGCCGAGTCGTATCGTGAAGGGCGGAGAGGTTGGAGATGGTGCTCGCCACTCACTACATGAGCCATGCATGATCCATGGGCTCTTGGACTCTTGGCTTCTTACTGTCGTCTCTCGAGTCTTTCAAGTCTCTTCCTGTACCCCTCTGCACACAGCGTAGAGTCGGACTCCTGCAGTCATGGTATAGTCAGTAACAGTGCGGTATTGTAGTCCCGAGTAAGCATAGAGGGCATTCCTAAGCGCCGGCAGGGCTTCATGCAGCCCTTTCGAGCAAGAGACGCGCATCGCCGCCCTTGATTCGCCGCCGTCTGCCACACCGACAGCCCTGGTGTGCATTGCAGCAGATTCTTCAGCTCTGCGGCCTACCAGATCACAGTCGTCCCCTTCATCCACCATCGCGATATCAAGGGCGGTTGCGCAAGGATTATCCCAGCCGAGCGAACGTTGATTCCTCTGAGTCCTGAGTGTCCTGCGCCGAAGCGATCGAGCCAACGGCACAGCTTCACCCACGGCGGAGACTGTGGAGTACGGGGCATATCTTGACACTCCTCAGGAGCCATTGCTGTCGACTACTGTTTGTACAGCGAAGACAGTACGTAGTGCACGAAAGTACCGTGCAGTACTTCAAAGCTGCCTGACCACCACCAGATCGTGCCCGCCCCGACGGTTCGTCCTGTGCCCTCGCACCCATTGGCAGAGGAGAGGAGGGATAGCATCTCCGTCCTGTTCCTTTGCAGTACCTCCAACCCGCTCGCCAGCAGCAGTCGTGCCAACTGGTTGCCAGCTACGAAGCTCGCATCTGCTGATTCTCGAAAGCTCCGTCCAGCCTTGATTGCTGGCCCACCTCCAACATCTTTCTGTGAAGGCTCCCCGCCGTCGACCAAGGCACTGCAAGGCTTTGCGACACTCTTATTACAACAGCCCCCCGTCATCCCTCGAAGACCACTTGAGGATTTGGCATTCACGCATGTGAGCCTCCAACAATGGCGTTGGAGAACCCTCTGGTGTCCTCACCTGGAGCTATGATGCCGGCCATCTCTCCATACACCGAGTTCTCTCTGTCTCCTAATTCTCCAGCTCAAGGCTCCCAAGGCTCTCAAGGTTCACGGTTCCAGTCAACGTCAGCAATCTCCCGCCTTGATTGAAAGAACGCTACTGATTTTGTGTGATAGACCAGCGCGTAATTCCGGGGAATCATCACTCCATCCAAACTCAATGGAAGGCGTTTCCCCAGCCGGATCGAATGTGCTCAGTCCAAGCGAGATGGTGGGGCCATCGCCGGTGACATCGAACGGGACGGATACAACTGAAATTGAGGATGAGATTACGGAGGATGTCTTGGAAGGCGATCTGTCACCTGTGACCCACGCCGAATCTACTGATTCACGGTCTACAGTATGCTCAATTAGCTCCAACGCAAACGGCAAGATGCCTCGCTAATTGAGGCAGTTGAAGAGAATCAGTACAGCCCTCCCGGAACAGCTACGAGCCTCGATCGACGATGAATCTATATCGGTTATACATGCGCCAGAAGGATACAAGGGATTTGTGAGTTGTGATGTGTAATCTGGCATTCATATCCACTGATCTGTCTGTTTAGGACAGCTTCCCAGCGCAAACACCCTCGCGGCAGCTAGGCAAATCTCCACCAATCCGCTCTCAAAAGTCCCCACCCCTCCCAGATAGATCTACTCCCACCCCGTATCAGGAGCGTGACATTGCTGGGCATGCTATCAAGACAATTTTGGAAGTTCCGAAAGATGAAGTAGGATATCCCATTTGAGCCTACCTGCTGATGCTAACTGCTAGCAGAGCGGCCAACCCATCTCCCCCCCTCCGATTTCTACAGATGTGCCCCCAAGCAAATACAGCATTGAGGACGCAACACCCCGCGCACAGACCCGGCAAGAAGTGGAAGCTCTAGGTATAGAGAGATCCCTCTCCCGGGCGTCAACCAGCTTACACAGTCTTGAAGGTAGGTCCCAAGATCTCAGGGATTATCGCCATTACTCATGGTTTCCAGGGATCCCAGAAGAGGATCAACATGAGGAAGATGAGTTTGAGTCTCACACCGTGCACAATCCCGAGCAGGAGATCAATGCGCTCAAGACGGCGCTCAATGAATGTTGGACTCTGTGTAATACTCTAGCAAGTCTAAGCTCGATTCACCGCGAAAGAATATTCAGCTACTCTGGAACCGGTGATACCCATGAGCAGGCATGGAAGTGCTGCTGGAAGTTATGCCAGAAGCTTTATTACAGCCGGGATCAAGATCATGATTCTTACGTCAGACCGACGCTTGATATGTGTCGAGACTTTTGCCAGGCATTATTTGAGGTACGCCAACGGAAGGATGAGACCGCTGATTCCGTATTAAGAGTCAGCTTTGAACTGAACAACCACCTTTACAATACTCACGACAGAAGCCTTCCAGAGGCGTTTCGAGAGAGGACTCTGGATTTCTATATCACTCTTTGCCACCGACTCATGAAACAACGGAATGAGCTAGCTGAAGAGACAGACGCTCTTCTTCGAGCATGTTGGTCGTTGGCCGAGATGCTCTTCAGTCTTCGTCAAAACAAGAAAGACGGAAAATCCGCAGATGAAGAGCTTCTTGGATCGGCCGTTCAAGCTTGCTGGGAACTATGCGACCTCTTTAGAGAAGGCTGGACCCAGGTTCGACCCGAGCGTGGAACGCCACGGGCCTCTCAGACTACATTTTCGCAAGTAGGCGACCAAATGAGCCGCGCCAGAGACCCGTCCGCTCATCCTTCCACCCACTCCCACAGCAAGTCTAGCAGCCTTACGAGCTTACCTGAAAACCCTGAGCATCCACCACATGCTCGCAACCACTTCAGGGACAATCCCCTACCTGGCTGGAATCCCGAAACGCCCACTACAGAATTTGAAGATACCCCTATCTCACCCGAAGTCTCCCCCAACATCCCCAACATCCTCGTTCTCGGCACGGAAAACAACCGTGCGGCAAATGTCCGTTGGTCCAGCGCCTCTTCTTCCCTCTCCGGCTTTTCTCAAGGCAGTAGCCAGTCAGGGCATTCCTCAAGCACCGTAACATCTACGGCTAACCCGGAAGATGTAAACCTGACCCGTCTCAAAATCCTCATCCTGAAAGCAGCGATGAACGTTGGCTTCTCCCGCACCGCACCGACCTCTACTACATCTAACAAGTCCGACCCGCCCGCTCTGCAGAATTTCGTCAAGGCCCTCCCGACCGGCTCTTTTGGCTCTCTGCCCGCACACGCTACGTTGCTGACTTCATATCGCAATCTGGTGTTGAGTGACCCGACTTTTAGGAGTGCACATGCGTTGCCGAGCGTTGGCAAGAAGGCGTCAGCCGTAGATGTTGCAAAGAGCGTCGGGTGGATGATGAGAAGCGGACAGTATACTTTCTTAAGAGATTTGTTCAAGTTAGTATTTGGGTTCCACATGGATGAGGCTGAGAAGAGGAAGAACGTCAGCATTACCGTTTAAAAAGGCAATCTGTATCAGCGAGACAGCGAATCAGTGAAGCTGCTCTGTAGCAGCTCAAGCTGACACACTGGGTCCGCTGAAGAACGTCCAGCATTGCGCGCGGCGGACTTGGAGGAGACAATATGCGCAACCGGCCGGATGGAGAGAGGGGAGGAAAGCATACACGGCGTCCCGCGTTCCATCTCGCCTTGGTGTATATCAGAGCATGCTCCCCTACATTCATTTTCAGAGCTCAGTTTACGTTGGTGCGGAATTTTGCGCGATACCCTTGGGAGGCCAGGCACATCGGGCGTTCAAGTGGCGCATAAAGTCTAGGATATCACTATCACTTCTGCTATATGATTTTAATATATTCATTTCTACAGTGTCTGTTTCGATTGAACTTGATTATGAAAAACATGAAAACTTGACTCCCTCACACGTCAAGGAGCAAGCGCAGCAACTCCCGGACTCCCGCCCGCCTTGCACAGCACCTCACATACCTCAACTAAAATAAATAAGCGCGTAAGACGCATATGTACGTCGCGCCTGCAGTGCACATCGCACGCGCCCTTAGAAGGTCGCAGTCTCCAATCGTGATAGTGATAGGAGTTGAGCGCAGGGCGGATGGTGGCCAATCAGATCAATGCATGCGGGATTGCGGGAGAGGGGCGGCGCTTAAGGGATAGCGACGATCGACTTCCCTTTCTCTAACCCTATTATTAGCTGTATTAAAAGAGTGGCATAGAGGGCACTGTGGATTAACTGATTGATTGATTGATTTATAAACCGTTATAGGTCGTAGGTAGCTGACCAAGTAAGGTTCTCACCCTACTTACCACCTAGGTGTCTATGTCTATCTATAGGTATTTAACAATTACAGGGTACTATCTACCCTAGGTAAATAGGCTACCTCTTTTTCTATTAGCGTTTTGGCTTGATGGAACTTATAGTATTGTAGTATAGATTTCTAATGGACCCTTTTTAGCCTACGAGGTGGATGTCCTTTTTGCCAGCATATAAGGGACAACTACCTTAGGTAAGGCAGATGATAGGGGAGGTACAGAAAAGAGAAGAGCGCACCTATGAGCATGAAAAGTGCATGTACAGATAGTCAGGGACAACAGAAAAAGCACCCATTTAGACCTAGATGCTAATATCAGAGCGTCTTCTTTTATTAAGCTGATTATTTCCTGTTATTCAAGGTCTAGAGTTAGTATTAAGAATGGACAGCCTTTTGATGGGTACGTTCAGCAGCAACAAGCATCTGAATTACTACTTGACGAATGATGAGCTGTTAAGTGTAGCTCTCTGCTTCTGATTATAATGACTATAGATCATCTGTTCCTCCCTTAGTTTATTTAGGTGTTGGTTTTGGCCTTCTATAATAGAACGTGGACCGAAGTCGTCTCCTACACCCTCACAGACTCACAGTATTAACTTCCTAAACCCATGCTTAAGGAACTATCTCTACGCTCTTAATTTAAAGCAGTTATGATAGCTTGTTTGATTTAATAACTACAGTCTACCTATAGAGTGGTCATCTATCAGCTTATCTATACCAAAAAAGACCTTCGTATCCTTTCTAAAGCTCATTATTTCCTTATATTTACGTTAGTTATGTAGGGGTTGAAAAACGCTTTTGATAGTGGTTCTAAAAAAAACTGAACTGTTATTACACTACTATGTAAGAAAGTTCAGAGCCATTTATGAGATTATTCTTAACCTCCTTATTATTATAGTAACAGTGTACCCTCAAGTACCTCTAGAGAAGCCTGCTAAGGAGGCATTATGTAACATGATATTCTAGTAAGTGCTTGTAATGTACTGTCTTCCTAGCTTCAGAGATCAAGAGCCTTTAAGCCAAGAATTAAGGACCCAATCCACGGGGACCCCTAGATTACATAAACAAGTTTACGATTCCACCCCTGATCTCCTTCTGAAGATTTGGAGGGCCGTCTTTCCAGCATTGTGAGCAGGAGACGGATTGATCTTTTCGTCTAGAAGCTTCCTCAGATGTTCTCTGCGTCGTCTTTCTTGTTGAAGAGGCCTTGGTGGGTGAGAGCCTGAGAGGTTCCCTGGTTGCTTGCTCAGCCGAATTGTGAATATGCAGATGCGTGTAGGTAGTCCTGGCAAGATGCGATGAGCTCTTGTGAGTTGTATGGCGATGACAAATATCTCATCTCTGACACAGTAAGATGAGTTGTGTGACGATGACAAACTTCTCTCTCTGATACAGTAAGACGATACCTTCGTGATGATGTTGGTCATCCGTTCGGTCGAGTTCGGACCAATTCGCACGAATTCGCACGAATTGGAGGAAGACCACCACCCCAACTGGAATCCCGATATCTATAAAACTACCGCCCATCAGCCATCAGCCATGAACTAGCAACCGCCAACTACTATCTTGTGAGCACCAACTCGAACCTCTCCCGACCACATCACTACCAACATCCATTGCTGGATCATTTCATCTATTCAAACATGAGTCTCGCGGATCAACTCTCCACCTTCTACAACGACTTTCAGCAGAAAGCGCCTGCAAGCATCACAAAGCCAATCAAAACCGCCAATGCAGATTTTGCGGCCTCGTACCAACCGGCCTCCGCCATCCAAGTTGGTGACACTATTCCCGAGTTCGCCCTGAGCGATGCAGTGGGCAACGAGGTGACCAGCGCCAGCCTCCTTGCTAAGGGGCCGTTGCTTATAACCTTCTATCGTGGCGAGTGGTGTCCGTTCTGCAACCTTGCACTGGTAGCCATGCAGAAGCATCTCGACGAGTTCAAAGCCAAAGGTGTAACGCTGGTGGCCATCTCACCCGAGCTTCCAAACCAGTCTCTGTCAACGACCGAGAAACACGCCCTCAAATTCCCCGTCCTCTCTGATGTGGGTAACAAACTCGCAAAACAATTAGGGATTCTCTTCGCCCAGCCTGACATCTTGCGCCCTGTTTTCGAAAATCTTGGAAACAATTTGAAGGAGCGGAATGGAGATGATTCGTTTGAGCTTCCCGTACCTGCTACTTTATTGGTGGATGAGAAAGGAGTCGTCCGAAATACCTTCATTGATCCCGATTATACGAAGAGACTTGAACCGTCGACGGCGTTGGAATGGATCGATCAATTGCGGGGATAGAGACTCTTTCAACGGACGTCCAAAATAGGCAGATAAGTGATATGTGAAGCAGCTGCATCATTTCTAGCTCACTTCTTGAAGTGATCGACCCAGTATTGATCATGCATTGAATTTCAACTTTCGAAACCTATTTGAAGTGAAGAAGAAATGTGTAACGATACATCGCTCCGAATTTGTAAAGGTCTAGGAATTTGTCAATTAGTGCTTTTCTCCCTCTTCTGATCACTCAACTAGATTCTCATTGATATTCCAGACCTAGTGGATCATATATTGCCATGAGACATGTCGTGCCAAAACTGACGGAATCCTCTAAAGGAGCATCTATAGACACGGAACAGCTCGAAACAGACGAGGTGGAGAGTATCTCCACAAGGGGCCTTATCGGGGGAAGACTACTTGCTCCCACACTCACAGGCGCTGAAAGGCACCTGAACCACACAATATTTCATGCCTTTGCCCCTTGTCATGATGTCGTGACTCGTGGCCACTGAGACTGCCACTATAACGCAATCTTCCCTATCTCTCTAAACCCCTCTATAACCTACGCGACAATAGAAAAACAAGTAGGATCCTACTAATGATAGAGTATGTAATTCGCACGGGCTCGGAATAGGAACGAAGGGCACACCCATAATGCGGGACTTTGGAGAACAAAGATGGGGCGTGAATGAAGGCTACCTTACGCTGATGGACAGAGAGACGACAATAGAGGGGGCTAAGGAACGGGTGGCCCAGCACCGAAACATGTTAAGAGGCAGAGTTTCCATTATTTCATCGGGCATAATGGTCAGTAGGTTAGTACCTCACTTAGTCAGCTACCGCAGGCCTGGAACGGCTTATGAATAATCAATCAATTGTATTTTTCCAGATAATAATAGTGCTTCATGTTACCCCATTCGTAAGTTAGAATTATTTGTTAGTAAATACAATCGACTGTTGAGTATTTGAGTTGCAGTTGGCTAAATTTTGATCGCCGGCCGCGAATGCTCCGCCTGCGCAACATCACCTCAGTACTCAGTGCGTCCTTCAACTTCAACAGCATCAATGTCGCAAGTACCGCCCAACGAGTTTTCATCTGGGCCTCCTAGACGCATGCGACTTGGCACGCGGAGCTGTGCTGAATGCCGGCGGCGCAAAGTTCGCTGTGTTTACCCTCCAAACAACCCAACGTGTGAAGAATGTGCTTTGCACGATGTTCGGTGTACCCCCCAGCGGCCGGGCACCCAGAGAACTACTCGGACGGGCAGAGCGCACGGCCTGGTAGATTTGCAACGAAGGCTGGAAGATCTGGAAGGCACTGTACGCCGTGTCTGCAATGCCATTGATCCGAGCCTGGGATCTCTGAGCTTGGCTGAGCTTGAGACGAACGTTACGGAAGCTCTCGCACGGCTTCGGCCAGTACCTCTTCCGGAAACAATAGGAGAAGACGCCTCTATGAACAGGACGAACACTGTAAACTTTAGTGGTTCGGAATCTGAAAGTCTCAGTACGCCTTCCAATCAGATAGATCATTTCGAACAAGATGCACCCTTGATTAGTTTGTTCAAACAAGCGATGCGGATTCAATGGAATGGTGGACATGGCATCAAAAATCGACAGACGTTCTCTGCAAACCAGCGTGTCAACAGTTGCATTACAGATCTGAACAGGCTAATACCGAGGCTCGATAGCCTGACATTAATCCTCGAGTTGACTGAGAAGTACTGGCCTCTCTGGCCAGCAATTCCCGAAAGACCAGTGACTAGCTCCGATCAACTTGAACCCGGGAGCGTAGCATCAGCTAGGGATTTCATTCTTGATTCATTAGGATCAGGGACTCCAGCTGCCGTCGCTAAGTCCGTGCTCTGGCTCGCTCTTTGCATCCAGCAGCTTCCAAGAGATTTCGGGAATCGATGCTCAAACTTACCTGCTTCGCCAAACGATCTCATCAATTCTTACCTGAGCGGTGCAGAGACTCTTCTTCTTGTTGATGAAGACACAGGTGGAACGCGTGAGGGTCTGGAAGCTTTGGCGCTGCAATCAAAACTGTACATCGACATGGGCAGACCACGGAAAGCTTGGCTCACTATCCGCCGCGGTCTGAATCTGGCTATACTACTAGGACTTCATCATCCAGACGAGAGCACCAGTATACGTCAGAAAGCTCTATGGTCGTACTTCTGGCAATTTGATAGACAATTATCGTTGATCCTTGGATTTCCCTACGCAATAGTAGATTCGCACCCCGGCATTTCAGAGGTGCATATCGAAGACTCCATTGAAGCACGAGCAATGCACAGGCTTAGTATCATTGCTGGTCACATAATTGAGCGGAATCAAAACCATCGGCATGTAGGCTATGCTGCTACCGTGCGGATCAACCAAGAATTGGAGCAGTTCAGGGATGAAATACCTCAGCATTGGTGGGATGCTATTCCTAGCTCCACCATGTCTCTCGAAGCCCTCCATGATCAGCAAGCTGTCAAGCTGATCTACTACCAGCTTCAAAAATTTCTTCACCTTCCTTACATGCTCAAGTCGCCCGTCGATAAGAGGTTTGAGAATAGCAGGGTCTTGGCCCTCGAAGCTTCAAGGAAAATGATCGGATGCTATCAGACATTACGAAACGGCAGTGGTCAATCTATCATTATATGTGACTTGATGGATTTCCAAGTATTCACCGCCGCAGTTACCATTGTCATCAACCTTCTTTCACAATCCTCTGAATGTAGTGTTCATCAACAAGACGAGGACTGGGAGCTTGTGCAGTGTACAGCTAGAAGCCTCAAAGATGTCTCCATCAAATTGGAATGCGCAGTAGCAGGCCAAGCAGCTCAATTGCTTGAATATCTTCTGGAGGTCCACCACGGCTTGTACACCGGTCCTGAAAGTTACCAAGCCGTTATTCCATATTTCGGGAAGGTCAAAATTAGTCAACCCAAAAGCGCTGCATCGCAGACTGGCTTAACCCCGCGGATTGATCATCAAAGCCCCACGTCCTGTCCATTCCCACAAGTGGTAGAGTTCAGTGCAAACTCTTTCGTGCCGTTCAGTCAGAATTATGTGGCGGATTATCTTGCTGAGACAGAATTGGGCGTTGATTGGACAGCCGTGTTTGACGAGAATATGGACTATGAGTATAGCCAACTGTTCCCATAGCTGTGTCCACATAGCCACTAGAATAAGGACAAGCATGGCGCGTGTCAGGAATCTGGATCAAACTATGATTCTGGAACTATGCGCCACACCAGAGACTTTTCGCAATCACGAACCTTGCTCCTCCCCTCGGCTGATCTTTGGTTGTTGCGTCTCAACCTGTTCAGTCTTGGCCAGAAATCACTTTCAGTGGACCGCGGCAAATGAAGAAGAAAGTGAGTTGTCCTGCTCGTATAGAATATTTCTTTGGAGATGTTTTGCCATTATTGGATATAATGCTAAGAAAGGGCACGAAGTAGATCAGAAGTCATTGATACTCGAACCTGTGGCAGCAATTAAAGATGCTTACCAGGCTACCAGCGGATTGGCATTTCAAAAAAAGTCGGTCTGCATGTCTAAGGGGGGATTTTTCTGCTTGGCCAATCTAAGATCATAGTGAGATGAAAGGTTGGAAACCTTTCTTTCTCGGTGATGAGTGCTGGTGCAGTAATTGTTTGGACTTAGGAGCTAGTAGGCTCCCCTATGTGACTGTAGTGTCCCCTACGCCGGGAACGCAACTATGTCATGGAGTAGCACAGGTAAATTGAGCGTTTACTCCACGCAAGACACACTACCACAGGCGGCTATACCTTCTATCGTTCAGGTAGTAGGGAACTATAACTATACCGGCTGCTGTATGGAAGGAACAGGTGTACGAGCGCTAGCACCGGCGAACACAAGTGATGGGTCGAACTTAAGTGTCCAGGTTTATGCATCGTTCTGCTCTGGGTATAAGATGTTTAGTGTAGAGAATGCGTCTAAAAGTAATTGTAGTGATAGTCTTAGGGCGGGGAGCACATTGATTAAGGATTCAGACTGTAGTATAGTGTGCTTATGGCTGAGTTCTCTAGAGCGGACAATAGGCTTTAATGTCTATACTGCTAGTCCCCTAAGGAGTTGCCATTAGATGAAGCCCGCACCCTTCACGATCATATATTTTGTTACCTTAGTCTTATTTCACTATCGCCGTAACACACTTAGTTGGATGAGATAGCCATATGTTCTTCCAATTTGATCTTTAGTCTTCCCCCTCAATAAAAGTCAAAACTGCCTAGGGACTGGCCAATGCCGCACAAAATCTTGTCGTATCTTTCTGATGCGGTCTAAAACATCTCGGACTCCTCAACCGTTACCCTCCGATTCACTTCTCTGGATCTTCTTTTCTAGGCTATCCTCCTTCATAAGTGACGTGCTGGAACATTTTTGATTAAAATCTTAATCAGTCAACTCTTTCTAACAGCTCCTGTAGCAGGGCAATCGACCCTCTCGTTATACTTGTCTCTTGACTATATAGCCAAGGTAGAGAAGGATATCACGAATGCCAAGCTGGTATGAGTGGTTATTATCTTGCATTCCAAATAGGACGTTCACCTCTGGTCGATCCTCTTCCGCAAATTCGCAATATCACTCGCTATCGACTTACAGCAGCCGCCAACGAATATCGACTTCCAAGACCCACGCTCCTGTGCTTGTGAGACAATCCTAAATAACGTCTCATCCCATGGCGCCTAGCGCAACGTTAGTATAACTGTATAACTATCAAAACACAAAATACCACGTAAACCAGCACTTACCGAGCTCGTCCCATCCGCCTCAGCTTTCTCCCACTTGTGCGTCGTAGTATTATATACCTGCCCATTCGTCTTATCCGGATACACCACCAGACTCGGCCACTCTTTCACTTCTCCACTCTCTACTATCTCCTTTACTGCACTCTCAAACTCCTCAATCAGCCACTCTATCTTCCCTATCTTCGTACAATTAATCCCTATGCCCATCGGCCTCCTAGCATTTTGCCTCTCCCCAAGCATAGCACCTACAACAGCCCTCACATCACTACCGTCCGGCAGCTGATTCCCCTCCCCCGGAAACACGCAACTAATCCAAAAGTCCTTCTCCTTCCCTCGACCTTCCTCCCTCTCCTTAGAAGCAATAAACATCGTCTCTCTCACCGCCAAAATTTCCACCGCCAAAGGAATCGTCTCGAACGCCACAAAATCAACATCCTCCCAACACCTCCTCGCATCATCCCAATCCACCTCCCTATCCGGACCACAAAACATCCCGATCCGTCTCACATGCCACTCCCTCAGCTGACTCACCGTTCTGTGATAAGCATCGTACTTCCCCCCATACTCCTGAGGCGGCAACATCGTCGCCCCATACGGCCCCAAACTCAACGCCACCTTCCCTTCCCGTCCCTCAAAAGCCCTCTTGGCCATCTTGACCGCGCCCCGCGCTACCTGCCGAGCATCTTCCTCCGTGACTCCGCTTTTTGAGAAGCCTTCGTAGGACACCTGGTACGTGGCTGTGAGGATCACGTCCGCGCCTGCTTTGGCGAATCCGGTGTGCGCTTCGAGCAATAAGCCGGGCTGGGTCACGAGGAGTTGGCCGGACCATAGGGGAGTGCCGTCGTTGAACTCATAGTGATACTCATCTTCAAGAGTAGAGCCTAGCCCGCCGTCTAGGAGGAGAATTGGTGTTCTGGACTCGCTGCTCATTTTGAAGTGTTACTGGGGTTGTGATGAATAGGTAGAGCGGGAACGATGCTTTAGCTTTCGGTAGGGGGCTATTAGCTCGCACATGGCGGATAAACTATGTTCCCGACGCTTTTATCGCTGGATTGTCCTTACGGAGTATGACGTCCTCGCGTCTATTCTTCCAAGGGTTCCACTAAATCAAACTTAACTATTAGATACCTTATCTCAGGTAAACCACCTTTTTGGGAGTACCCCTATTAGCCCTCGCTTAGTGTTTCAGGACAAATACTTAAGGTATAAGTTATTGTCCTGTAGGAAATGTAGGAATTGGTGAAGAGCTATCTTTGAGTTCTTATCAAATACTAGAAATTAGGTAATGATCGGGCTAGATGAAGGAGGCTTTAAGCGTCTTAATGGAGGACAAAAGAGGAAGACTAGATGTTTTATTCTGAATCAGAAATAAGGATATGGTAAATACAGAATAGAAATACTATTTTCACACAAGAGATATAACCCCGAACAACCATCAAATTCCAGATACCGAAATCGATTTACTCTCACGACAACGCAACGACTTGGAAGTTGTAGTTGCATATGTCTGAGGTATCGACAACAGGGAGCGGTCCTGTGCCAGTGACAACCTCGGAATTCGTCGACGTGTCAGTGACGGTTACGACGACAGTTCCCGTGGTCAAGCCCGCGACTGAATACTGGTTATATCCAGGTACGAGCTTCGAGGAGCCCAGTGTGTTGCCGCCGGATGTGATGCTAACGTTGTATGTCGTGATGCCGCTCGCTACGAGAACGACGACCTAATGCTGTTAGATTTATATCAAAGGGAGGAGATGGAGAGAAACTTACAGTGACTTTATCTTCGACGGTATCAACACCTTGCGGCTCCCCTATCGAGTCGGAACTGCAGTCCCCATTCGCAAGCAAGGTATGATGCCAGAAAACACCCTGGGCATTCTTCCCATTCGTTGGGTACATGGTATCTGTGGTCATGGCTCCCGATTTGTAAGCTTTGACAAAAGCCGGCAAGATCTCTTTGTAGGCGGTATGAGAATAGTTGGCTGTGTATGAGGCGATATTGGTCCCTTCGATTGGCTCCGGCCAGCTGTTCCCCATGTAGTGACTTTCACCCGCGTCGTTCCACGTTTGCAGTTCGACCATGTCAGGCTGAAGTTTCAGGACTTGTCCAAATCGATATTCGAGGTTCTGTTCGCCGCGTCGATACCAGTTTCCGTAGCTCGGATCATGCTTGAACTGCAGAGGGGAGACGCCCATTATGAAGCTCTTGTTAGAGGCATGTGCGCCATCCAGATAGGTAACGTCGTCAGTGGTAGGGACTATAATATCACCCTCAGTATTCTGAGGCCAAGAGTTCCAGTTCATGGCGCCATCCAAGGTTGGGAATTCGGTAGTGAAAAAATCTGGGGAAGCAGAAACGTCTTGGAATGCGGGTGCAAAGTACACAGGATGGCCCGCGTTCGCCATGACTTCTTGGAATTCTACTTTCCATCCATCGTTCACGCTGTCTTGACCAAACGTGTAAGATGACGCGCCACCCTGTAACTTGCTTAGCGGGGTTGCACGTCACGCAATAGCTCAGGGGCTTAACGTTGACGAGAAACTCACGTTGAATGTAGATACCAGTGGTAGGTCTAGACACCTTAATCAGTCACAGAATCAAAACCCGAGTAGATAACATTACTATTATACGTGAAGTATGCTTCATTAGTGACATAGGATTGCAGGAAGGTAATAAATTGATCAGGGTTATTGAAGCCCGACATATCGAAAGAGAAACTAGGTGTATCAGTAATTTCGCTTTCACGAAGAAGATGTTTACTTACAAGAGCTTGAAGCCGTGCACTCCAGCCCATTTGAACAGCTGGGAAGAGGTGGTGGCCGCGTAACCATCCACAGTGGCTATTCTTGCGTTAACTGACTTTCAGATGCAGACTTAAAGAAAAGAGCATACGAAGATTGAGGGCAAATGCATCTACACCCATAGCTTGGGCATCAAGGATGTCTTGTTCACAGTGCGCATCGGTGATCGTTCCAACCTATGGCTTGTTAGGAGAAGTAACAGAAGAAGGGTCGAATATAGTACCATGTAGTGGAAAAAGCTGGCACGTGTTAGTGATTGTAGACAGGAACACATTCTTCGTTATGGATATAAGTTAAGGACTTACACTGGCTTTCCTGTAGTTCCAGGAGCCGCCGCGCTCGTGGATGTTGTTGTGGGTGATGAAGAGCCTTTAGTATGTTAGTTGGATCCAACGTGTCAAAAAGAGAAAATTGCGTATTTAAAAACTTACTTGAAATTGTAGTAGTAGGAGCTGAGGGGGCAGATGTTGTTGTTATTGTAGTAGTAGGTGCTGCAGGAGTCGACGTTATTGTTGACGTAGGACTTGCAGACGTGCTACCACCCACGCCTGTGGATATCTAAATATGTCCGTCAGGCATTGAAGTAGAGAGTAGGCAAAGCAAGTGCCACCAAAAGAGGGAAAGAGAAACTGATAATACAAATCTTACCAATTGTGCTGTAGATGAAGTTCCAACATCCGCTGATGAGACGCAACTGCCAGCAACCGAATCTTGGTAATTAACGATGCCGACCATTCCTACCAGGCAACAGAAGTCATTCCCATTGACTCCCCGCCACAGTGACCAATTTGAGTCTGCACATGCCCCGCCACTCTCTACAGAGCCGCGACAATTGGATGCTGGTATAGTCTGTAAGTAACTCAGCCGGCTGTATAATCTTGAGAACACCTACAAGTTGGACAGCAGGTGGCGACTTCATCATTAGCAGCGGGGTTACAATGCAGGCCTGAAGGACAACATGCTCCGCCGCCGCATGAGATACTATCGACTGGACATGTCGTAGATTGGAGAGACCAGCCTTGCTGTACGGAACGTTCGGTAATAGAACGAGGATGAAAATGTAACGTTTCGCGCTTCGAAATCAGACCAGCAGAGGCTAAAGACGTAGCTGAGAGAAGGAAGAACCACTGAACAATAACGAAACGCATGATTCCAAGCTGTGAATCTTATTGTTAAGGGGAAAGAGGAAATGAGGAGAGCTAAGCTGAAGGGAAAGAAAGAGAGCAGGTTAGAGAAAGAAGGCGCATTACGAGGCCAGAGAAGCCGCAGGCCTCCAGAACGAAGCCTTCTACTCACTTGATATATGCCGAATACAATGCTGTCTTGTTTCCAAGGTCTAGATCTCACGAATCATGCCTCACACGGGCATGTCGGAGAAGTCTAAATAGGACCGATTTTACGAAACGGCGAGTATGGCACCCCCGTATTCGCCATAGTACCAAAGCCTCAGGGCTTTAATGATAGGTTGAAACAAAGCCAAGACGATCTTTAAACAGAAGACCAGCCGAACGGATAAAATGCAACTCCCCTTGAAGCCCGAAGGTCCGATAGTATTTTAATGAACCACTCGATCTCGATTGGTCAATTAGGCCCTTTTTCTCGCTGACCCGGGCCGCACCCCTGCGTAGATGTTTCGGACGGACAAAAATGATTGTACGTACATTCCTTGACTATCGGAAGTGCCTATATTTGATATTTAGAAGTATTTTTATCGTATTATTTTGTCCTTTTCTGGTTGAGTTTGGATTAAGGGGGGTAGCGTTAAAAAGAACTCTCAGTACCTAGGTGATGTACTAGTGAGAGGGTTTACGACAACAGAACGAACTCCTACAGTCGTATTCTTTGTGCCAGCAGAAGAGTTGGCGTGGTCAACATTGGATATGGCAAAGCATCAAAGTTCAGCATCATGTCTCGCAATCAAATCCAAAATCCACCGTCACAAAAGGTAGGCTCTCCACATGTGTGTTAAAAGTGGCCTGGCTCAATTATGCAAATTGGAAACGCTGGTCAACTTCTCAATGTTCTCGTCTTGAAGTCGTGAAGGACTTCCTCCTCGCGGAAAGTCATCACGCGTCGCCATCGATGTTCATGTGGCCTGTCCAAAGCCAAGTTTGTAGACACACCTAAACCTATCTGAGTTGCATATTTCCGGTACTACTTTTTGTTCTTTCCTGCCACAAACGGATTTGACCGGAAGCCGAAATAGATTTTGCACTCTAGCCAGAACGACAAATGACCACAAATGAAGGTAGGTTCTTGAAAGCGGACGTCTAGAGTTAGAACTATCTCTCCTCTCTACTGATCTTCCCTAAGATGATCAGAACCTGAGCCACTTAGCTTAGAAAAGAAGGTATCTTTAGCGTGCTTAGATCCCGCTGCTTTTTTGCGGTGTTTCTTAATCCGTAACTCTCTATTCAGTGTAGCGTGTTATCGACTAGTAGTAGGCGTAGAGCTACTGCTATAAGTAGAAAGACTATCGTGATTCGTTCTGTCCGGCTCAGTCTTTATCTGTCTTGATATGTCATCAACAGTAGGCTGTTTGAATCGCAATCGAAATGTTGTTGCAAAGAACGATGACAGAGCTGGGGATGTCAAACTACTCAACAATAGACTCACGAGCATACGTTGGGGACTCCAGATGCTGTTAGAGAGCCTGCTGACTGCCAAAACCCCTATCACACTCGGTGTATTCGAAGATGTATGCTGGGGAGTCTAGATGCTGCTGTAATGAGCCTCGATCTATGAAATAGCGGTCGCAAGGAACACAGTAGTGTGCTATCTTCAGCGAATGATACTGGATGAGCTAAAAGCAAGAATAGCACATGGTGTTCAATGAGGACGTGGAAAACGATGAGAAGTTGAGAACAGAGCTGAATGCTAACCAAGATATTCGGAAGCAGTTTTCTCACATAGATTATGGACGTCTGTGAGCAGTGGAGCAACAGAAACGACGATCAACACTCATCAGGAGTCTTGGAAGCGGCGAACGTGGTAGATCTCGTGTGGTAAATTCCAAAACTCGCCATCGACAAGTGAATACTTCTCGAGGTCTATGATGATGTAGAAGGAGGACTGCTGTAGTTCAGGAGCCTAGAAAGGTTCGATGTGGAAGTAACGTCTCTGTACTTCGTCTTCATTTGCTGGTCGTCCTGCAAGTAAAAGGTATGCTTTGATTGCGTCGTCATATTCAGAAGAGCTGCGGCGTTCAAGCTCACTTACTTTGAGTCTCAAGACTACTCTTTTCGGGCTGCGATCGGGAAATATAGCTGCATCTTTAGAGGCCATGACTCTGGCTTCGAGTCTTTGACCGTGTACTATACGGGCGCGAGATTCGGGGTGAGATATTGGTGCCACGCTGCTTGACGCTTATTAACATTGAAGCTTGGGATAAGTGGAACCTAGGTTTTCTTCTGCATTTACAGTTTTCCTAGGGACTAGTTATGAGTAGGTAAAAGCTCCGCATGGCTATAGGCCAGGAATGGTGTAAGTGTCAATAAGAATAATGAAGACTGAGGCTTCTAATATGAGGCTTTATCAAGATTACCCCAGTGTCCTTACCTTAAGTAAGCAAGACACTAGTACTAGTTGGTGCCTGAGAAAAAGGGGAAGGGGAAAATTTTGGAAAGAGCATAACCTTACTCCGTACGATTGTCTATGGTAGCCGTGCCTGTCACCAGCTCCTGAGGTCCATGGTATCGCTGAGTTTCGGATACCTCTGACCAGCAAGAGTAGTCTCTCTCAAGCTTGGAGCGTCTTTCAGCCATTCGTTTAGCCAATCACATGACCTCTAGGTAGCCAACGTCGTTCCTGCTTCTGCACATTGAGTTTACCTTACTACCTTCACCTTCGTAGAATTGTCACTTCTCCGTTCTTCTTCATCCACCTCAATCATCCAATCCTCTTTTTGACCAAGACTGGGGCATCAAGCAGCTCAGTTTGCACGAGATATACCTTGTCCTCTTTTCTTCCGAACCAAGTCGATTGCAGCTATGCTGGCCTCCTCTTTTAAGAGGTTCATGCCTTTCATGGCTTGCCTTTCTCTTATCTCAGCATCTGCAAACTACAGCGTCCAGCTGATGGAAGATTTGGCCCCATCTGACTGGTCGGCGGAAGAGTGGGCTGCCGCCGCAGATACGGTGATTGGGAAGACACAAGCTCATGTAAATTTCTATATCCTATCCCCCTAAATCCAGACTCTAAACCCCTTCCCCAGATCATTTCTGATCTGATTGAAGATCTGGGAATCAAGCTCCAAGTCACCGAGGAGAGTATTCGACAACGTATCGACGAAGAGCGAGGTGCATTAGGATTGAAGCCACTTCCACCTCACGAAGACAAGCCGGGTCCGTTCCATTACCTCAAGAAGAAAGAGGACTCGTCAGAGGAGGTACGTCGTGGGAAAGTATATTCAATCTCATTCTAACTGTTGGTAGGATCAAGATTACTCGAGCTACCTCCCCCCGGGATGGACGGAAGAAAAATACAAGACGTACAGCGATCAAGAAGCGAGAGAATTGCCCGACGACGTAAGAAAGATCCATTTTTACCCATAACCCCCTCCTCTGGTAAAGACTAAACAATCCAAGGTACGAGACAAACTCTTCAAACGCCAGTCGCAAGAACTAAACCCTGGCTACTTTGCCGGATTGCCAAAGAAAGTTCTGAACAACATCACGAGCACCTTACACGAGTACGCACGCCAGCAACTAGGGGTCCCAGAGGGTGTCAGAGCCTATAAAAGGGAAATAGCGCCTCTTGTCCAGGTTTTCTCATTACAGAACCATGAGAACTTTGGCTTCATCCTCTGCATGCCCTCCCATGTCGACGAGGAGGCCTTGCACGAATTCGTGGAGACGCTCGACATGATTAACGCGGCGCAGCTCCAGAATTTTATGGAGGGCACTGGGCTCGAGAATATCGAAGGTAGATTCATGATGCCGCTCGACGCCGAGATTGGCAAGAACGCCAAAGATATCAGCGCCGAAGATTGTAGACAGCGATATCGACTAGTGAGAAAGGAGGGTGGTCTTCCGTCTGGTCTGGATACCGGCATTGTCTTGATGGCGGATAAGGAAGCTATTCAGTCACTCACGGAATTCAGCATGGATAATCCGGCTCATGTCTGGGCTGTGGATTTGGACTTCGATCCAGAGAAGAACACGTATCCAGAAGGATACGATGGGACCTTCGAAGTTAGGTGCCATGCCTTGCTGCATCATCTGTATGTGGCAGTGGGCAGTGGACTGATGACGCCGGTGGAGGTTTGGGGGTTGCTGCAGAGAAGAAACGTACCGATCGTTGATGCAGAGATGATACATCATAATGAACTGTAGAGTTGTGGAATATCCAACTGAACCAGGACTGTGGAATAAATGAATTCATGTATTTCTAATAGACCTTATCCTCAAGCAATCAACAGGCTATCACAACATTCTAGCTATATCCGACACCACAATGGTCAAGATGGATAGCACTTTTTGGAATACTCTTTTTCAAACCCGATTCTTTCCCAAAATCAAATTGTATCAATGGTATGCAATGCAAAGAGAGTAGCTGGAGGGCAGAAAGGAATATAACTTCAGGAAGAGCCCGCAGATTGGCCACAAGGTGACAATTTGCACCATCCATCGACCAAACATCACGCCTTAACACTTGGTGGAGCAGAATAGGCAGGAGAAGGATTTACAACCGCAACTCTGCGTATAAACCAACGAATATATTGGGTACTAAACCATAACATGTAGCAATTCCTCGCCCTTGTACCACCGCTCCACATTCTCAGCCTGCTCCTCATACCAATTATTCATGCCCTCCTCTTCCACATACCCCATATGCGGAGTCAACAACACTTGCGCCCTGCCCTCCGTCCCCCATTTCTGCGTCCGCCATCGACTGTCCTCTGGCAGCGGCTCGAGATCAAACACATCCAGCGCAGCGCCCCGGATGGCGCCTCTCTCCAGAACATCAAGCAGTGCATCTTCAACCACCAAGGGGCCACGGGACGTATTAACGAACAGCGCAGACCTCTTCATGACAGAGAGTTCAGCGGACCCAACCATGCCGCGAGACCTATCCGACAGGACATAATGCACAGAAAGTACATCCGCCTCTCTAAACAACTCCTCCTTCGAACCGACGACCTTGAACACCTTCTCCCCATCCTCATCCTCCACCGGCAACCCGGCCTCCCTCGCTCTCCGATCCGCTTCTTCCTGCGTGAGCGACGCACTCCACGCCCGTATCCGCATCCCGAAACTCTGATACATGATGCGCGCAACATTCACGCCCAACCTGCCCAGTCCCAGAACCGCAAACACCTTCCCGCCCAACCCCATCGCGAGCCCCGTCTGCCACCCTCCCGTCTTGACCTGCAAATCATCATGCGCGAGACCCCTCGCGAGCCCCAAGATCAGCGCCACGATGTGCTGCGTCGTGCTCTCGGGCCCTCTCCGCTTGCTGCTGGTCTGGCCCCGGACGCCGCCGCCATCGCCATCGCTGCGTCCCGTGCCCGGCGCGCCCGTGACTCTAATCCCGAGCCTCTTGGCGGCCTCGAGATCGATGGAGAGATTCCGCCGCGAGCAGTTCAGCAGCAGCTTCAGATTCGGGAGCTGCTCGAGGAGCGCGCCGGGGAACGGCGTGCGCTCGCGCATGCTGGAGATGATGGTGAAGGGGCGCAGGCGCGCGACGAGCTGCTGGCGCGCATGCTCGGGCGTCGAGGGGTGGTTGTAGGGCGGGAGGGTGTCGCGGAACACGGTGATTTCGAAGTGTGGCTTCAGGTGCGCGAAGTGCGCGCTGGCGATGTCTTGGTAGTCGTCGAGGATGGCGAGTTTTATTGGCGGGATAGACATGGTTGGGTGAGATAGATATCCTTACGGGAGGTGGGATGTGTGAGGGAGAGATTTATAGGATATGCTATGCGAGATACCTACAGTACAGTACAGTACTTACGTGCTTGCAGAGAATTGCGAATGCGATAGGACGCGGGGAAGAGGATATACTCCAGCAATCGATTGCCGCATTTCATTGCCTGAGGGGCGGCGACCTTGGATTTAGTTACAATTACGACATTGAGATTATTCCGCAATGCCACGAGAACAGAGATAATAACCGACTATGCGATCTTATATCTGCTTGAGTATATATCTATCACTAACAATATATCTTCACTTATTGCTACTGCTCTGGCGGGGTCCTCGGCGGGGTACAAGTCCGTCAAAGAGGGTCAAACACCATCACCGTCAGTCGTGATAGACTCCGTATCAGAGCTTGATATATAAACGTTGCCAAGTCCAGTCCCGCAAAGACTGTTGATTGGAGCGCATGAGGGTCCCCACCAAGAAATCAACGGATCGGCCTTATTCCGCCCGATTACCAGTGCCCCGCCATGACAGGGACGCTTCCCGCGCCTCTACGCTGCTCGTCGTAGGACCGGTGCGTACATCGGGATCCCTCCCTTGTCTTGGGCGTCCGTCGTCGCCGTCATCTGATTCGCGGGGAAGGACGCTCCTCTCTCCAGCTTCACCAGAGCTGCGGCATACGCCGGCACACTCGAATTCAAAAGGCTCGCATACGTTCTTTCCTCCTCACCGTTTCACGCTTCTCCGGTCGCCTGATAGACTACATATCAAGGACTTTCATTCTGGGACGAGCCTTCATTCACCATCATAAGTGAAGCCGGTCAGAGCTCGAGACTCGATAGAACAGGTTCAAAGCTACATCATCATGTCTCCTTCAGCAATAGAGGTGTTACCTTCCGCCACGGTAAAGCCGTCCAAAGCCAACATTGGTGTCTACACCAATCCCGACCATAAGCTGTGGGTTGGAGAGGCTGAACCATCGCTGGAAAGTGTTCAGAAGGGTGAGGGGTTGAATGCCGGCGAGGTGACCGTCGCGATCAAGAGCACCGGTATCTGTGGGTATGTTTGTCAAGATGCTTGGGTCCCAAAGCTCCGCTAACAAATGTACCAGATCAGATGTTCACTTCTGGCATGCTGGTTGCATTGGTCCCATGATCGTCGAAGACACGCATATTCTCGGTCACGAATCTGCAGGTGTTATATTAGCAGTTCATCCTAGCGTAACGCACCTCAAAGTTGGTGATCGTGTAGCCATCGAACCAAACGTCATCTGCAACGAATGCGAGCCGTGCCTCACGGGAAGATATAATGGTTGTGAGAAGGTCCAGTTCCTTTCCACCCCACCGGTTCCAGGACTCCTCCGCAGATATGTGAATCACCCAGCTGTCTGGTGCCATAAAATTGGGGATATGTCCTTCGAAGATGGGGCTTGTCTGGAACCTCTGAGTGTTGCTCTGGCTGGCATGCAAAGATCGGGAGTCAGGCTGGGGGATCCAGTCTTGATCTGCGGAGCTGGCCCCATTGGTCTGATTACACTACTCTGCTGCCAAGCTGCAGGAGCTTGTCCCATTGTTATCACCGACATCGACGAAGGAAGGTTGGCATTCGCAAAGGGTCTCGTTCCGTCCGTGATTACACACAAGGTCGGGAGGGTGTCTCCAGAAGAAGCAGGCAAGGCTATTGTGGAAGCTTTCGGAGGCATTGAGCCAGCAGTTGCACTTGAGTGCACAGGCGTCGAGAGCAGTGTGTCAGCTGCCATATGGGCAGTCAAGTTCGGGGGCAAGGTGTTCGTGATTGGGGTCGGCAAGAACGAGATGAACATCCCTTTCATGAGGCTCAGTGTCCGCGAGATCGATCTGCAGTTCCAGTACCGCTACTGCAACACGTGGCCAAGAGCCATCCGGCTCGTCCAGAGCGGGATTATCGACTTGAAGAAGCTCGTAACCCACCGCTTCGATCTCGAGGATGCCGTAAAAGCTTTCGAGACGGCTGCCAACCCGAAAACCGGAGCAATCAAGGTGCAGATAAAGAGCGAGGATTAAGAACTTGCAAGGTAGAAAGTGTTAGATCGTAGATAGCATATATATAATCTCTGCCTCCGGAGATCGAGCCATTGAAATCCATGTTGTTTCTATAAATTGTCGAGAATGTTTCGATGGTCCAGGGGAAACTGACTCGGGAAGCTATTCCTTGTCGATCCTTAGCGCGGCTCTTCGCAAGTCTTCCCGGTGGCCGGCGAAAATTGTAGCAATCTCTCGCACGACTTCATCACAACGACCAATTGTTTACCTACCACCTCCCCCAGCATCGAGAACCATTCACGTTCGGGTCTTCTCGCGTGCATAGATTTGACCATGTCGTTGCCAATGTCTCGTGCCGTCGTACGGCAATCCACCAAGTTCACCGGACGAGCGGCCCGCCGATTTGAATCGACCACATCCAAAGCCGCCGACGCCGCGAAGCACACCGCCGCCAAGGCATCACAGACAGCTTCGAACATCCAGTCGAAAGCTTCAGAGGGTCTCTCAAAGGTCTCTTCTGCTGCTGGCCCGGCCCTTAGCAGTGCTGCTAAGGGCGTTACAAATGCTCTCGGAAAGATTGGTGGCAGGACTGGCAAGTTCATTGCCTTCGTTGAGCGTATGTGTCATCCTCAGCAGCGCGATGGAGTTGCTCTTCCATCAATTCGGGATGCCAATGGCTGATGTTGCGACTCTAGGACAAATCCCCCCTACTGTGTACTATGCTCGTGTCGGATTGGAGCTCTCCAAGCTCGTCTTCCACGGACAAAAGATGACCCCTCCGTAGGTGGACTCCTGTGGATGTGAAGGGGAATGTGCTTTATTAACTGAACTGCTGCAGTTCTGTTTCGACCTTCCAAGCTTACTTCCAAAGAGTCATTAAGGGCGTACGAAACCCCGGATCGCTCTTCTCCTCGAACCCAAACCTCCTCCAACAAATTAGAAACATCGGGGCACCACAACTGGCTTCCGGGGCTGTTATTGGAGCTGAACTTCTAGGTTTCTTCACTGTTGGCGAGATTATCGGCAGATTCAAACTTGTTGGTTACCGAGGGGACACCGAAGCTCACCACTGAGTTCTGAAGAGTGATACGATTGTGCCGGGTGGGAGCGGTGATGAGGGATAGAATGAGAGATGGCAAGGCGTAAATGTCTCTGAATCTGTGACAAGAGAGTCATGGAGGGCAGGGGTTTTCAATGCTGTCTTTGCACCTATCCTGCAACCTTTTTCTTAGTATGTCTGTACATCACAAAACCAATAAACGGCATAATGGCGGATTGCAATTGATATGATAGATTTGTTTATTCCACCGCTTGCCCTTTTAGCCGCTGCTTCCTTTAGATGTCCATCTGATCCGGGAGGACTCTTCTCATACCTAGTGCAGAGCCTTGCCATTACTAAGGTAGTCGAATGAGTTATCGAGAAGCGCAAGGGGCAACCCGCTCCCTGCGGTACTTCAAGGCTTGCAGAAGGATTCGGAATCGAGAAGTATATTGGGATCACGTGACTCACGGCGCCATATCTACCTTACCTAGCTTATAATTCTACATGGAGCCCGAACAAAATCTACAAACAGCATGACAAAACAGCCTCAAAAGAGTCTCCTCGGGGTAAATCCCACTTTAGAAGCGAACCCATACCCCGTAAAGTGGAGGAAGCCTCCATTCTGTTCTGAGCCTCGGAGGGACGTCCTGCGAGAAATGCTAGCCATTTGCAGCATTGATCGTCTCCGGAGTGGACCTTTCGTCTTCAACGCATTCTCCGCACTTTGAAGTTTCCCCTCAACCCCCCTCTCTGCACGTTTTCTACACCAAACTTTCCTACACCGTCGGGGTAACGTTCCCCAGAAGAGCGTGGTTTCCTCCAGGTTATGCTTTTGCTTCGGGCCGTTCTGACATCATGCCTGTCTAGGCACGGCTTGACGGCCAAGTCGGCCATGAGCCCCAGAAGTTGATATAAGCTGCTGATCTCCAAGTCAAGTAAGGATGGATGTATTCCAATTGCCTCTCCCTTTTTTAGACCTGAGCGTCTCTGCCACAATGAGGCTCCTCGGCAAGCTCCCAACCGCTGCGCTTGCACTGCTTAGCACCACATCAACAGCGACGGCTCAGAAAGTTCTGGACTTGAGCACGGCTAAATGGACGCTCTCGAATCCCATTTACAATATCTCTGTCCCCGGATCTGTACCGTCGCAAGCGCATCTAGACTTGTACAGCGCGGGCGTAATTCCTGACCCGTATTACGGACTGGGAGATTTTGACCTGAGATGGGTAGCGGAGACAAATTGGACGTACAGCACGGTGCTAGATGGACTGTGAGTACTCAGATCCTTTTCTGGTTCACATGGATGGAAATATCTGGTCTTGTGATTTCCTTAAGAGCCATCCTTCGATTCGAGAAGCGTTTAAGCCCTCTCATGTGACCTGATACTGCAGCTTTATCTTCCTCTGCTATTTCTTCTATATTCATGTATATTTCCCTGTTCACCCACGCAATATCACTGACAATATCCAGAGACACCACAAGTGGAACTTCCACATGGCTACTCTTCAACGGGTTGGACACTTTCGCCTCAATCGAGGTGTGCGGACAACAAGTTGCCTCCACCAACAATCAATTCCGTCAATATTACTTTGAAGTCTCCAGCATCTTGAGCTCCTGTTCAACGCCAACGCTGAGCATCAACTTCGGTTCTGCAGTTAACATCACCGCTGATATCGCAAACGAGCCTGACCAGGAGACATGGCCTTATGGAGTGGAGCAGGTTTACGAATTCCCCAATAGGCAGTTCATGAGAAAAGAGCAGAGCGACTTTGGATGGGATTGGGGTCCAGCCTTTGCCCCTGCTGGGATCTGGCAACCAGCCTATGTAATCCAGCTCCCTGCTTCTGGAATCTATATTCGAAATTCTCTATTGGATATTTACAGGCAGGGGCAATTGAACAACCTTCCTCCTGACCAAAGTCAGCCATGGATTGTGAACGCAAGCCTGGATATTCTAGGGAGTGTGCCAAGTAGTGCAACACTTAGTATCGAGATTTTCGATATTAACAACACAACCGTGGCCAGCGGATTCCTGGAGAATGTGACGACAACCGCCACGACCATAGGCGGAAGCGTCGCCGTAGATGGAGAATCTTGCCAGCTGTGGTGGCCCAATGGACTCGGACCACAGAATCTTTATTACTTTAAGATAAGTGTGGTCGATGGGGACCAGGTTCTAGCCTCGGTCACCAAACGAAGCGGGTTCAGAACGATCGTCTTAAACATGACTCCAATATCTGAGGAACAGCTTGCCCAGGGGATAGCGCCCGGTAATAACTGGCATTTTGAAATCAACGGTCACGAGTTCTATGCGAAAGGGTCAAACTTCATCCCTCCCGATGCATTTTGGCCACGGGTCACGCCAACCAGGATGGAGCAGCTGTTCCAGTCTATTGTAGATGGAAACCAGAACATGCTCCGTGTCTGGGCAAGTGGAGCCTACTCACCAGATTTCATTTATGACATTGCCGATGAGATGGGAGTCCTCTTGTGGAGCGAATTCGAATTTTCAGATTCTTTGTATCCTGTTGGCTCGGAGTTCCTGGAGAATGTTCGAGAGGAGGCCAACTACAACGTCCGCAGGGTCAATCACCACCCTTCTCTCGCCCTTTGGGCTGGAGGGAATGAGCTAGAGAATCTAGAACTTCAACTTGCTGCAGCGGCTGATCCTGGAAACGACAGATGGAGACAGGAGTACGAGGAACTCTTTTTGGACGTACTCCTGCCTGCCGTTTATGGGAACTCGAAATCGATCTCCTACATCCCAAGCAGTACCACAAATGGATACCTCGTACTGAACTTCTCTTTACCAATGCCAATGATTGAGCGATATAATAACTTGACTCCCGGATCGATCTATGGTGACACTGATCACTACGACTACGACTCAGTTGTCGCTTTCAATCTCTCTAGCTACCCAGTTGGGAGATTCGCCAACGAATTCGGGTTCCACTCTATGCCCAGTCTTCAAACCTGGCAGCAAGCAGTACCCGCAGACGAACTCTACTTCAACAGCTCCACCATCCAACTTCGAAACCACCACTACCCTGCTGGAGGAACGTTCACCAACAATTTTGCCAACTCATCCAAAGGCATGGGCGAGATGACAATTGCCTCGGAGCTCTACTATCCTGTACCCTATCATAGTGATCCAATCGCCAATTTCTCATCCTGGTGCCACACCACCCAGATCTTCCAAGCAGACTTCTACCGTAGTCAGATAACCTATTATCGGCGTGGATCCGGGCTACCAGAACGACAGCTTGGCTCCCTCTACTGGCAGCTCGAAGACATCTGGCAGGCCCCAACCTGGGCCGGCATAGAGTACGACGGCAGATGGAAGGTCTTGCATTACATCTCAAAAGACATCTACCAACCTATCATCATCGCCAGCTACTGGAACTACACCACTGGCGACCTAACAGCATACGTGACCTCCGACCTCTGGAGTCCTGCCTCAGGAGTTGCGACCTTCACATGGTACAACTACGAAGGCAGTATTCTCGGCCATCCGCACACCGTCCCCTTCTCCGTCGGTGCTTTAAACACAACACAAGTATACGCCGACAATACCTTCACCCTACCCTTCTCTCTCAAACACGCAGTCTTAAAAATGAGCGTCACCGCCACCGGCACACCTCCCAACACCAACGAGACCAGGGAATACAAGCACGAATCCTACTTCCACGACCTATCCCTCAACGACGTCAAGCTTATCGATCCCGGCCTCAAACTCTCCTACTCGAAAGAGACTGGGAATTTCACAGTCCGAGCCACGACGGGCGTCGCGGCCTGGGTATGGCTTGATATCCCGGCCGGCACGCTTGCGAATTTCAACGAGAATGCATTCTGGCTCTTCCCAACGGATGGGCCGAGGGAGATTAGCGTGAAGGTGAAGAATGATACGAGTGGTGGGAAGTGGGTGGAGAAGGTGACGGTGCGTAGTTTGTGGGATAATAAGTTACCGTAGTAGCTTGGCTGGGGCTTGACTTTAGAGATATTGTCTATGAAGTTGGGAGTGTCCAAGCCCACCTCTTCAGAAAAATATTGTTACAAGGACACGGCCTAGTATAATAAAAATACAATGAAATAATCTACGCACAAAAGACGGTTATAAAAAACAGACAAGCTTTAGTAGAATGGGTTTAAGAGGAAGGGGGGGGGGGGAGAGGAGAGAGAGAGAGAGAGAAAAGAGGAGATGATGACTATTGTAAGTAGGCTGTTGCAGTTTTTAGATTTATGAATACCTACTACCATTAATTCTCTATCTATCTATCTATCTATCTATCTAATATCCTAACCCCTCTCTTCTCTCCATCCATCCCCTCTTCAAAATCAATGGAGCCTCTTAAGCTAAGGTAAGAGGCTAGGAAATAGGTATTAGTTATTAATTAATTAATCAATTAATTAGAGATCTGTTTTTTGGGACATTCAATGCATTACATCTGTCATTTCCAGCTGGAGTTTCCAAAGATATCAATGCCTCTTCTGAGTCGTCTAACTTTAGCTTAGCGCTTCCACCCCCTACCTTTACAGCCACTGTGGTACATGTATCATTTTCTGGTCTTGCTACGGGTTCAGTGCCTTTCCCGGTCGTGGGCAAGGGACTCTTTCGGTCCTCACTTTCCTGCACACTATCAAAACCGGTATTTTGAGAGCTACACGAGGACCGTTGGGTGCCAGTGCTTCTGCTGCTTCCAGTATGTACCTGCTCAAAGGCAGAGTTTCGGTCGGCAACAGGCAGGAAAGGTTGCGAGCACTCCAAGGCTCCAAGGCTCTGACAAGACAAACTAAGGTTAACGAGAAAGAAAGAAGAATTATTAATACAGAGGATGCCGCTGATATATTGAGACGATCTCAAAGCGGTCAACTTGGCGCCTTCGTAAGGATAATATTAATCTGCGGTCATATACAGCCTTGCTGAGGGACGAAGAAACAAAGAATAGAAAACAACCTGACAGAAAATTTGGGGAAAGGCCTGATAAGCCCGTCGTGCATGCGAGTTAATCTGCTGGTGTGCAGAGAGCAAGGCTGCGAGAGATGACCGTTGGTAGAGTGATACGAGTCCCACGCCATTATCGCCGCCCTATTACCACCATCAAAAGACTTTTGGCAATGGTCATTTTGAGACAGGGGGTCCTGTGAGGCTCTACCGTAAGGTGGAATGGGTTGAGCGGGGACTTTGCCCTTTTTGCTTCAAGTGGCCTCCGCCCTTTTGATGGTCGGGAGTGGCTGATGCCCCTTTACACTGTGTATGGAGATGTGGGCCTATGTCATCATCTTCGTCGCAAGGCTGGCAGGTGCAGTATTATTGTATGCTCTAACGGTAGAAGAATATCAGCAGTTCTTGCGAGAGAGGGAACCAGCTTTACGAACTAGCGAAAAGGGATCTGAGATGTAACATGTTGAGAACCAGGATACAACAACTGCGCTAAGCACGATCAAGACTCGACTTTCTCCTCCTTCACCTTCCCCTTGGCGTTCGCCATCACATCCTCCCAATTCGCGGGTCTCTGCCTCCCGCCAGGATACACCTCATGGAGCCACTGCTCGGCCTCCTTGCCCCACGCGATCAAGGAGTCCTCGCTTCCCCACTCCCCCATCGCCATCAACCCCACCGGAATCTTCCCGTTGCCCTTCGCCGGCTCGGCATATCCAACCGGGCAGCTGATGGCCGGGCACCCCGAAAAGTTCGCGAGCCACACGTACTCCATATTGCGGATCGAGGCATTGCCATCCGTGACGCCGTACTTCAGGTCAGCCTCGTTGGCAATTGGCCAGCCCGCCATGGGCGTCGTTGGGGTTACGATGAGGAGGCCGGGGTATTTCTGGTAGAGAAAAGCAAGATGTTGCATCAGCATGTTTCGGAGCTGTTGGGCAAGGAGATAATCGCGGGTCGGGGTTTGACCCCCTACGGCCAGAAGGATCTTGTTCGCGGGGTTCAAGCCGGAGAGCCAGTGCGGCTTTGCACATGGGTGGGCGCGGGCTCGAATGGCCATCTCGGCGAGGATTGTGAATGCATGGGCAAGCTGGCCTTCTGGGGCGTAGGGGATCTCAATTGAGACAACCTCGTAGCCGAGTGTGGTTTTGTAGTAGTCGACAGCTTCGTTGCAGAGTTTGAGAACGGCGGGGTCGGCACGATCAAACCATTCTTTGTATATGCCAATGACCTTGGGACGGGAAGGGGAAGCGACACCGGGGGGGCTGAAGAGCGAACAGTTGGGATCTGAGGGGTTTGGGGTAGCCATTAAACGGTATGAAGCTTCGAGGTCTGCCATAGTAGCTGCCAATGGCCCGGTGACTGTCACCGTGCTATGGGTGTCCTCGAGGCGACTGTGCGAAGGTTTGAGACCATAGATTCCACAGAATGACGAAGGAATCCGGATACTCCCTCCCCCATCAGCACCGAGAGCCACAGGGACCAGTCCAGCTGACACCACATAGGCTGCTCCGCCAGACGAGCCGCCGGTGTAATACTTGTCATTGTGGGGGTTTCGAGGGGTTCCCCAGTTTGGGTTGTTGTTCGTCGTGTCGGCGCCTAGCTCGTGCATATTCAGTTTGCCCAGGATAATGCCACCCGCTTCTTCCCACTTTTGAACAGGCCATGTTGATTCTTTAGCAACGGGCATAAGCTTGTCGTTGCGCTTCCGTCCCCCGGTTGTTCGATAACCTGCGACATTGCATTCATCTTTGATTGCCGTTGGAACACCATCAAAGATGCTCAATGGCTTCCCTTCTTTGTAGCGCAGGGTTGATGCTCTGGCTGCTTCCAGAATCTCTTCCGGGTGACTGTCAATGAATGCGATAGAGTGCGACGCTTGGCTGACGTCTCTCTGAATGAGCGGTAGCAAAGATGAGACGACGTCCAAGGGAGTAACTTTTCCAGAAAGGTACATAGAATGGTACTCGGGAATGGAGTAATACCTCCCTGGGAGGTTCTCAGGCAGGATCGGAAAGGACCCTGAGTCTAATGCTGGGGGTGAGATGGAAAGATCGTTTTGGATTGGGATGACCGTAGGCTGGGGATATCAGTCACATTACCTAGGTAGTGTAGAGATGCGCAATGGGTGAACTTACATCCCATCGCTCCGAATAATCGCTTAAATACTGAAGATCGCGAAGTCCATTGAAGCCCGCATTTGCCCAGAGATACTTTTGGACGAATTGCAGCTTGGATACACTAGTACATGTCAGTCAATGCGATCGGCGCTTTGGGTGAGGAACTTGCAGCCATCCACCAACCACCAGGGGAAGACCTCGAACAGCGGGGTTTTGATCACTTGATTTCCTATACGGGATCTTGGGAGCTTCTACAGCTTTGGGATACCCAAGGTAGCGCTTTTTGGTGTCTTTGGTCCCATTCATGGCGCGGATAGCGGGTTTTACGGGGTATAATGGGGATTGAAGTTACTGTAGTTAGGAAATAATTTGCAGACAAGAACAAACATGAGATTAATGAGAGACAGAAGAGCCAAGGCCGAAGACAGAAGGATTGTGAGTTGAGATGGAGCGAGATAAAATCTATTTCAACAGCGACATCATGACAAGGGGCTCGGGAAATTTCATGTGGCACACGCTGAAGATCTGGGGGCCGAGGCTGCCTGGGATCGGCGAAAGATTAGCCCGAACCATTTTCTGCCGTCGGTCGCCGCCTTGAGCGGGCTTAGAGCTCAGCCTCAGCCTTAGCCTTAGCCTTCACGACTTCATTATCTCAATGTTCGTTTCCGTTGTCAGATTCAACATGTCCCATCTTCAATACCAGGCCAAGTCTCGCTTTCCAATGCGTCTCCCAAGGAATATCAATAGGTGAGCTATCATACCACGAATGACTACGACCTCAATCGCACCCCAATCCAGAACCAGACAAATCCGATCACGATGCCTCAAAAAGAGTCCTATCTTCCTCCCGCCGGACCTCCCCCCTCACAGTCTCAATATGCTCCTCCACCCTTTCCTCCCCCATCCCACGACTGGCAGATAGCCGTGCCCGACACCTCTCTCCTCCCCCCTCCGCCAACGCTTGGCAACCAACGAAGCCGAACCAACAATGCGACGGCCTCCGAAGCCGAGCAGGGCGAAGCATGGTGCGAATCCAACCCTCTGACGGCTCCCACGGCCCTCCCCGCCGATGCGCTCTCATATCTCGAGAACGGGTCCATCAGTGCTGTCAGACCACAGCCATATATCGGTCGGCTGGATCATCTGCGACCTGGAGTATGGGCCGGGAAAACAAAAGCCAGTTCTCCGGATAGCTGCATCACTAGTTCACTCCCGCTATACTCCGCCATGGCGCACTCGCCGCTCCGCACCGGGAAGCCCAAGATCATCTACTACGAGGTCCGAATCGCAGACCGCAATCGCGCCGAAGTCAGCCTCGCGCTCGGCTTCGCCGCGCCTCCATACCCGGTCTTCAGACTTCCGGGGTGGCATCGCGGATGTCTGGCGATCCACGGCGATGACGGATGTAGATATGTTAATGACCGCTGGGGGGGTCGGGACTTCACGGCTCCGTTCAAGCCTGGGGAAACGCTGGGGATCGGCATGAGGTTTGTGAAGAGGGAGGTCGATGCGCCGCCGGGGTATGAGGGGACGCCGCGCACAGCGGCGACGACACCGATTGATGTGGAGATCTTCTTCACCCGGGACGGGCGCTGGGCGGGAGGCTGGAATCTGCATGAGGAGGGGGATGCGGAGGAGGATCTGCCGGTGACGGGATTGGAAGGGTGGAACGATCTGTATGCGGCTGTGGGCACGTTCGAAGATGTCGGGTTTGAGATTGTGTTCAATCACAAGGAGTGGTTGTACCGTCCTTGAATTCGTCTTCATACTCGTAATACCCCTAAATTTTAAGCCCCTTTTTTTTTTACCGAGCCCCCTATTGCCTCCCGCCACCCCCCTTAGAAATCCATAAAACTCTACTCAGGTCCTACCAGACAGCTGGAACCTACAACTCTGATGGATTAAACTGCCTTAAGATTCAACGAACTGGATATATCTTCCAAGGACCTTTCCAACAGTCGATATACATCTAATATCCGCGCCAGCAATCCAGGGAATAAATGATAACCAAAATACCTAGGTACCTATTAACAACAAAAAACAAAAAACAACCTTCACAACGACAATCAATCATCATTATCAGTAGATATATTCAATCACTATCTACCTAGTAATCCACTCCCATATATATTCGACAATGATTCCACGTCTACCTTGGCTCCGGAGTGTTTGTGTCTTATGATCTTCAATTGCGCCTACCAATGCCATCCAGTGCCGTGAAAGTAGAATGTGACAGACACTTCGGTTTTGGGGGGGGGGGGGGGGGGATGAAGATGAAGATTTTAGTCTAGAATCAACTACCTACTCGCTTGCTCGCTTGCTTGCTTTCTTTCTTTCTTTCCTCGGTTTACGGTTCTTGGTTCGAAGGGATTTGGGAAAAGTAGGATACGATAAAAGAGTGTGATTAATTCAAAACAAATCAAGTCCAATAAATCCCAAATCCAATACACAAAGAACATATTCGAATACAAGCGGGGATTAATTATATTATATTTATATCCCTCCTTTTCAAAGCTCAGCAATAGTGCAGCACGGTCTAGTTTTCTGATCTAGGGTCTGACCTGAACTGGCTTGAATTGATCTGAACTGGTCTGATATGAGCGGGGGGTTAGGTAGGTCGATGGGTAGGTATGTGGATAGATATGAGATAAATAGAGATTTGAATAACCTGTACCGTAGGTATGTAACATATATCTATCTCTTTAAGCAGAGGGGGAAGAGATTAGGGAAGGGATGGAAGGGAATAGATAAGTAAGAAAGGAAACAAACAAACAAACGGACGAGTGAAAGGATTTGTGAGACGGGGCTTAGTTTGGATTTACGATACTCACAAACAGAACATGCTGCGAAAGAGTCTCAAGAGTTCATCCGTGATTGATTTGATTGATCCGAGTCAACTTCCCTATCTGCTCGTCCCCAACGCGATCCCAGCCCGCAGATCTAAGAATCTCGATCCCTTGATCAAGAAAATAAGCAAGCAATCAATCAATCAATCAATCAACCATAAAACCATTCCCTGCACTCCCAGCCATCCGGATACGTATTCGTGATCCAAGCCTCCCAACCTAACCCAGCCTATCCCATCCCGCCCTATCCTATCCATGCCTAACCAGAGGACTGTATGCCCGAAACCGAAACGCCGTGAAGTGGGAAATGTAAAAAGCAAACGCCGCGCTGATGTGTATGTGTGTGGATCTACCTGCTCGTCAGCCCCTGGGGCAGGGGGAAGAGAGAGGTCCGAATGTGTGCTGTGTGCCTGCCTATGCATGGATGCGACTGATGCCTTGTTTGTATGCGATGGGGGTGTTCTCATGAAATCATAAAGACTGATGCCACAGCTGGGGTTTGTGTGTGTATAGCGAGAGGAGGATATCAGCATCAGGATCAACGCCGCAGCTGCTGCAATGCTCTAGCCAGACACTGCAATCACTGGTGTGCACGTGCACCATAGCCATAATAGGGATTTGGAGGAGGAGCAGGACGCGCGCGACCCTTCATGCGGATGAAGCGGGTACGGATCCACATCATGAGCTTGGTCCATGCAGAGTGGGTTCTCTTCTTTGCATTGTTTGTCGCCGAATAGCTGCGTCTTGGGAGTGGTTCAGCCTGCTCCTCCTCAGCAGGCACGTAGGGGGGAATCCGACCCGGGGCACTACGGACGAACAGGTCGTTTGCCGCTCCTGCGCTGTTGGTGCGGGGAGAGCGGGGGCCAGTAGCGCTGCCGGCACCCAGCTTCTCGTTCTGCATTGTGAGATCGGATTTCGAGCGCTTGGAGCGTGTGCCTTCGCTGGTGCTGGCAGAGGACTGGCGGTGCGAGCGCTCCATCCTCTGAGCCTCCTTCTGGTTGCGCTTCTCAAGCTGGCGGACCTCCTCACGCGCGGCTTTCTCATCCTTGGCCTGCTCCTTCTCCTGGAAGCGGCGACGGGCTTCTTGGATAGTGAGGGCGCGTTCACGGGAATCGACTTCACTACGAGAGCGCAGGCGGAAGCCCTTGTCAAAGGACGTGCGAATAGCAGAGGTAGGTGACATGGTGTCGAGCGACGATGTAAGATCGACAGGAGAGAGGGGAGTAAGGTGGTTGTGTAGACTGGTGTGCGAAGGAGCAAGAGCTATCCGCGAAGAGGACTGTTTGGTCTGGATCCGGAGCAGTGGTTGCGGGTGCGTGTTTGCAATCGGAGTGATGGTGCTGGTCAGAGAAGGTGTGCGGTTCGAGATGCTCGAGGTGCTTCGTATGTGATGGCGGTGGTGGTCCTCATCTTCAGCCAGAGCTGGGTTGTCTAAAGGGTCGCTCTCTCGTAGTGAATTGTGTGATGCTGCTAGAGGCGGCGTGTGAGGGCGAGGTGTCTGCTGGAAGGGATGGACGAACGAACCAGTTCGCTGGCCCGTGGAGTTCGACGTCGCCGTTGAAAACTGAGATGTGCCACTGGCGCTGCGGTTGTGATATCCCCTCCTACCTGACTGGAAGACCACATCGTGTACCGAGCGAGTGGGCGCTCCATAATCGTAAATCCCCAGCCCATCCTGCTCTGCCAACGGCCGATCCAGGTCCAGCGAGCTCTTCTCGCTCTGCGCCAGCTTCCTCAAGATCGGCTTCACCTTTGTTACCCTCGATTTTGGCCCCTGGCCGGGATAACTTGACATGGTGAGATCCGAGCCTCGCCTTGCAACAACTGCACAACGGCCCCCCTTCGCAAAGTCGTCAAGTCAACCACAGCAATCATATATTTCGCATCACTACAGCGCTAAGCCAGGCGCATCGGCGAAATCAGGATGATGCCAGTCAAGTCCTTTGTTTGATTGTCGCGTGTGGTAAATAGGGGTGCGAACGAACGGCCGACAGGGAGGACGAGGGGGAGGAGCGGGAGGATTTCAGGGAGGAAAGCGAGGGAGGAGCCGTGGGTTCGATGGAGGACAGGCGACACAAGTACAATGCGACAGATCAGCCCGAGCGATCGGATACAATTGGTATGATGGGCAGAGGCGGTGGAGGAGGAAGAGGACGTGAGGAGGTGGGGAGAGGAGAGAAGAGGAGCGGAGCGGAAAGAAGGGTTGAAGAGTTCAAGAGGTTAAAGAGGAGGATGAGGAGGATGAGCAGAGCATGGACCGGTCTGGAGTCTTAGCAGCTGAGAGGATTTGCTTCCGGAAAAAGACGCTCTCAACGCTCTGCCGTCGACCCTCACGGCTCGAGTCTGGACTGACGAAAGGACCCTTCAAGCATTATATCTGCGAGGCCGAGTGATCCGACAGGGCCGCTCATTGGCCCTCGACACCAGCGGCCGGCCCATTCTTATCAGGCCGGCCAAGCCAGAACAAGAGACATGGGCGAACAGGCCGAACAGTCGTGACGAGAGAGAGAAATGTCTTACCTCCGTGCCTGGGGCGTGGGTAGGAGGGCGCGACTTGGAGATTCGGACGGAGCCTTGGAAGTTAGAACTTGGAGGAGGCAAAAGATGGAGCGGCGGCATGGGATCATGGATTCACGGATTCTGATCACTACATGCTACAGCACGACTATGTACCTATCGAGGGGAGAGGGTCCTCGGTCGCCGACGCTGAGTGGTGCGGTGTCGATCGAGCATCGGACGGCGCGTTCGCCAGAGACCCTCGAAGGGATCGATCGGCCATCCGCCGTTCGACCTGGGCTGGCATCTCATGTCAGGTCGGTCGTCCCGTCTCCCGCCTTGTCATCTCTGTCACGTCTGAATGCAGAATGCAGAATGTAGCGGAAATCCCATGAATGCCATGATTGCCATGATTGCATTGATCATCGCCGTGGATGGGGAGATTCGGGTGGTCTCATACCAAGGGCGTTCATTCAAGGGCATTCATTTCAAGGACCACGCAGACCATCATGGTGTCTATTATCTCGCTCTATCCCGCATCTACACTCTCCGCCGCGTCTTTCTCTCCGGAGGTATACTTCATCCCCAATACCCCTCCGCTGCATCGGGATATTATTATCTTGGAGTCTCTCCAATCGACGACGTATGCAGGATCCTCGCGGCGACGCAGGGCCATCCGACGGAGCTGCAGCCGGAGATACCGTCGCTTGGCGAATCATCGGATGAGATCATAGCATCATAGGGCCGTCCTCGTCCTTTCATCATTGTCGCGCGAGAAGGTCAGTCGAGAGAGATGTCGAACGATGTAATCATCCATTCTTTGACCTTGCCGAGCTGAGCTTTTGTCTTCTTTCCTTGTTTTTTCTTCCTTTTTTTTGCCTCTTTTCTTTGCGTCTTTTCTTCTTCTCTTTGCCTCTTCTCATGCAACAGCGCAAGTTAGCCGAAGTCTTCACGATCTATTTCATCATCGGAAATTCAGGTATGAACAGTGTGGTAAATCAATTACTATTCGCACATTCATATATAAAGATTTGATTGCTGTCGGCTGACATCGATATTGCTTCGTCCGCGGAGAAAAGGGCGATACACCGCACCTCGAGGGAGCTGTCACCTCGATGGAGCTGTAGACTTTTGGGGGACTTTTGGAATGAGGAACAAAGGAGTGAGTGATGGATGAGGTTATTCTGCTTTCTTTCTCGTGAAACAGGGCTCAAAGAATCGTCAAGTGGCGAGATGGAATCTGTTGTGCACGTCTGTATGTAGCTGCAACTGTACGTGTATTCGCTTCTAGAAGAAAGCGTCGACAACAATCCACCGACAACAATCCATCTACAACAATCCATCTACAACAAAGCATCCAACAATCCATCTACAATAATCCATCTACAACAATCCATCTACAATAATCCATCTACAACAATCCACCGACAACAATCCACCGACAACAATGCACTTCCAATCCATCTCCAACAACACCATGTACACATACGTACATACATACATACATACAGCCAGTCCAACCTCAAGTACCACAATCCAATACACGCTCCAATAGCAATCCATCCATCCATCCATCCATCCTAGCCCTCTCTCCAATCACATCCTTCACCATTGCATTGCGGCTCTCCCTCAGCATCAGCATCATCATCACCAACACCCCCATACATACATACATACATACATACCATACCCACATCCAGTACCTACCCACCTACCCACCTACCTACCTACCTACCTATACCCTCCTTTCCAAGTTCCAACAGCCCTATCCTCAACCCTCTCTCCTCCTCTTCCTTAATTCTCCATAACCCAACCAACAAAGCAACCTCCCTCCCTACCTCCCTTTCCTAATAATCCCACTTAGATACATACATACAAACAAACATACGTACAGACACAGGAGGATGATGATTCCGGGCCCTAAGGCAGGCAGGCCAGGCAGGCAGGTAGGCAGTTCTCGGCACTGCACTGCACTGCAGATTCTGCTACCGACAGAGGGAGGCTCTGCAACGGCTGGCTGGCTTGTTTGATGTGATATGCATGCTGCGCGAGCGTTTTTTGTTTGTTCGTTCGTTCGGATGATTTTGATGTTCCTATCCTGTCATGTTCATGTCATGTCCCTCTCCACCTACCTAGATAGTATAGGTACTCTAATTTCAAAATTTCAAAATTTCAAAATTCCAACGGTGGATCTACCATACCATACCATACCATGCCTTGCCTTGTCTTACTTGCGTACATGCTCGCTTGCTCGGCTCCTTTGGCCTTTTTTTTTTTTGCTATCTATCATATCTGATAATTCGTCTTGGCTTTTGGCGTCTTTTTAAGAGGAGATCCAACGGTTGTACAGAGGAGCGATGTGGGATGTGGGATGATGATGGGGATAGTGATGGGGATGATGGATGTTTGACTTTGATTACCGCTGCATTGCATACATATATGCAGGGAGGGAGAGACGCATGCATGCATGCATCGGTTCAAGCCTGCCAGCCTGCCTGCCTGCCAGTCCAATCCAATCCAGTCCAGCGCTCGGTATGATTACTCCGGCGAAGAAGAGAGGCCGGCCGTTGATGAATGTATGAAGGCGCCCCCACCTCATTCGTACTTTGACCTGTGTAATGGTTGCAGTTCCTGGTGCACGCGGCGCTGGGTGGTCTATGTATCAGGATGTGGGATGGATTTTTTTTGGGGGGGATGGCTGGTACGTAGGTACGCAGGAGGGTGTGAAGGGATGGATTCCATGTGCTGGCCTCCTCCTCCTCCTCCTACCTTACTACTTCTTACTACACTACTACTATAGTAACTGTACATACATACATAACATGTACTCCGTCCTGCATCCTGTACATAATAATCAGAATCCCCAGGGGGGGCTAACGGGAGAGCATCAGTGCCATCCTAGCACCGGATGCAAGTGCCCTTGTTCCCCTAATTAGTTTCTCAGGGGGGGTCCGCAGGAAGGATGCATGTTATGTATGTGTCGATGCATGTATGTAGGTAAGGTGGTGTTGGAGGCTTGTAGGTAGGGTTGTAGGGTTGTTGTAGGGTTGTTGTAGGGTTTGTGGTGGGATGGGGTGGAGCGTGGAGGGAGAGAAGAGGGGAGGAATGAATGCGAGTACGTGAGAGCATGATCAATTAACGAGATGAGATGATACTGTATACAGTAATAGCACCATCATGATTTATTTCTATTCTTATCCTACTCCCTCCCCATTCATTCATCATTATTCCAGACCTCTTCTGCACTCTACGCGCATCTCAATTAATCAGAGATAACCTAATCAGACATGATCAAATCAGGGATCCGAAACGTCGTGTCTGTCTCTGTCTTATAAGGCATCTATCTATCAGGCTCCATCTATCTAGATCTTACTCTTGACGCGCGTTACTTTACTTGACTGGCGATTTCTTCTGTTTGTTTCTATGTTTGTTTTTTGATAGAGATTGGATTGCTGGCATTCGCGTGTTTCTATTATATTCTAATACTGTCCTGTCCTAACAATCTCCTATCGTCTTCCGTACTTTCACTCACTCAACTCACCCGCACGGAATATACGGGGGGCTATAGATAAATAGATACCTCAGGCTTCTATCTCTCCCGGCTCGCTATCGCTACCTTAAGGTAAGGGACCTCGGTACGACCATCCATCCCGCTCCATCTCTCTTGCGTGTATCTGCCTCATTATTCATTTCATTATCTCTTCTTCGCTTTTTCTAGATCACTCACGTGTATGTATTTATTGTACGAATTGAATTATCTATATCGAATCTATCTATCTATCTGGTATACGATGGACTAGAGAGAGAGGGACTCGGCACGCGCGGCGACTGAGTGAGGAGGGGTCGCACGATGACCCTGCCGACCTGCCTGCCACCGTCAGTCACGCCCCGGCCGAGCTATCTTACCTTACCTACTTAGGCCCGTTGTTTCTCCACAACAACAGCACGGGAGAGGAGAGGAGTGGGACGGGGAGATGGAGATTGAGGAGATTGAGGAGATTGAGGATTAGCCAGCTGCTGGCCCGCACGAAGACGGGTGAGTAGTGAGGCTGGGCGAGAGGGCCCAGTATTATAATTCTCTTCAGCTTAATTGATGGACCATAGGCAGAGGGCAGAGAGCAGACAGGCAGTACGATGATGTGTGCTAGATGGATGGCTGGCTGGCTGGATGCGTGCAGACCGTCTGCAGGGTGGAGATTAGATATGTAGGTACGAAGCATCAGATGCCGAATGGAATGGAATATGCCTAGGATGAATTGCCGTATGTACATACTGTAGCACTGTAGCTAAGGTACTGTAGCGAATGATGCGAATCTAAGAGAGAAGGACAAGACCTCGCTTCACCTGCCCTATTATCGTCAGGGATAACCTATGCGCGTGCCTCTGGTGATTGATTGGTGATTTGTCATGGGCATAATGAATGGTATTTCCCATTGCCGCTGGAGGCGTGGTTGAATTTGAGATGGGGTTTGAAGATGTTGTTTACTTTGGAGTATAGGTATACCTGGTTGGAGTTCTGTGGCGTCCTGTACTGTACCTGATGTACTTGATCTGCTCTGATCTACAGCATCTTCCGTCCAGTACCTGAATTGATATTATCATCACCCTCTATCTATCCCTTCGTATATGCCATGCCATGCGCATAATCGCTTACCTAAGCAACATGCTCATGGTTGATGACCAGACCATCGCATCAGGTAAGAATCACCATATCATATCACAGCATGTATCAATAAATAGAAACAGCAATCAATCAATCAATCAGTCAGTCAATCAGTCAATCCTGGATAAGGCAAGGCAAGGTACCAATAATAATCGCGATAATCGTGATCACACTTTGAAGTTCAAACCCCTCGTGCCCCTCCACCTAAGGCAAGGTAGGGTCCCGCCGGCTCCGTTTCTTAGTCAGCGCACTACGGGCAGAACCGCTTGATTTGAGGTGCCTGAGGCTGTAATTAAGGCTGCTATATTTATCAACCATCCATCTATCCATCATCATTCATCGCATCTGTCATCTGTCATCTCTCTCTCACCCATCCATCCATTAATCAATCATCGATCATCTCTCATCATCCATGATCCATCACCCATCACCCATCATCCACCCTCAGTATCTCCATCCTGTGCCCTGCGGTGATAATCGTAGTCGTAATAGTCTCGGCCTCGAACGGCTAGGTATCTCTCTTTTGTCCCCATCATCCAATCCCATGCACCCACGGCCCACGGTGATTATTTGGCAGCTGCATGGCATCGCAACAGCAGCTAACCCTCAATGGCGTGCAGGGCGGGGCCCGGCTCAGCCCCAGAGATGGCGTGAGCGCACTGCTGCTACTACTGCTACTGCTACTACTGTTCTTGCCGCTGCTGCTGCTGCTGCTGTTATTGTTCGAAAAGCCAGGCCAGAACCTAGAACCCAGAACCTAGACAGAATCCAGAATCAGAAGCAGAAAGCGCGATGCGCAAATCAGCGAACCCCGCTTCCGAGAGGGCAATTCCCTCTTTGGTGCAGGTGCAGCGGCGCTTGGGCGGGTTCGTTTCGCGGGCGCCCGTACGAAGCCGCCATGGGGCCGGTGATCCCTGATTATCCATGATTATCCATGTTTATCCATGTAGTTCTTCTTACTCTTGAGGGTCAGTACTCATCAGCATATGTTCCGTATCCACTACTAACTACTACCTACTTACTGTACTTGCAACAAGTGAACAACAACATTCCAGTTCCTGTATCCACCTACCTGCCGCGTCCTATCGTATCCGTCGTATACGGCTCAAGTCTTAAGACTCTTGATTGAAAGTAGTAGAGAACCCCTCCTCTCGCCTCTCGCCTCTAGGGTTCTCGGTCCCTCTTCTCTTCTGCAGTAACCCCT